TCCTAAATCAGATTGAATTGGCTTCTTCGTCATCTTCTATTCTGTTCAATGCAATGATTGTTAAACTTTCTCATTCTCTTGAGAGATTCTCTATATTCTTTGTTCATCATCATCATCATCATCTTCAACAAAAACATTTATTTATTTAATTATAAAAAGTTTGTTTTACAATTATAACGAGCAAACGTTGAATAATATTATTAATAATAAACTACTACTGATTTTGAACCAGAATAAGTCCAAAAAAGATTTACTAGAATGGAAAAAGAAAAGAAATTCCCGAATGAATGAATGAATGAATGAATGAATGAATGAATGGATGAATGAAACTAATAGCTGTCAAACACAACCAGTATAAAGATATGAAAACATTTGGCAACAATCTCTCTATAGTATGTATACCCAATTGGTGTATAAATTCTGACAGTGAAGCCGACATTTCAATGGGAAAAAAAAATTTACGGCTTTTCCCAATAACGATGATGATGATGATGATGTCACATTGAAGAATTTCATCATCCCACAACAACAACAACAACAACAGCGACAACAACAAGAAAAAAATCTTGGAAATTCAAAGAAAACAAAAAAAAAATAAAGAAAATTTAATTACTTCCGATTTTTTTTTGGAGGGGAGGATTTAAAAAGAAAAATGACAAAAAAAGGCTCAATATTTTTTTTTTCTTCTCATGTTTGTTTGTTTGGTTTAATTGAAAATTTCGTTTGTTGACCTTCACATTTTATATCATATGTGAATGAGGAGAAATACCAGTGAAAATTATTACGGATTATCCATTTCATGGTTCTGTTCAAGAAATTTTGTATCAAAAAAAAAAAAAAAATTCAGCAAATTCAATTACGAATCTTATTATTATTATCCACACATGATTTGTTGATCTTCTCACTATGTGTGTGTGTGTTTGTGTGTGTTTATGTGTTTAAATGTCACTCTGTATTTTTCTGTATTATGTAAAAAAAGTTGAGTGAAAAGAAAAGAAAAAAATCTCCGTTATTAATCTTTGATCCCTGTGTGTGTGAAACTAGAAGAAACTAAAACGATTAAGATTTTCTAGTTGCAAAAAAAAAAAAAAACGAAAGAAAGAAAGTATGTTGTGAGTGGAGAATGAAAAACCTTGAAATTTTTATTCATCATGGACAATATTATCATGATGTGGCCTCTCTAATTGGGTAGCCAATTATCAAGCATCTGAAAGCATTACTTTTTTCTCTCTCTCTCTCTCATTCTCTCTCTTGGTTCCTGGAACTTTTAAGCTTATAGTTCCGATTATTATATCTGGTATTTGTCGTCCCAAAACGAGAGAGAGAGAGAGAGAGAGAGAGAGAGAGAGAGAGAGAGAGAGAGAGAGAGAGAGAGAGAGAGAGAGAGAGAGAGAGAGAGCATCATGATGGCCATTATCATCGTTTTTTTTTTTTTGATTGTTAAATTTAAAATTTTTCTCTTTTCTTTTTACAAAAAAATTTTAAACCATTTCATCATCATTCAATATAGAATAGTGAAACTGTGTGTCTTTGTTCTTTGGCCATTTTCCCATTCACTATTATTATCATGATGATGATGATCCAATGACGACGTGAAATAAATTTTCATCATTTCTTCAAATTTTTTTTTTGTCGTTACCAGAAAAAAAAGATCAAACTTTTTGTCTGCTTTTTGCATTCTTCGAACAAACAAACAAACAAACAAACAAAAAAATGATGTTGACCAATCAGCCAGTCAACTAGCCAATTAATTATTACTGTTTGTTTCACTCATCATCGAATAATGATCATCACAATCGATATAGAAATGATATATAACAGAAAAAACAAAACAAAACAAAACAAACGAAAATATTAATCGATAATTGGCCATCAGGGAGCCATATTGGATATATGAAATAGATTTCTGATAGATTTATATATTCTGAAGATGATGATTTCGACCAAAAGCAAAAAAAAAACGGCCACTTTTAATAACCAGTGTTCATAGATTTTCGTCATGAATTTGTTTCTTTTTTCACAGTGTTTCTTCACATATCGAATATTATTATTATTCGAATCATTCGTTTTTGTTTTGTTTTGTTTTTTGTTAATTATCATCATCATCATCATAATGATGATGAATTGAAAGAATCGTATGGAATTTTATATTTCCATTATCATTTCCGGTCAGTTTTTTTTTGTGTGTGTGTGTGTGTGTTTGAGAAAAAAAATTTTAAATTTCCGGCTTTCATTCATTCATCCGATAGGATATGACAATTTTTTTTTTGCTCAATTGTATTACTGGTGGCTGGTTGTTGTTTGTTTTGAGAATGAGAGAGGGAGCTTGACATGACAATCTTGAGATATCTTCTTGATAAAGAAGGAATAAAGTGAAGTTTCGTTTTTTCGTTTTCTTTTTTTTTATAACGACTGATTGACACATCGACAACAGCAAAATGAACAAACAAACAAACAAACAATGATGACGATGATGAAGAAGCAAGCAAAAAAAAAACATTTTTGAGAACAAAAATTCAGAAAAAAAAACATCACCATCATGAAATGTTTAAAGATAAACATCATGGTAATATTTTTGGCTGAATTTTATCTTTATTTTTTTTTTTTTTTTTTTTTTGAACACATATCAAATGTCAAAAAATAAAAATTTTTTTTGAAGAAAAAAAAATTCATCTTATATGATGTGTCTATCCAAGTGTTTTTAAAAGTGAACGAACGAACAAACGAAAAAATAATTCTGATGTTGGAGAATGTGAACGACCCACGAAATTCATTTGTGTGTGTGCGGGTGGGTGTGTGTGTGTGTGAGAAAAATTGATTTATCAATGACGATTCAATTTTGAAATGATAAATGACAATTATCATCATTCATTCATTCATTTCTATCTTCTATCTATCTGTCTACATGTGCAATAATAAATCGAATCAAATCAATTCAAAAACACGGATGAAAATTGAAATTTGATATTATTATTTTTTTTTGTTGTTGTATGCAACACACATGAAATTGTTCCGTATTTTGGTGAGAAGAAATGTGTGGGGAAGAAAAAAAAATCGATAATTATCACCAAATACATCGATGATATCGTATGTACGAGGAGAGAACACGTGGTGTGGTGTGGTGAAATTGTTGTTCTTGTTTTCCCTTGTTCTTTGTGAAAATAAATAAAGTTTGTTTTGTTAAACCAATGGCGTCAAGTACATCTATTTCATATAATGGAAAACTTTTTTTCATTATTCATTTCCTCTATAGAAAAAACAAAAAAAATACACGATAATGTTCAAATAATGAGGATGATCCAACCATTTTTGGCTCATTAATAATTCATTCATGTTCGTTATATTTTTTTGTTCCATCCAAAATTAATGTGAATGCCATTTTTTTCCTCACCAATTGATGATTAATTGATCACATCAATTGATTTTTCAATAAAAATTGATCGATTTAGGAATTTAAACGATGAAAAAAAAACTGGATGGCAATTCGTTTGTTTATGTTCTAGCTCTACAAGTTGTTCATGTGAAACATGAAATCTATTTTTTTTTTTTTTTTTTTGGTTGTCTTGATCGCTCAAAAAAACATTGAAAATGTTTGTTCGACCGGCCACTATGATTCATTTGGAGAAAAAAAAATCCAGTACAATCTGGCCAGTTCTGTTGTTGTTATTGTACAAAAAAAAATCTTGTCATTGACCGTAGACCAGTTTAAACCTGTAAAATAATGTTTGAAAATGGCAACAAAACAACAACAAAAAAAACTTGTTGATGATTTGTGTTATCATCATCATCATTTTTCATTTGTCTGCTTTTTTTTTTTTGTTTGGTGCAAATTAGTGGTTTTGAGATGAAATTTTCTATTCGTTTGTTTGTTATCATTTTCATGATGCCTAGATGATAAGAGAAAAATTTTTTTTTCTGTTGTGGCGTGTTTTTCATCTTTTCATTTTTTTTTTTTGGGCTCAATTGCAATGTTTTCAACATATAAACAGACATATATTTCACTCATCATTTCAAGATCCATCGATCAATCGAACGATGATGATGATGATGATGAAAAAAAAATTGTACAAAGGCCAATTGCTGTTCGGGTTGTTGTTGTTGTTGTTTGTTTCGAAATATTTACATTAATTTCTGGAATTTTATTGATTTGAATAGATTGATTTGATTTGATTTGATTTGTTCATTACAAATGTTGATCTTTGAACCAAAAACAAATTTGTTTATTTTCACATTTGCAATTTGTTCATTCCATTTGATTTGCATATTTGGTTGGAAAAAAGTGAGAAAAAAATTTTTTTTCATTAGAATTTGTCAATTTTTTTCCGGCATTTCTAGATCAAAAAAATCAATCAAACTAGATCACTGATTATTATTATTATTATTAATCAACAAAAATGGCGATAATATCAATCAATCAATCAATTGATCAATTGATTATAAGGATTTTTTTTCTTTCTGATTTGCACTCTTATTAGAGAACAGTGCAAACCAAAATTTGTAATTGAATTGCTTTGATTGAATATATTCTGAATTGATTTCAACCCTTTGTAAGTTTTTTTTGTGTATTTTTTTCCATTTCAAAGTTTGTTTTTTTTCTCACTTTTATTTCTCATCATTTCATCACCATTATTTCATCAAAAACTTGAAAAGTTGGACTTTTCTCGATATAAATATATCATAAGATGATGATAAGACACGTTGTTATAACCATAATCAATACACATAAACACACATGGCACACATTTATTTTGTTTACGTCATTTTCCGTTTGCCACTACTACTACTACCAATACTACTTCGATGATGATGATTTCAATTTGATCGATGATCATCATAATTGATAAAAAAAATTTTTTTTTCGGACTAATCTGGTTTGATTTGGCTTTGATCTGCACACACACACACACACACACACACAGACACGTAAACAAACTCATGGTACAATGTTTTTTTTTCTGTCTAAAACTGATGATGACAACATTGCATTTCATTTATTTTCTTATATATAAATCAAGACACATTTCATCACTTGAAAAAACGACAAATACTGCACACTTGAACAAATTTCTTGTGCTTTTTTTTATAAATTTTTTTTTCTTGAAATTTAAATTTTTCAAAATATATCAACATACTATTAATCGATTGTCCACCAACAATCCAATCGTCAATAATCTCGGTGAAAATTATTCTTGTTTTTTTTTCTGTTTGATATTTTCTGTCTCTCTCTCTCTCTCTCTCTCTGTCTGTGTGTGTGTGTGTGTTTCAACCAATCATGGGTTATGATATAAATCGTTTCAAAAGTCGTCTGCCAAATGAAATCATTTGTGGCATCTGTTTTGGTGTGTTGGATGATCCACAAGAAATAATTGAATGTGGCCACATGTTTTGCCATAATTGTATATATCGTTGGCTTGATGATCCATATTATAATACAGTAACATGTCCAATTTGTCGCCGTGATATTTGTGTAGATGATATTCGTCCAGCCATTGATTCTGTACGGCAATATATAAATCGTTTACGTATACGTTGTGATTTTGATCATTTAGGTTGTATTGCCGATGTACGATTAGAAGATTATGGCCGCCATTATACACAATGTCCATTGAATCCACGTAAACCGATTAAATGTCATCGTGGCTGTGGTGTTCATCTGCCACCAGCCGAAATGTTACAACATCATTGTGATCTAGATATGTGTCAAGATGCTATTGAATGGAATGATATTTTTGATTATGTTCGTCAAGAAATGAAACAACGTAATTGGCAACGTTATCAACCAAAACATTCATTGATTGGTAATTCATATAAAAAATTATTAACATTTTTCACTAATTGGCTAGCTGATCCACGTGTACATAATGATTGTGGTGTTGGCGTGAAAACAACAAAAACAACAACAACAACGACATGCCGTTTCTTAGGAAAATTCCTAGGGAAAACTTTAATTTTAATTTTAATTTTTTTTTTTACAAACAAAAATTGTAGCAAAATTTCCGTAAACATTTTTTTTAATCACTTATTAGTATTATTTGCTTGATTTTTTTTGAACAATTTTTTTACAAACACACACACACACCCAAATTTGGACAAAGAGTATTTTCGGTTTTAAAAATACTTTTCAATTTTCAATTTTATTTTGGATCCAAAACAACAACAACAACAAAAAACACTGAAAACTAAAAATTTTGTATTACCATTTTGAGTATTATCATCATTGAATCATTGTTTTGTTTATTCAATTTGTAATAATAATAATTAAATAAATTATTATTCTTGATTAAAAAAAAAAATTCTTTCAAATTCTTTTTTCAAATTTTTTTTCTTTAAAATTTAAAAAAAAATCAAAACATTACGCCATCTATCGGATGTTGAAAACAGAATTGATTTCAACTCTAGCCACCAGATGTCGTACGATTCGTGATTTTTTTTTAATTATTCGACACAAGGAAGAGAACAACAAATGTGTGTGTGTGTGTGTGTGTGTCTCTATGCAAATAGTTTCCTTGATCATAAATCAAATTCAATGATTTTTCATTTTTTTTCGTGTTTGTGAATTTCAATCTTTCAGTAAACAAACAATATTATATATATATGCTATAATTACCGAAATATGAAATTTGATTTATATGTGAATCATCAATCCGGTCCATGAGATCAGTGAATAAAATTTACTCGAAAAAATTGCCTCAAAATACCGAGGTTGGCCACCACTTCCTGTGTTCAAAGTTGGAAAAATTTACTTTGAATTAAAAGTATGGTCATCAAAGAATAAATTGAGGTCATACACAGTGTCATAACCTTACCAATTTTTTGTGACAGTCGTTCAAAAATGTTATACACAAAAACGACAGTACTTTTCTAATAACCTAATAAATCAAAATTCAATGATTTTTCATTTTTTTTTCGTGTTTGTGAATTTCAATCTTTCAGTAAACAAACAATATTATATATATATGCTATAATTACCGAAATATGAAATTTGATTTATATGTGAATCATCAATCCGGTCCATGAGATCAGTGAATCAGATTGTCCACATTCGACAGCAACACACACACACACACGCAGTTCTAATCATCATCATCATCATCATCGACGATTGATTTAGTTTTCGATTGCACCACTTTTCAACATTGAAAATATACCAGTTTGTTTTTTTATTGCCAAAATGAATGAATGAATGAAATGAAATTTGATACAATGATCAATGAAATGATGATGGTGGTTATTTTGTTTTTGTTTCGTTCGTTTTCGTATCATTCCAATTTTCCTGTTTCACTGTTCACTACATTTATATATCTTAATGACAAAATAGAAAAATTGATTTGAGCATGCGATCGATCTCATATAGACTACACTGATCTATTGAATTTGATCGAAATGAAAAAAGCCATATATTCATCTAGCTCATTTATCATCTATCCATCAAATTGAAATCGAAATCATCCAGCAACAAAAACAACAACAAACGATCATTAACCAACCAAAATGGTAGGTGTGATTTTTTTTTCATAAAGAATTTTCAAAATTTTTTTCACATTAATGGGTTTAATGACACCTGATGATATGTGAAAATCATCAGGAAATGAATTTTTTTTTCTGCCAAATCATTCATTATCGATATCTCGACATAGAATTGGAATTCATTTCCTTTATTCAGAAATGAAACAGCAGCAGCAGTAGCAGCAATTCATTGTATTGATTATCGACAAAATGTTTTCCAATCACACATATATTGTATTTGTGTGTGTGTGTGTGTACAAAAAAAAACGAAAACAAAAACAAAATAAACCAATATATAATTCTCATTTGAATTGCAATTGAACAATTCACTATTGTCGATGATTTACGAGAATCGAATAATAATAATAATAAAATCATCATCATCATCATATGATTTAATCCTATAGATTAATCAATCAATTTTTTGAAAGTGAATAACAAACACCATGCAGTGTCTTTCTCTCTCTGTGTGTGTGTAGTTGTGTGTTGTGTATGATCGATAAGTACCAATTGCGTTTTTTCCCCAAATTAACAAAAATTCATGAATGATCTTGATGTTGTTGATGATATTGATGGAATTTCAATTGAAAAACAACCAAAAAAAAAAAAAAATCGCATAATCAAATTCACATGATACATCATCATCATCATCATAAGCAGCATTCACACACACACACACACATTTTGTGTGGTTTGAATGTCTTTAGTTTTGACGTAAATCAATCAAAGAAATTTTTTTTTCGTTGAAAAAGTTGAATTTTTTTTCTTTCTCTCTCATTGTCACCTGGTCGATGATTTGAATTGAACAAAAAAACAAAATGAATGGAGAAAGGGAAATCCTAAACATCAAGATTATTGTTGCCGTTGAATCGATTAAAGTGTGGAAAATTTCAATTAACGGCATTTTTTTTTCATCAATTTTTTGGCCAATTTTGATTGAATTTCAATTCAAAAAAGTATCCATTTTCCGGTTCTTGTATTTCGTTCTATCATGCATGTGTTCATTGATCACGAATTTGAAATTTTAATAAAATTCTCGGTTATTTTTTTTTCTTTGGCCAATTAATTATTCAATATTTGTTTCAAAATACTTACACTACTAGACTCACGTACACCCAATTCCTATAGATCCAAAATGATTCATTTATTCTAATGAATATCGCGCATGTCAATATTATTCTGTGCATGGATTTTTTTTTTATTCTCAATGAGAATGGTTGAAAGGTTGTTTTTCTTTTTTTTCCTTTCGATATGTGTTTTCCATATGTGTTGGCCTTGATGATAGCCTCTATCTCTCGCTCTTTGGTCATATCATCGGTTTTTGTTCATTTTTTTTGTTACACCAATACCACTACCACCACCAATATGTTAGAAACATAACACCAAAGTACGATGATGATATAATAAAAATAGATCAATAAAATCATGCCATTTGCCACCATCATCATCATCATCACCAGATCATATGTATTTGAATCTTTTTGTGTTTTGGGTGACATGAATAATGAATTCTTTTACATTTCTTTGGAACTTTGCAAATTCCTGAATTATCATTAATATTCAAAATCTATCGCTAATAATAATCATCTTAAAGGATTGAATTGATTAATGATTGAAAAGTTTTTTCTTTTCCCGATTCTCTCTCTGTGTGTGTGTTATTATCGTTTTGTTCGAGTTTTCTCTTTTTTTTTGTATTTTTCATGGAAAATTTTTTTTTGTTTTTGTTTTTCATTGCAAAAAAAAACAGTAAAATAATCTGTTTTTTCATTTCATCGATTGTGATTATTATTTGTTCAATTGTTGTTCAACTGGAATTTTTTTTTTTGTTGTTGTTGTTGTTTTGTTTTGGAACTACGAACCTAGATATTTTGAATTTATCGTAACCTTGATTTTTGTTGTTGTTGTTTTTTTCTTTTGTTTAATTTGTGTAAATATAAAGGAAGTGTGTGTGTGTGTATTCGCTTTGTCGGTGTATATATTCAAAAATCATCACCAAACGAAATTTGTTTTCCAACAAATATATGACGTGTGATTATAAAATTGTCAATCGAAATCAATGTCGACGTCAATCGACATATAACATCAACAAGCTATGGATGTAACCAGAGAGAGAAAAAAAATTTTTTCTGGTTCCAAATATGGTTTCATTTTCAAAACACGACGATGATCATTACCCGAATATTGATGATGATGATGATGTTTGATCGAATGAAAAAAAAATGATAACAACAACAACAACAACTAAATATGGAAACTAAATAATTCATCGACAAAATGAATTCATCGTGAATGTGGATTATTGATTTTAAAAAATGCAAAACAGAATTTAAAAAAAAAATGATTGATTGATTTTATTGGCCATTTATCATTTTCATTGTACCACGTTCCATTCTGTTTTTATTGTCTGGAACGATTCTAAATGCTTTTTCATTATCTCTACATAATCATATCAAAAGTTTTTTTTTTCATTCACAAAGTGAGATAAAAAACGACTACGGCGAAAACATCATCATTTTTTATTTTTGATTATTTTTTTTTCTTCTCATTCGTTTGTTCATTTGTAGTTTCATACATTCTGAATATGAATGTGTTACATTATTATAATAACGACTGTAGCAGCAGACAACAACCATAATAGATTGCCCAGATCTTTTTTTTGGATTCCATAGACTGGATTCTGAATTATGAGACCAGGAATCGAGAAGAATATCATCACTTAAAACGGTCAAACAATAGCTGTTGTGTGTGTGTGTGTGCTAAATTGCGCATAATCCACATCTATAATGAAAAAAATTTTTTTTTTTTTGTGAAAAAAACAATTCTCTCGGGTCTCTTTCCTCTTTGGATTCTTTTTATGGATCACACTTACACACACACAGGCACGCTCATTGTAAACATCCTTGAATCGTCGTAAAAACTAGATTTTGTTGTTGTTGTTGTTATTATTTTGTCATTTATTTGTTTTCGAGTATTTGTCGTGCGTGGGTGTATCACGATTTGGTTGATTCATATAAAAAAAATTTTTTTTTTCATCAAATCATCATCATCATCATTATTTTATGGATGAAAAATAAGGAAAAAAAATTTTTGACAACAACAACAACTACATTTTGCATTCTACCTGGTTAAATTGAACTTTTATTTTGCCAATACCATCATACCATCATCATCATTCACATTTAATTCATTGATTTCAACGTGTTTCACATCACGTTTTCTTATGTGTTCATCAATGAGAAATAAAGGGTGGTGGTGGTGGTGAAATTTTAAATTTTTTTTTCACTGTTGTTCGTTTTCAATTCAAATCATAAGACACAAATGTACATGACGTGCATGTGTGTGTGTGTGTGTGTGTTTGCAAAATTTTTATTGTTTCGAATTAAACAAAAACAAAATTGATCTTGATCTTGATCTGATCATATGGAAATAGAACAACAACAAATTTAAATTCACACACACAAACAAACAAGTTCCTGAAGTTCAGTGATTTTTACGACAAAACAGGATAAACGCGTTTTCATTTTATTTCAATCAAATCATCATCAAGTTGGAAAAAAAACAGACAGATCAAAAGATTAGACAATTTTTTCCTTTATAGAAACAAAAAAAACATGACAAGTGTTTGTTATGGCTACAAAATTTCTTTCACATTCAAACTTGTCGGTTATCATTGTTGTTGTTGTTGTTGTTGAAGAATTTCAAAATGATTAACAAAACATCGTTGCTGATATTCATTCCATTATTCTCAATCATCAATTTTGCTTTCTATATTTGTAATTGAAGAAAATTACCGAAAAATTATTATTATTATTGTGATGACCTTCAGTTTTTTTTTCTTTCTTCATTTTTGCTCACTCTTCTGTTGTTTGTTTGAAACGTGTGTGTGTGTGTGTTATATTTGTATAATTTAAACTTTTACTTTTTTTTATGTTTGTGTGTGTTGTTTGTGTATGATTATCATTTTGATTTTGATTTTCATTTTCTGGTTTTTGAAATTTTAATGCTGTTTTTGTGTATATGTCAGAGAATATACCATCATCATCATAATAATCATCATCATCATCATTGTCGTTGTCGTCGTCGTCGTCGGTCGATCAATGTTTTTGTTGTTGTTGTTGTTGTTGTTGTTATGAATGATGATGATGATGATGATAAATATTAAAGCCAAACCAAAAAAGCAAAATCAGCAGAAGCATAGACTTTTGTATGTGTGTGTGTGTGTGTGTGTATATTGTGAATGATGTGGAAAATTGCCTGATTTAATAAATATATCAACTACCACACACACACACACACATACATACCATCATCATACCACAAAGATACATGTTTTGTATGGTGTATGTTGTGTCTCTTTCGAATTTAAAAAAAAAAAAAAAAATGTGTGTGTGCTCGAAAGTGCTAATTTTGGCTTGTATATCTCTCTTTCTCTTTCTCTATTTTGAGCCATATTGATCACCATCATCATATTCAAACAAATAGAACGATCTGACGAGAAAAGAGATTTTTTTCAAACACGTTGTTTTTTTCCATGGTGGTGATACTTTCTTGTTTCATTTTTTTTTTTTTTTTTTGGTTATTTGAATCACAAAACCAATGTTTTAAAGAAATTTTTTTATTTATTGAAACGATACAAAAAGAAAAAATTTATTCAATCAAAATTATGGATAATCAACAACGACAATCAACTAAATCAACAACAACAACCACAACAACAACATGTATGACATGTCATCAACAGCAGCATCAAACATTACGTAATCGTTTACAAAAAATTTTTATGCCAAATTCACCACCACCATTATCAACATTACAATTACCATTATCACCACCACCACCGCATTCATCAATACCGAAAACAATACCATATTTACCTGTACAGAATCTTAAATTAGCAATGAATTCACCATCACAATCATCGGCTACATCATCACCATTGTTGATATTATCACCACGTACAACGACATTACATCGTTTTATCAATAATGGTGTTGGTTCAACCATATCTACATCCACATCCATATCGACACAAGATCAAGCAGCAGCCAATGATCATCAAATAACTGAAGATGAGATGATATTTCCAATGTCGGATATAACTGAAGAAGATGAGGTATGAATGGTTTAATTTTCTTTGATTATTAATCACATAGTGATTAGATTAGGCCTGTCGTAATCAATTTTTGCTTTTTTTTTGTTTTGTTTTACGATATATGGATGCTGTTTTGCAGTCAACAGTTGCCATTGAGATATAAAGTGGTTGGTGTTGATGATTATTTTCAATGTCTTTATGGCCATTTTGATTTTTGTTCCATGTGGAGATTAATTTTTTTTTTTGAATTTTATTACTCAAATAATTGGTGCATTCATTGACAACAACAACAACAACAACAAAAAAAATTATTCTGATTTTTCTTCTGTTTGTTTTTGGCCACCATCTTTCTTTGTCATCAAATTGAATAAATTTTTGTTTGTTTTGTTTTATTTTATTCTTACAGGTAAATGAAAACAAAAACGTCCAATCAATCAACCTATCGATTGATTAATTAATTCATTCGTGTGTGATAAATATATAGCCAAGGCTATCGTTTTCTATTTTTGTACAAACATACACAAGGAAAGAAACGTCATTTATTCCTTCATTAATTTTCTGTTTTAATTTTATTCTATCATCAATTCGATTGATGATGATGATGATTCATAATTTGATTGAATCCAAAACATCCAATTTTTTTTTTTGGTTGTGATGGCACAAAAAAAACATACAAAATAATTCAATTATCTCCAATTTGTTCAATGAACCTAGGAATTTTTTCCTACTTCTGTGATATATATACATATATAGTGATGTAATTTTCGATTTGTCACCAATCAAATACATACACGCACAGTTCAAATTAGTCATCGAATGAGAATCAACATTACATGAAAAAAATTCATTTTTCAATTTGTTTTCATCATCATTAATTTTATTTATTTTTTTTTATTATTCATCCAAACACAACGGAAATGACTGTTTTCCGTTTTTTCATTTTGCCATCGATGATGATGATACAAATGATGATGATGATGATGATGAATGTTGTTTTCCACAAATATGGAAATTATTGATTTTGTTTTTCAATTCATTCATTATTGCCTTTTTTAATCAATCAATCGATCGATCAATGAATGAAATAAAATACTAGATAATCGGTTGATATATCGATTATGATTAGAGTTTTTTTTCCATTTTTTTGATATGATCATTGTAGACAACAACAACAGCAACACTTTTCTATTTCTCGGTGCATATTTTATTTTATTGGCGCACAAACATCACTCACCACCACCATCACCAACGCCACCGCCACCGACAACAACAAAATATTCTTATCATCAAATAGCGTCAGAAACTCGTTTTTTCTGTTTTTTTTTGCATTTTCTTAAAATATAATTCTTTTGATTGATTGATTCATTCGAATGAATTAAAGTGTATTGATTGAATGAATGAATGAATGAATCCAGTAATAATGGTTGATTGCTGTAATTATTAATTACATCGTTCCATATTAACACACACACGCGTTACCATTGGTTTTCATTTCAATTTGGGCGTGTGTGTGTGTGTGAATGTGTTTTATGTTTATGATAATGATGATAATTTATATATACACATACAGACAACATTTTTTTTATTTATTATATGATAATGATCATGTTTTTTTTCGCTGTTGTTGGAAAATGTTGTTGATGATGGTGTGTCACGATTTTTTTTTTTTTAATATACAAAAATAAAAATCAGGATTGTGCATCTATATATTATAGATTGTTGTTGTTGTTGTTGTTGCTGTTTTGTTTATTCAAATGGTAATAATATGATGCTCCCAAATGCATGGATTTGCATTTTGTTTTTTTTTTTTTTTTTTTGATTTTGATTTGGATTTGAATATTTGTCTGGTTTGTTTGGTGTCTGATTATTTTTTTTTTTTCTCTCTCTCTCTCGCGATTCTTAATTACAAAATTATTCTATGAAATTAAATTCCTTTCTACAAACATTCATTATTCTTGATTCCAAATTCTAATGAATCAGAATCGTATATTGATTGTTGTTTTTTTTCCAATGGCCCATGAATATAAATGAATGAAGGCCACTTTTCATTCAAAATTCTATTCTGTAATCGATATATAAAATAATGTATATGGATATGGATGTGTGATGTTCATTTTTATGGTTTACTGAATTTTCGGGTCATACCACAGCCACTACGATTTTGTTTTGTTTTGTTTTTATTCTTGAATTGTAATAAGAAAAAATGTTGCAAAATATAAGAATAAAAAAACAAATATAAGATTTTAATCAAGAATCTGAATAAAAGGTAACACTATATAACCAAGAATGATGGCGGTGTTAAAGACAGCGATGAAAGAAATCAACATGAAATTCTTTTAAGAATTGTGTGTTTGTGTGTGTGTTTTTTTTTATTCTGGTTGGTTGATTTAATTTGGCGCAATCGCATTTTGAAAATTCTATTCTGGTGGTTGATTCTTATTTTTATTATTATAATACAAAAAAAAATCCTCTCGGTACAAAATTTTCACTGATATATCACAAACGATTTGTTTTTGTCGGTTTTTTTTTGGTGAATTGAAAATGAAAATTTTTCATTTTCAATTCATGTTGTCTTATCATACACACACACACAGACACCACTATTATATTGGACTTTTGGGGATTCTCATCATCATCATCATCATCATGATGGTGTGTGTGTGTGTGTGTGTATGCCATAAATTACCAACCATTTGAAATGAATGAATAAAATGGTTTGTTGTTTGTTTGTTTGTTTGTTTACGAAATAAAAAAAAGTTTTTTTTTCTTCTTGGTCTGTTTGTCACTTTTTTTTTGGTTCGTCAAATTTTGCCAATTATATATTGTGATGATGATGATTATTATTTGGTTAGACTGAACGATGATGATGAAGAGAGAAAAAATCCAATGTTAACGTTTTGTTTTTTGTTTTTTGTTTTATTGATGATTGATGATTAGATAATGGATGTTGATGATAATAGTGGTGTTTGAGTGTGGAGATTTTTTTTTCAAACAATCATTTTTTTTTCATTTTCCACCAAAAAAAAAATGATTGATTCACTTTTATCTTGTCTTGTTTTTTAATAGTGTGTGTGTGTGTGATTGCAACGCCACACAATCATCATCCAGTGATATTAAGCGACCACTTAGACAACAGCAGCAGCCGTGAAAAAAAATTGATTAAATTTCAATTTCAAAATTGAAATTGAGTTTTTCTTTTCCAACGTATATCGCCTTATCTAAGATTGTTGAATTTTGTTTTTTTTCCACTGAATTTCAATTCAAATTCTCATATTCATCATCATTTGTATTTGTATGTCATGTGATTTTTTTTTTTTTTTTTTGATGGCTATGTTTTTGTTTTCATTCTCTCTGTATATCTCTGTTTTTTTTTTGTTTGTCTTTTTTTCAAGTTTTTGTTTGTGAGAAAAATTTACTGATTGATGTACGGTGGGGGCGGGGGCAGTTGGCGGCAAAAAAACAATATTTTTCAGGAATCAAATTCTGTGTGAATATATATATATTCATTGTGTTGTGTCTATAAGTTTATGAGAATTCTGTTAGTGCATGAAAAAGACGTTTTCATCAACGTTTTTTTTCTTTCACATTTTAACCATTGTGTTTTCAAACGACGACGATGACAACAACAACAACAACAACAACATATACACTCAAAAAACACAAATGCACTTTGTGTGTGTGTGTGTGTGTGTTTGTCAGTGTATACGTGACTTTTTATTCGTAATTTTTCAGTACATAGAAAAATATATATATATTTACCGCTATATCTATGTATGTGTGTGTGTGTTAGATGTAACGGAATGAAAAAAAAAAAAAAAAATAAAAAATAAAATGTTTTCCCGTTTCTATATATTTTCTTTTCTTTTCTTTTTTTTTGTTCAATGTAAAAATAATCATCATTTGTATATTGATTTGATGATAATGATGATAAAAGAGAGATAAAGATGGCTATATACACACTTTAAGTGTACGCGGTATATGTGTGTGTGTGTGTGTGTGTGAAAAGATTCGAATATATCGATTCGATTCCATTCTCGGTCTCTCTCTCTCTATATATATAGATATAGATTCTTTTGAATGTTTTTTTTCTGTTTGCATTTCTATCTATTTTGGAATTGAAATTGGAATTGGAATTGGAAAAGAAAAAAAAGAATATCTATAAAATTTCATCATTGTTTTTGTTTTTGTTTGTTTTCGTTTGTGTTTGTTCGTGAAACTAGTATCCTACTATAAATAGATGATGGCAATGGACTCCTTCCTTCCTCTTTTTTTGTGTTCATATTTATGTTTGTTCATGATGGCGATGATGATGATATAAAAGTTTTTTTAATGCACGCAGGTTTTTTTTCATTTTGGTTCACAGGTTGGCGTGTTTTAAATTTCTTTGTTTTTTTTCATTCTTTATTCAAAAAAGAATGAAAAAAATACATCATCAGCCATCTAGCGATTTATTTGTGAAATTCGAGATGTTTATTTTTTAAATTCTAATTTTTTTTCTTATCTTGTTTTTTTTTCTCTACTACACAGGAACATTATCAAAGTGATACAAATACAACGACGAATAAAGAAGAAGAAGAACAACAACAGCAGCAACAGCAGCAGCAACAACAAATTGATAATAAAACACAAAAATATCAACGAAAACATCTTGATTCAACTGATTCGGCCATTGATGATCCATCCATTGCATCTACATCGACATCTGGATCGACGACAGCAACAGCAAATAGCTCTGGAAATAGTAATAATAATTCTACGGTGGCGACAAAAACAAAATCCAAACCAATCGGTATAATACCAAAAATATCTGTGGTACCATTTTTAAGTAAACGATCTAATAGTGATCATCATTCAGATGATGAAGATGGATCACTAGATGATTCTTCACAACGGCCTGATGGTATGAATATTTTGATTGATATATATTATGATTAAAATTGTTAATAATAATAATTATCAATTTTATAGCAACAACATCGATTGATACATCTTCATCGACATCATCATCTTGGAAATCCGGTTCTTCATCCAGTGCAAAGGAATCGGCAACAACTGCAACTGCTACAACGACAAAATCTAAAGCACAAGAATTTATTGGCAAAATGATGACAAAAGTAACATCATCTAGTGCACCAAAATCTGGCTTCAAAGACAATAATAATCATCATCGTCAAATGCTCAATAATAATAATAATAATAATACGAATCAAATTCGTTGTACATCACCACCATCAACTACTATTAGCTCAAATAATCATGATGGTGATCATTATAATGTTTATCATACTGTACATGGCCATCCACATGATAATTCTGGATCATCTGAAAATTCATCAAATGTTGGCATTCGTTTACCAGCCAATTATTATGATGGATTATTTCAACAACCACAACCACAATCACAATCAACAACAACGGCAACAAATTGTCGAACTCGATCACATTCAAATGGCTTTACACAACAGATTCGACATTCAGCATTAATATCCGCCGGTATGGGTGTAGGTGGTGGACAAACCATCACTACATCGACCACGAACAAATGTAGTAATAATCATTGTGGACCGATTCGACGTCAATCACATGATGCAACATTGTCATTGAATCATCATCATCATCATCATCATGCTAATGCTCATAATTCATCGATTAATGATGATGAAAATTCTTTTTCTTCCACATCATCGTCAACAACAACAACAACAAATACAGCAACAATGGTAGCTGGGATTTTTTCCTCATCGAAATCACATCGTTCATCACCAAACAACAACAGCAGCAACCAAAATAATAATAATAATTCATTTTTCGATTCGTTTAGGTAAGTTGGTTTTTGTTTTTCTCTTTTCTATTCAAATGATCAAGACAAAAGAAAAAAAAAATCCTAGAAAATCACATCGATCAAATTCTCTAAAGTCACATTCAATGTCGATTAGATTTCACCATCAACGATTCACAAATGCACACACGGTGTTTTTTTGTCGATTTTTGGTTCACTGAATTTTTTCTCTTTTCATTTCATTACATCCATCTGTGATGTGTATGATGCATGTGATTGATGAAAAACATTCCATTTTTCAATATGTTCAATTGAAAATACTTTCAAATCTCTGTGTTTTTTTTTTGTTCAAATGAAAAATGTCATTCGTTTATTGATGTTTAATAATTTTTAAAAAATTTTTTTCCACAAACAAACAAAACTAGGCCACGTTCGAATACGGAAGGTAGTCGAAATAGCCGTGACAATCAAAGTACAAATAATACAAATTCAAACGTCAAGAAAACGTCAGTGATTGCCGTATTCAAGAACAATTTCCTCAATCGACATTCACCATCACCATCAACAACTGCAGCAGCAACAACGTCAACAACAACAACAATAACAAGTTCCGGTACAAATGTTAATGCCAATTTTGATAATACATCGATAATAGCATCAACGCCAATAGATTTATCAACAAATGTTCCTCAATGTCAATTGCCACAGCAAACAATTGTGGTCAATAGTCAACCAACAAGAAATAATTGTCAAACAACATCAAGAATAATTGATCATCAACCATTAACATCATTATCGGCATCATCATCTGTACGGCGACGATCATCAGCATATAGTCGTGATTCAGGCATCATATCGGCACCAATATCACCAAATTCTGTTATTGATCCATTTTCTGTTGATTATACATTATATAATGCTTGTGTTCGTGCATCTGGTGAACAATCATTGATTAATAATAATCATTGCCATTGCCATCATTCAGATGTTAATAATAATAATAATAGTGTAAAACATTCATCATTATCATCACCATCGGCAGCTACAACAACAATAACATCAGCAACAATATCATCAGGTTCTTTATTAATTAATAGGCCACGTTCACGTTCAAGTTCAGCATCAACAATGGCACGTGTTTTTGATATGTTTCGTGGACGTTCCAATTCAATTGCAACTGAACAGCCACAAATTAATTGTCATAGTAATAATAATAATATTAGTTATCGTAATCGACGAAATAATAAATCGGTAAGTGCAAAGAATTTTTTTTGAATTCTAAAAAAAGTGTGTTTGTGTGTGTGTGGGTGTTTGTTGACAATTCCGGGTCATGGAACTTTTGTAGGATTTTTTTTTAGTTAGTTACATTTTTCTCATCATACTGAATTTCAGGGAAGCCCAAAATTTATTTATGGAAAAAAAATTAAAAAAAAAATGTTAGGACATAGTATCCTAGCAACTTTTATTTTTTCCATCGCATGAGTTCTGTGTGTTTTGATTCCTTTATTTCATTTAGTTGTGTGATGATCTTTTCTTTCTTTTTTATCATCTCAAGTGTCTTATTTCTTTTTTTGATTGTATTGTATGTATACAAGGTAACCATTGATGATGATCACATATATCAAAACACAATTTTACATATATATAAAATAAGAAGTAAACAACAACAATTGAATAAGAGAATGATAACAAATCAAAGTTATTATAAATGATATTTATTTTCTTTTTTGTTGTTGTTGAAAGTATAGTAGTAGTAGTGGTAAAAATATATTCCATGTTGTATTTCTATATCCATCCATGTGATAATCATAATAATGATATATGATATGATGATGATAATAACATCGGCCACCATATATACAATATAAAAGTCCATTGAATGAATGAAAAGAAAAAATTTCTGGGACATGAAATAAAAAATTTCTTTTTATTTACATGCGCCATTTTTGAATCCGTTTGAATATATACAGACAATTTTTTTTTTTTTTTTTTGCTATATTGTTGGTTGTGATATTTTTTTTCTACTTTTAAAAATTCCATCGTTTAATGTGTGCTAACCCAACAGACACACTTAATCAACCAACTAGAAATAGATAGATAGATAGATAGAAAGAAAACAACAATATCGCCAACGAAACCAGAAAATCATCATCACTTTGATAGTGTTTTCTGTTTAGATTTTGGTTTTAGAATTGAAAGTTTTTTCGTTTCGTCTCTCTCTCTCTCTCTCTGTGTCTGTCTAATATTCATTCAGAGTATTCACAACACAATTTGCAACATTACTTATTACTTATATATATAATATGTGTTTTTGTAAAGATATTTTTACGTGATGTTTTAAAAAGATTTTCTGATGCTATCATTGTTGATAGTGGTGGTGGTGGTGGTGGTAATGTTGGTGTTTTTGTGTGGATATGTTATTCAGATGGTATCCTCTGCATCCATCCATCTCTCTCTCTCCATTTCTCTCTCAAAAATGAAGAAAATGTTATTTGTGTGTCTGTGTGTTTGAATATACACAAAATACACATGCACCTAGATCGTTTGTATATATGTCCGTTTGTTGAAATATATTTTATTCGTTACTGCTGGTGGTTGATAATGAATGTTGTTGTTGTTGTTGTTGTTGTTGTTGTTGTTGTCGTTGGTGGTGGTGGTGGTTGCTGGTGGTGGTGGTGGTGGCGATGAATTGCTCCCAAACACACAAACACATACATGCAAGAGCAGTGGATATTGATGATGTTGATGTTGATGAAAAGAGAGAAAAAAACACCAACATATAACGAATAATATATGTGATGAACATTGAAAAAAAATCTGCAACAACAACAACAACAAAAATAAATGAAATTTATTATTTTTTTTCCATTCTATTCATTTCAAAAGAATTTGATTTTGATCTTCCTTCTTGTTATTTTATTCATTCATTCATTGAAACATGTATTGAATTAAATCAATGAATAAATAAATGATGGAATGATGATAGTCTTTTCCTGTTGTTGTTGTTGTCGTTGTTGTTTTTTATTCATTGGTTAAATGTTGTTGATGTTTATTTTTTTCAATTCTTGCTTCATGAATTTTTCAACAACAACAACACCAAAAAAAAAATTATCATCAACAATCATCAAATAAAAAAAACATCATCATTGCCCTTAATTTTTTTTTTTTTTTTGATCATCATTTTTGTTGATTTAATATTTATATTCATTTGTTTGTTGTCTCTCTCTGTGTGTGTGTGTGTGTGTTCAATTCATTTTTTATAGTTTTGTTCAAGTTTTTGGTAGCTTGAAAATTTTATTTTCAATCTCTCTCTTGTTTCTGGTTTTATATTTGTTAAATTAAATTTTAAAAAATGGCATCATCTTCTTCATCACCACCACCACCACCACCGGATAAATTATCGCCTGCTATCGATGATTCAAGTGGTAAAAACCTAGATCTAGAATTTAATGTTGAAAAATGTAAAGTTCAAGAAGAATGTGATGAACAACAACAACCGCAACAAGAAGAAGAAGAAGAAGAAGAAGGACAAGAAGAAGAAGAATGTGATGAATTTCATGAACATTCAATTGATCCATATGAAAGAAATTATCATACAATAACGGGTATAACAAATAATAATAATAACAACAATCGAAATCCATCCATACGTTTTCCTGGATCATTATATTATCCACAAAAATCTTCTACATTAGCAATTACGAATCGTTCATCGCCATTATGGCGTACAAATATGGGTACTTCACCAGGTACGTCATCGATGTCTTCCAAATTTTCCAATGATTGTCATCATCATAATCATCATCATCATCATCATAAAAATAATCAAGATAAAAAACAGCAGCAACAAAATAAAAAGAAACGTTCTAGTACATTGAATAAAACATTAATGTTATTTCGGCCACCATCACATCCATTATTATCAAGATCAAATTCAACACCGGTTAAACATAAACAGCAATCCACATTATCATCCAATATGAAACAACAACAATCAAAATCACAAAAACAGCCAACATTATCAACGACATCAGCGACGGCATTTCTTAGGCCACCATCACCATTGACCTTATCATTAAATACACAACAATTATCATCATCACCAAACGTATCACGATCACCATCACCATCAAAATTTTCATTTAATTCGTCATTAGATTTTTATTGCCATTATTGTGGTGCTGGATCATCACCACCAACGCCTACAATATTTCAACAACAACAAACTAATATTAATGATGATTATCTACAGCCAACATCATCATCATCATCGCCGCCATCATCAAGAAGTCCACATCGTAAATTATTTAATCGTTCAATGTCTACCGATTGTCCTTCATCAACATCAACGACAAAACAATCCTGGAATCGTCGTTCAATGAGATATTGTCGTTCAAAAAGCAAACATCTTTATCATATGGTTGTTTGTCGTTTTTTGGTTGTAGGTGGATATATTAATAATGATGATGATGATTATAAATGAGTATACTTTTTTGAGATAAGAGAATTAAGAGAATGATTGACAACTACAACAAACAAAAAAAATTTTCATTCATTCGCAGAAAAAAAATGAAAAATTCTCAATTCTATATTCAAAATGAGAATTTATCATAGAATCTGTCTGATTATAATTTGTGTTTTGAATGAACAAAATCTAATCTATCCATCAGTCAATCAATCAATCATTTGCTTGTATATATTTTGTTTAATTTCCTTTTTTGAAAATGACAAAAAACAATTGATGAGTAGTGTGTGTGTGTGTGTGTGTGTGTGTTTGTTTTCAATAAGGACAGTTGTCAGATTCAGAGAAAGAAAGAGAAATAACGTCACTTTCTCCAGTAATGTTTTTTTTTCTTTAAATTCATTCAATCATCATAGAGAATATCTTCTTGAATATGACCTTCAATAGAGCAACTGGCTTTTTTTCTGGCTATAAAAATATTCAATCATTCAAGTCAAGTCATTCATAATTGTTGTGAATATATCCATATGATGATGGATGAATGTTTTGTTTTGGTCGATGTTGTTGAAACCAAAAAGAAAAAGGAGGGAGAAACAAAAAAAGATTGCTTGCATAATCTCCAACTGTGTATATGTGTGTGTGTGTTCGTGATATTTTTCAAATGATGAAAATTTATTCGAAAAAAAAGGTTTGGGCCTGGTGGTTATGGTTGTTATGTGGTGGAGGGTTGAATTGATTATACAGGGATTTGTGTGTGTGTGCAGAAAGGAAAGACGTTCATCATCATCAATCATGATAATGAATGGTAAACATCATCACGATGATGATGAGGATTTTTTTTTTGTTGGTATTGTAAAGTTATGTCTATGTGTTAGTTGTGTGTTTTGTTGTTTGTTTGTTTGTTGCTGATTTGATGATTGTTGGCTGTCGTTGCCAATTGTGTGATATTGAATATAATGATGATGATGATGATGATTGTTTGTTGACGAAAAAAAATTTTTTTTTTTTTTGATAAAAATATGGATATAGGGAAATGGAATTTCTCCACACATATGAATTTTACATTCCTAGTTAGTTGTGTGTGTGTGTGTATAGTGGATAAATGCTGGTGTTGGTGTCGATGGTTATGGTATCGCCCAGTGGTATTTTGATGCCAAGATTTTTGAATTTTCTATATTTAGCATCCAATCATATGGTTGTTGTTGTAGTTATTTTCAAAAATTTTGTCTGTATTAATTGTATTTGGGTACAATTTATATAATTTTTTTTCTCTCTTCTAATTATCACATCGAAAAAGGGGGGTTTTTGTTGTTGCTGTTGTCAAAGTATTTGGATCTTGTTCAACGTTTTTTTTCTCTCTCTCTGTTTGCCTGTTGTTTTATTATAATCATCATGATGATTCTTTCTTTTTGATGATGATGATGATTAGCAGCAGCCAGCAGCAGCAGCAGCAGCAAAAAATTTTTTTTTCTTTCATTTTTTTCCTTATTATTACCATTAGTATTGTGATGGATAGTTTTAGTGGTTTTTTATATGTTTATTTATTCCTGTTTATTTGTTTTTTTTGTATGTTGTTGTTGTTTTCATTGTTCACAAGCAGGAAAACCAAGAAATGATAATGGATCTCATGTTTTATAAAATCGATTTTTTTTTCTTTTCTTCCTGATCATCCGATGATTATTATTGGTGAATTAGAAGAGAAAAATGTGATCCAATATGATGTTGTTGTTGTTCTGCAATTCATATTGATGATCCAAATCCAATGGAATCAAATGGTTATATATAGTCGCGTAAATATTGAAAAAAACCTGACAATCATTTTTTGTCATCTCTTGTGTGTCATTTTTTTTCATTCATTCATTCATTCACTCATTCCTTCATTGTCATTTTTATCCGAATGAGGCCTTTTGTCTAGTCTTTTGAATTGTGTGCAATTTTTCATTTATTGTTTTCTTTCTTTTTGAATAAAACACTGGAAAAAAAGATGAATAAATGTCAATGTCATTACAAGGTGAACTATAAAATATCTATATATAATGACAACCGGACACTAATGAATACTGAATTGAAAAATGACCATATCCCGAATGATAAAGATGAATTCCCTAGTTTGTAAGGAACAAGATTGATGTTTGGAATTTCTTTATGTGTGTGTTTTATCTTCATCAATATTGTGTTTTGGATGATTTTTTTTTCTTTCTTGGATGACAGCAGCTGGCTCTTTTTTTTCATATAAGGCAATTCATCAATTCATCATGATAATCAATATGTCTGTGTGTGTGTGTGTGTGTATGGGGAATTGGATTTCAGACACACACACAAACACTGTGTTATTTAGAATATATTTCATCTTATCAAGTGAAAAAAAAATTTCTATCGAAAATTATCAGTTTCTCTCTCTCTCTCTCGATGAATCTCATATCCACGATGTAATTTGGTAACAAAATGAAAAAAAATATCCATTTTTTATTTATCTTGTCACCCAAGTATTAGAATTTCCACCAAAAAAAAAAAAAAAAAAAATCACCAGCTGATAATGATGGTGATAAGCAAGCTATGGATGTGGATATCTCTCTTTCTTGAGGGTTGTTCCAGCAACAACAACAACAAAAAAAAATTTTGTTTTTATATTTCTCAAATGTCTTTAAAAAAAAAAAAAAAAAATAAACAGAATTTTACCACACACACACAAAAACAAACATGTAGTTGTAGTTTGAAATGAAAAATGAGAAATCAAATTCCTTCGTTTTTTTTCTTGTAATCCAATCCAATCCAATACAAACACACACACACACACAAACACAAATTACGTCAACATCAGTATCGATATATAAAATTTTTATTGTGAAAAACTGATGATGATGATGTTGATGTGTGTCTGTCAAGATAATGAAAACCACGATGATTTTTGTGGATTTTTATTTTTTTTATTTTTGATATGACGCGTGCTTTTAATATACGAGTCTGTGTTTCTGTGTTTGTGTACGTGAGTTTTTATAACATGCACCCATACACACACATACAGAGATTCAGTTTGATTTCATCATTTTTTTTTTTTCTTTTACAAATTGAATCACATTTTGATTCTGTAATAAATTTCTATTTTCTTTTTTTTTTTTTTTTGTTGAATGTTTGAATGTCAAAATGCAGAACTTTAATCATCAAGAATCTCTCTGTGATCGTTTTGAATTTGAAGATATTGGTAAGTTGTTATTATTATATCGAATTTATTTTTCGTCATTTTTTGAAATTATTTGTTTATTCCATTTTATAGATGAAAATCTGGTCTATGTTCGTTTTTTTAAATTTTATCGTTGCTATGACATTATACCGGTCAGTGCCAAATTGGTTGTATTCGATACACAGCTTGCTGTGAAAAAAGCCTTTTTTGCATTGCTTAGCAATGGTGAGTAATGATAGAAATGAAAATTTTGTTTTCGATTATTAATTAATCAATTTATTATCCCATACCATATGTATGAAAATAAAAAAACAAAAAAAAAATATATATATATAGGAATTCGTGCTGCACCATTATGGGATGCAAGTAAACATTGTTTCATTGGAATGTTAACAATAACGGATTTTATACACATTCTACTAACATATTATCATTCACCACAATTGAAAATGGAAGAATTACAGGAACATACATTGGATAATTGGCGAAGTATGTATTATTTGTTTATTGTTTTGAAATTTTTTTTCAATTGAAATAAAATGTCTTATCTCTGGTATGTTTATATTTTGTTATAAGCAGGTTTGCTCAAAGAAAAAGCTCGACCATTGGTCTTTGTTGAACCTGATGAAAGTCTTTTCAATGCCATACGAACATTGTTAAGTAATAAAGTTCATCGTCTTCCAGTCATTGATCCTGATACAGGAAATGTTCTTTACATTTTAACACATAAAAGGATTCTGAAATTTTTATTTCTTTTCGTGAGTATTTTTTTTTTTCGTTTTTTTGTTTGTCTATTATTCAACCTTGATTTTTATTATCATCATTTTTTTCATTCTAAATCATGGTTTCTATCATCAATTAACTTAACTATTAATCATTTCTTTTTTCATTTCATTTCTTTCCGAAAAAAAATCCCAAATCCCACATCATCATCATCATTAGTATTATAATCGATTGCCAATGCCATCGTATTTACAGAAAACGTTACGTGAACTACCTCGAATCGGTACATTTGAAAATATTGTAACGGCAACATTACAAACATCATTGACTGAAGCATTGAATCTATTGATTGAAGCACGTATTTCCGCCTTACCGATTGTTGATAAAAAGAATAAAGTTATCGATGTTTATGCTAAATTTGATGTTATCGTAAGTGTATTCACTAATAAATTGTCTATCATTCATAAAAATAATGCAATCTTTTTTTTTCTTTCCAAAATTCATTCTAGCATTTGGCTGCGGATAAAATGTATCAAGATTTAGATATTACTATAAAGAAAGCATTGGAATTTCGTCATCAATCGGAAAGGGTTGTGAAATGTACAATGAATGAAACATTGCATACGATTTTAGAACGTATAGTACAGGCTGAGGTAAATAATTTGTTTTTTATTCATACAATTTCTGTTAATCAATTTGTCTTTTTAAAATCATCAACAATTAGGTTCATCGTATTATTGTTGTGGATTCAGATGATCATGTTATTGGTATTATATCATTATCGGATTTGCTTAATTTTCTTGTATTACGACCGGTGAATAATAATAACAAGCAGCAAACAACCAGTGCTACAAATATACAGCCATCTATAATTGCTCAATCAGAAATGACAACAACAATTGCTAAATCACCATTAGTTGAAGAAAGTGGTGAAGAATGTGGTACATCATCTGTTTGTAGCCATTATGATATTGATGATAATGATGATGATGATGAATGTGAACAATGTCAACAAAATGTTGATTCAAAACAATCATCAAATAATGTCAATTGTCAATTGACAGTTTCATCTGTTGGTTCGGTTATTGGATCATCATCATCTGATCGATCATCAAATGAATGTTCATCATCATCATCTTCATCGTCGTCTTCTTCATCATCTTCCTCATCATCGATATGTCCGAATGATGATAATAATAATAACAAAAGTAATGGTAAAGTGGATCCTACATCAAAAATCTATCCACCAATATCATCAAAAACGGTGGCCACAACACCAACACGTAATGCTAATGCTACATTGACGGCTTGAAATGATTTATAATTTTAATTGAGTCACAAACCATTCAATCTATCAAGACGACGGACTTTTTTAAAAAAAAAAAGAAAAATCTTTGATTTTTACCTCAAAAATTTTTTTTTTGTAAATACTGTTTTCAAACATATTTGTTAACCTTGGTGTGTGGTGATGATGAAGTTTTTGCGAAAAAAAAACAATTCATCTTACCACTCAACATTCTTGGATCTTCACACACACACACACACAATAAAACAGACACACATTCAATTTAAATGTGATATTACAAACACATTATATAAATATATCTCAAGAAAATCATATGATGATGATCTTTATTCAAATATTTCAATTCAAAACAAAAAAAAAACAAACAAATTATCGATCGATAATTCGTATCCAGAATCATTTTGATATATGTACAACATTTGTAGTGTTTTTCTTTACATTGTTTTTGTTGTTGTTGTCATACACAGATTCTCTAATTCTCCACAATTCAGCTACAATTTCTCATTCATTCATAATAATAATAATCGGTGCCAGAATTTTTTTTTATCATTAACCAACAAACAAATGAATTGTAAAACTACAGAATATTTTCTGTTGTTTTTGTTTATTTTTTTTTTACACACACACACACACACACACACATCATCTGCAATCATAAAACATAAAATGCCATCCGTTATATAATAATAATTTTTGATTGATTCATTCATTGATTCATTGTTATTCGTTTATTCCAAGAGAGTGTGTGTTTATTTCAGTATCAATTTCTCTTTATATCTCTGATCTTGCTCTTGCTCTTTCTCTTGATAGTGTCAAAGATGTTCATTATATATCAAAATGAATTTTTTTTTGTTTATATTTTTCTTTTCTTAATGTTGATCGTTTTTTTCTTTCTTTCTTTATTTCTCACTGTTTATCTGTTTGTTTGATATATATATACATTTATAAAACAAACAAACACATGAAATACGATGATTCATTGTTACACACACTTACACACACACACACACACGAATAAACATTGTCAAAATTGATGAATTATTTTCAATTATAAAACATCATCATCATCATCATCGATAATCCAAGATATTCTTCATTATTATTACTGATGATTTTACTTGATTTTTCTTCTTCTTTATGCTCTGTTTTATCAAATGTTGAAATATATTCACATATAAAAGAAATATATAATATATATTTATATGATGATGATGATGTGAAAAAAAATTCGGCAATTTCTAGTGATTACACAATAATAATAATAATAATAAATCGAATTGAAATAAAAAAAACCAATCTTTTTGGTTATAACGTAAATGATGATGATGATGATGTTTGTGCATTTTTTTTGGCGTATAAGCGTGAGCATCGACAAAAATGAAAAATTGATTGAAATTAATCAATCAATCAATCAAACACAATGTGCTTTGGTAAGCAGAAATTTTTTTTCTTTGCAACGAATAAATTGATTGATGATGATGATAGAAATTTCATTTTCATATAATTTGGGGTAAGTAAATTTTGACGATGAAACAGAGAATTTTGATATTTGTATTGGTTTTGCCAATATTGATCATGATCGAATATTCATTTGCCATTGGTGGTGCGCCAAGAAATGATGAAATTATTGCTCGAATTGATCTGATAAAGGTGCCAAATTTTAATCTTTGGTTACCACGATTATCGCTGTACAATTGTTATGCATGGTGGCTTGATCATAGAATGTTTGATTCATCCAATGTTGAAATTATTATTCCAGCTGCATTGAACGTACCATTTTCAATCAAAGATCGTCCATTCTATCTATATGAATTAAAACATCATTATCAGATTTATCTTTCATGTATGTATTATGATTGTTTAATGATTCACTACATTATATTATCGTACGTATTTAGCATTACCATTGAATCTTCGAAAATATCTGGAACGTATGGACCATTGTGCTGGAACAAAAATTGATCGATTCTATAATCAACATTCATATCGAAATTGGAACAATCAAAATATGGCAATGAATTTTATTTATCCAAATATTGAACAATTCTTACGAATTCAATTGCAAAAATTACAATCATATGTTGAACGTAATAACAGAAAACTTCGTGAACATTTTGAAAATGATTTGGACGGTTTGATCACCGAAATTGTTGATGATTTATTGATCAAAATGAAAAATCTTAATGAAACACAACAAAAATTCGAACAATTTGTACGGATCAAATTAATTGACGACGAGAATAGTTCCGAACAAAATTTAAATAGAAAAGAAAATTTTTCCAGAAAATTTATTCGAAAAGAAAATTCGTGGTGGCAGCTCGATTCATTATCGCAAACAATAATTCCTACAGTAATTATTGCCGTTTTATTCTGCATCACAGCATTGATAATTCTGTTGGCTTTAATTACATTTGTTTTATTTTATTTTCGATCTTTTTCGCCGTCATTATCGACAATTGCCCTTGATAATAATAATAATAATATTTGAAATTCTCTGGAACAATTATGTACACCTATATGGATTTTATAAATGTAATGATGAATGTAACATTTCCTTATTTTGTGAAAAAATCAATAAAAATTTAATCACTTTTTCTTTGGAATCTAATTTAGATTCGATTTATTTAAACAATATATTTGGATGATGATCAATTGATGGAAAAAATGAAACAAATTGGTCATTATATGAAAATATCGTCCACAATAAAGACGTTTCGTGAAACAGAATTTGATCGATGATGACTGACTTCAAGATTAAGGCAAGATTTTTACGTCTTATTGCCTTTACATATGGGTGAGAAACTTTTTTGTTTTGTTTTTTAAAGACTTTTTTCATTTTCATTTTGTTCTAATCAAAGATTTCTTGGTATTCAACTACATCCAATCGATTTGAATGATTGGAAATCCATTCTAAATGTTGTGATGAACATAACATTAAATTTATTGGTCATCAATGGTCTTTGGACACAAAGTTCATATAAATCAATGGCATTCGATAAACCATTATTATCACAAATTCTACGTATTTGTTATGAACTGCTATATCCAATCTCATATATAATTGTAACCATACAATATCTATTGAAAGGACGAAAATTTCTACACAATTTAGATATGTTTACAAGCAAAACATATGATAATGATGATGATGATTATGACCGATGGTATTTGAAACGTTTCATATGGACAATATTCATTACAAATTCAACATATTTTGTTATGAATTATCGAACGTTACTGAAATTAATTTTCACTGATTTCTCATTGATCAATTTGAATCCCGTTTGGCGACAATTAGGTGTCTATTTTATTAATGCACGTTTCCACTTATTTTGTAATCTAGTCATTTATTTTCAATCATCCATAATACGTTTTCTTGACATAATGATTGAACAATGCAATGTAACTGATCGACATGAAAATCAACCGAAATTCTCCATAATTATCGATGAAATGATTGATGCATCAAAATATTGTGATCAAATACAAAAATTTATTTCAATCAATCTACTGTTAATGATACCGATAATGACAATCAATATTATTATTCGTCTTTGTATCATGCAATATTTTACCATAATCAATTATCATATTCTACTATTACAAATAATTATTTTTGCCATCTACATTTCAATAATGGCCGTTTATAATCAATTAATTGCAAAACAATTATCAATCTTTCGTGATCGGTTATTGGTTCATTATTGGAATGATTATGAAAATTTATGTCCCAAAAATAGCGACAACAACAAGAACTACATTGAAATGATCATTATTCAACGATATGATCCAAGTCGTCATTATGAATTGAAAAATTTACTTGAAAATGATTTTCACATTAGAATCTATCATTTTTGTATTGTTGATCTGGATCTTATTATGGCAATAATTTTATTCATTATCAATAATACCGTATTCATAATACAAACAGAATCGATTATGTGATAAATAATTTCCACATTGTTACAATCGATTGATTGATCAATGGAAAATGAATTGATCAATTTATTTTCCATTATTTAATTAATCTATTGATGAAATTGTTTTGACAAATGAAACATTATTTCACATTCATTAATTCAAATGGCCAACACACACCACATCACACGGACGAACGAACAAACGACAATGAAGAAAGCAAAAACATTTTTATTTGGCAAACTTGTTGCCAATATTTTTGGGTATGAATTATTTTTGATTTTTTAAATTTTGAAATTTTTTTTTTCATACATTTTTTCTCTTAAAGGCATCTTGGTTGTCATTTTGATTCAATCAAACCATGTAGTTGGCGATCATTATTGAATTTATCATTCAGTATTCTATTGAATTCAATTTCAGTTTATGGTATTCATGTATATGATACAACGGATTGGCTTGTAACATCAAGTCCATTTTTTACACGTGTTATGCATATCACTTATGAACGTATATTTCCATTGCTTTATGCAATAGTTTCCATTCATTTTTATTGTTTGGGCTATCGAATGATTAATTTATTTGGTATGCTCATACCATATGCAAGAATCAATTATCGTCAACAAATCTGGAAATTCATATTGACCATTATTACTTCACATTTGTGTTATGTAATTCTGAATTTTTATAATATAAAAAGATTACTGCATCAACCAACAATCAAAGCTATTTGTTCACAAATTGGTTGGTATACAGCTAGTAATCAAATTCATCTGATTTACAATATGATCATCTTTCATCAATGTATGGTTGATTCATTTTTACAAACAATTGAAATGAAATTACTACACATCAACCATCATCAAAATTTTTGTCATACACCACGTTTAATTAATACAAGAATATTGAAAACTATCAAACGTGTTGCATGTTTATGTAAGAAAATCAGTCATTTTTTATCACACGGCTTGTTAATTCAAATATCCATAATGGCTTCAATTTTGAGCATAAAATTCTGCACATTTGTTCTATTTCATGAACAATGGCAAACAACAATATTTGAAACGCCTTACATTTTTTTATGTTATATTTATTTATCAAAAATTAGTTCATACAATCTATGCATAACGAAACGAATACAAATGATTCGTCGTCTAATGTTAATGTCGTATTGGAAACATTGTAATACAAATATTGATGAAAATCCAAAACAGTTGGTACAACGATTTGATCCAATACGTTTATTTGAAATGGCCACTATTTATAAAAATGATTTTATTGTAAGAATTTTTCTTATATTCAATATGGATTTTCATTTTATTCTATCGATCACTGTATTCGTTATCAATTATGTTGTATTTATAGTATCAACCAATTAATTTAATTTAATTGTATGATGATTGTCATTGAAAAATTGACATAAAAAATCGATACCAAAATGACAATAAATTCAATTCGATCTATAAAATGTCATGAATAATTGAATATTACAGAATATTCTGCAATTAATTCAAAATTATCAACACACACAAATTATATCTACAAATTAAAACTTTGGAAAATTGAAAAAAATACATTCCAACAAATTATTTTTCGTTTCCAGTGAATCAATTAAATATTGACATGTTGTTTTGTCGTTTAATTGCTATACTATTGATCATTTATTGATCTGCAAGAGAAAATTCCGTTCATCCATCCAAATGTTTTTCTTGTTTTACATAACATTACAATAAACGATATCGAAATGGATCGACGTCAAAAAAATTCCCGTCAATATCATCGTTTAATGTTGTTTACATTTGGGTATGTGTGTGTCAATATTTTTGAATTTTTTGAAATTTTATTTCATTTCATTTTTTTGTTTAATTCAGAAATTTAGGCTATCAATTTCAATCAATATGTTTACGATCATCATTCAATGTAGTGATGAATATCTTGATCAACGTGATTGCTACTTATGGTTTAAGTGTTTATGATCCACATGCTTTTATTGGTGAAAATTTTGCATCGAAAAAATTTTTCATTACACTATTAATATTTACCTATCATATTCTATTTCCATTTGGTTATTTATTGATTACCATTAATTATCTGATTTATGGTCGACAAATTCTACACAATATTTGTACATTAATTGTTGTGAATTTTAATAGATTTTACATTTTATTCACGATATTCATTGTAGTAAATGAATGTCTTTTTAGTGGATCATTTTTATTTCATTTTATTTTCCATGAACGCACAACAGATTTGCGAACATATGTAAATATTTTCGGCTGGTTTCAATCTGATATACAATTTTATTTATCCTGTTTTTTATCATTCATATTTCAAAAATCCATACTACAACTATTGATCAATATTGAACATGATATAATGGATAAAAGAAAAAATAATAATAATAATCAACAAATTCAATTCAATCGATATTTAACATTTGAAAATCAACGTTTATTGATTCAACGTTTAAGCCGTATGGCCAGTATCAGTAAAAGTGTTAATCGATGTTTATCATTTCATCTGATGATTTGGCTAATAACACAATCATTTAATTTGACATTGATATTTTGTATACAAAGGCTTAGTACATATACAGGCAATACGATATTATTATTGCGAATATTTATATATTGTTCATACATTGCCATTATATCACATAATAATCTGGAAATTTCAAAACAATTGAAAATGGTTCATCAACACTTATTATCACCATATTGGAATATGGCCAATTTACATTTGAACGTATTCGGCATTTGCAGTAGCACAATGATGGAAGAACAAAAATTGATCCGATCATTTGATCCAATACGTTTATATGAATTGTTCGATATGTATGAACAGGATTTTTTAATGAAAATTTATCAATTGAAAACAATTAATTTTACATTTTTAATGACACTTGTATTTTTTATTACCGAATATGGTGTATTTATTGTGCAAACTAGTTTATAATGAAAACGAAAAAAAAAACATTCAGAAAAAAACAGACACACAAAAAAATTACATTACAATTACCTGTGTTTATTACCACCATTTATCAGTGGTTACTATTTACCTCACAATAATAAATCACATTTTTTTTATTTGGTTCAAATGACCCGGCAACAATTATCCCATAATGATGATGATTGTCATTGAAAAATTGATACAAAAATGACAAAAAATTCAGTTCGATCTATAAAATGTCATGAATAATTGAATATTAAAGAATATTCCACAATTAATTCAAAATTATCAACACACACAAATTATATCTACAAATTAAAATTTTGGAAAATTGAATAAAAATACATTCCAGCAAATTATTTTTCGTTTCCAGTGAATCAATTAAATATTGACATGTTGTTTTGTCATTTAATTGCTATACTATCGATCAAACACCATTTATCGATCTGCAAGAGAAAATTCCTTTCATCCATCCAAATGTTTTTCTTGTTTTACACAACATTACAATAAACGATATCGAAATGGATCGACGTCGAAAAAATTCCCGTCAATATCATCGTTTAATGTTGTTTACATTTGGGTATGTGTGTGTCAATATTTTTGAATTTTTGAAATTTCATTTTTTTTTTGTTTAATTCAGAAATTTAGGCTATCAATTTCAATCAATACGTTTACGATCATCATTCAATATAGTAAAGAATATTTTAATCAACGTGATTGCTACTTATGGTTTAAGTGTTTATGATCCATATGATTTTATTGGTGAAAATTTTTCATCGAACAAATTTTTCATTACACTATTAATATTTACCTATCATATTCTAGTTCCATTTAGTTATTTATTGATTACCATTAATTATCTAATTTATGGTCGACAAATTCTACACAATATTCGTACATTAATTGTTGTGAATTTTAATAGATTTTACATTTTATTCTCGATATTCATTGTAGTAAATGAATGTCTTTTTAATGGATCATTTTTATTTCATTTCATTTTCATTGAACGCACAACGGATTTGGAAACATATGTGAATATGTTTGGTTGGTTTCAATCTGATGTACAATTTCATTTATCATGTTTTTTATCGTTCATATTTCAAAAATCGATACTACATCTATTGATCACTATTGAACATGATATGATGGATAAAAGAAAAATAATGATAATAATCAACAAATTCAATTCAATCGATATTTAACATTTGAAAATCAACGTTTATTGATTCAACGTTTAAGCCGTATGGCCAGTATAAGTAAAAATGTTAATCAATGTTTATCATTTCATCTAATGATTTGGCTAATAACACAATCATTTAATCTGACATTGATATTTTGTATACAAAGGCTTAGTACAGATACAGCCAGTTCAATATTATTATTACGAATAATTGTATTTTGTTTATACATTGCCATTATATCACATTATAATCTGGAAATTTCAAAACAATTGAAAATGATTCACCAACAATTATTATCACCATATTGGAATATGGCCAATTTACATTTGAACGTATTTGGCATTTACAGTAACACGATGATGGAAGAACGAAAATTGATTCAATCATTTGATCCATTACGTTTATATGAATTGTTCGATATGTATGAACAGGATTTTTTAATGAAAATTTATCAATTGAAAACAATTAATTTTACATTTTTAATGACACTTGTATTTTTTATTACCGAATATGGTGTATTTATTGTGCAAACTAGTTTATAATGAAAAACGAAAAAACATTCAGAAAAAAACAGACACACAAAAAAATTACATTACAATTATTACCTGTGTTTATTACCACCATTTATCAGTGGTTACTATTTACCCTCACAATAATAAATCACATTTTTTTTATTTGGTTCAAATGACCCGGCAACAACAATGATCCGGTAATGATGATGATTCAAAAGTTGTTTTTTTTCTCGTTTGGATCCAACCAGATCAAACGCGAATATTTTTTTTTTTTTTGAATTTTGATCGACCTAAAATCTTTTTACAATCATTAAATATTAAAAAAAATTTAGTAACAAGAAGATAACAGTGATGACAAAATGAATTACCGCATAATTTTTGTGTGTGTGTGTGTCTGTATACAAAGCAATAAAAAAATTAATGATAATAATACGAGTAAAGACGATGACAAAGTTTATTTTCATCTTATAAAAATTTTTTTTTTTTACATTCAAATATCATCCAACTATCCATTCATCCATCCATCCGACAACAATAAGTGATCCAGACAAATTATACAATCTTTGATTTCGTTCGATTTAAATTTAAATACAATTTTTTTATTACTCACATTTGACGTGACGTTGAATTCAACATTTTAAATTTTTTTTTTTTTTTTGACATTTATCGATCATTATTCGTCATGGCTAAAGAAAAAAATTTTTCGAAAAATCAATATGATCTAAATCGGAATATTTCTGTAAACAATCATAAATTGCAAGGAACATTGAAATTCCGATCAAACGATTCGTTCGATACATCCAATGGTGATGATAATGATGATGATGATCAACGAAAAATCAAACCGGATAATGATTGTAACAAGAAACAGCCACATGCATTTGATCGTGCCAATATTATTAGCAAATTATATTGTTTTTATGCATTTAGTTTTCTGTGGAAAAATTATAACAAAGATTTTGATCTTGATTCATTCGATCATTGTGCACGTTATGATGAATGTTGTCGACTTAGTGATCGTCTTCAAAAGTATGTTTTTGTATGTATTTTAAGTGTCGAAAATAATTTCAACTTTTAAAACGTTTTTAGACGTTGGAATCGAGAACTTGAACGAAAAGATAAGACTAAAATTAGTCTATTACGTGCTTTATTGAAGACGTTTGGATGGCGACATATACGGGATTTATTTTTCAATTGTTTCATTGTAAGATTGTGAATTTTCTCTATTTCGCTAATTTATTGTTCATTTTTTTTCAAAAGTATGGTTTTTTGCGAATGATTAATCCAATACTATTGGGACGATTTATATACTATGCAAATCTTTATCGGGAATGGCTTTTTCAAATGATCAGAATATGGATTCGATTAATGGCAATTCTTCGATAAAAATGTCTCAACCAAACATTGCAGCAAATCAAAATGGATTAGAATGGCTTGATAAATTGGCCATCTCATCAACTGATCATCATTTGAATGCCCTTTTCTATGCCGGAATGTTATCCATAGTAATCATGATTAATTTCATTGTAAGCCATCCATATTTTATGTCGAATTTTCGTTTGGGTATGAATGTACGTGTTGCATTGACTAAATTGATATACGATAAATCATTACGTTTAAGTCAATCGGCCATTCAACGTATTACAATTGGTAAAATTGTCAATCTTATTTCAACCGATGCTAGCCGTCTTGATGCTAGTTTTACGGCCAATTATTTCATTATTGGAGGTCCACTGCATTGTATTGTGGCTATGCTATTTCTTTATTTATACATTGGAAAGTATGTTTTATATGTCATTGAAAGAATTATTATTAATAATCCATTTTTGACAGGGCTTGTCTTGGTGCTCTCATCATAATCCTATTGTATTTACCATTTCAAGTTGTAATGGCCAACATTTTAAGTCGTTTTCGTTCGAAATCAATTCTTCTTACCGATAATCGTCTTCGTTTGATGGCCGAAATTTTACCAGCAATGCGTGTAATTAAAATGTATTGTTGGGAAAAACCATTCGCCATGCTAGTAAATTTGGCTCGTCGTTTAGAGATTATCAAAATCCGCCATTCAATGATCTTACGTTCAATTAATTTGGCCATATTTTTCGTCAGTAACAAACTTATTGCATTCGTTTGTTTTGTATGGTTTCTAGAGTCAAGCCAACAACAACTTACAGCCGAAATAGTCTTTGTTTCTTTATCGCTAATTTTTCAGATTCGTGAATCGATGACATTCTTTTTTCCGATGGCCGTATCATTTACTGTTGAATCATACATTTCATTGTGTCGTATTGAGGTAAGAATTTCCGTCACTACTTGATCAATAATCGAATTTTGAATTTCTTTAAACTTTAGAAATTTCTTTTTGAAGAAGAAAAATCCATAATACCAAAATCAATTGATATGATACCATCAATATCATTGAAATCAGTTACGGTTGAATCAGAAAGTGATGGTGCCATTATTCTAAATGATATTTCACTTGATGTTACACCTGGACAATTAACCGTCATTGTTGGACAAGTTGGTTCGGGAAAATCAACCATTTTACTTTCGATACTTGGCGAATATCGATTAAAATCCGGTACTATCGATACAAGTGGATCATTGATATATGCATCACAAGAATCCTGGATATTTTCCGGTACAATACGTGAAAACATTCTGTTTGGCCGTGATTTTGATTCAAAACGTTATTGTAAAGTGATCAAAGTTGCTGCATTAGAATCTGACCTAGATCAGATGCCCGCTCGTGATCAAACAATTGTTGAAGATCGTGGAACATCATTAAGCGGTGGTCAACGAGCCCGCATTTCATTAGCACGAGCATTATATACCGATTCGGATTGTATTCTATTGGATGATCCATTATCGGCTGTCGATACGGCTGTTGCTAAGCATATATTTGAAAAATGTATAAAAAAATATCTTAAAAATAAAGTGGTCATATTGGTCACACATCAATTACAATTCATCAAACAAGCTGATCAGATTGTTGTGTTAAAAAATGGTGCCTGTTTAGCTCAAGGATCATATCAAACATTGCTTAACAAAGGTATTGATATCTACAAATATGCGGCTACAGAAATGACTACAGATCAATCACTACCCACATCATCATCATCGAATGTGGATCATGGTCCTGAACATTTGCCATTAAATCAACGTAAATCATCAACATCTTCGATGATACACGCTGATTCTCCCCAATATGTTGTACGTTTAAATTCATTCAATTCAGAACTATTTGTACGATCACGAACATCATCGCTAATGAGCACAGCATCTAGTCTACAAGATGAAACAAGTATTATGGAATACGTGAATCGTAAAGATGAACAAATAAAATGAACAATATCGAATTGAAACGACTGGTACGGATTCCCAAAATAAAATGAATTCATTTAAAATTTATTGTGTTTATTTTCGTACCGGTGCCGGATTCTTGCTACTTTCAACGTTTATTTTTCGAATGTTTTGACACAAGTATTTTTTACCGGCACAGATTATTGGCTATCTGCTTGGACTGATTATCAAGAAAATTTACATTTACAAAATATGGATCCAAACCATCAATTCGATAAAAGTCCTATTATACATAAAGATTATGATAAAAATATCATCATCTATGCCTTTTTAGTCGGACTTTTGTTCATTTTTTCAATCATTCGAACGACATCATTTTTTACCACCTGTATGCGTGCATCAGTCAATTTACATAATATAATTTTTACTTCTCTTGTCAAAGTACCGATAATGTTTTTCGATAAAACACCCGTTGGAATCATCATGAATCGTGTATCGCGTGATCTAGGCATCATTGATGATCTTTTACCACCGGTTGCATTTGAAGCAATAGAAATTCTTGGAAATTCATTGGCCATATTTATACTATGTGCAACATTGAATTATTATATTCTTATACCGTTCATCATATTGGCCGTTTTATTATATTTTGTCATCCGGTTCTATGTAGATACCGCTCGTAAAATTAAACGTTTAGAAGCAACGGCACGTAGTCCATTATTTCAACAATTGGCAGCAACATTAGCCGGCCTGCCAACCATTCGTAGTTATGGTGCACAGGCTATGTTTACTGAAAGGTTTATCGATAAACAAAATGTTCATTCATCAGTTTTGTTTACATTTCTAAGTTCATCTCGTTTATTTGGTATAGCCATGGAAATCATGTGCCTTGTCTACATTTATTGTTTAATTATTTTTCTCATCTTAAACTTGGATGTTTATACTGGATCATTGATCGGATTGATTATTTCGCAATCATTATCATTGACATCGACATTTAATTGGGGTGTTAGACAAATGACCGAAGTAGAAACCTATATGACTTCGGTTGAACGTATTATTGAATTTGGCAAATTAGATCAGGAAAATCTTGATCAAGGAAAATTTGAACCAGAGGAAAAGTTGGCCTAGCCGTGGTGATATCAACTTCAAAGATGTATGTCTCTATTATAATATTTCGGATGAACCAGTATTGAAAAATCTTATGTTTAAAATAAATGGTGGCGAAAAAATCGGTATTGTTGGTCGAACTGGTGCCGGTAAATCATCGATCATAACAACATTATTTCGTTTGATGCAACCAACCGGTACAATTGAAATCGATGGCATCGATACCGAGGAAATAAGTTTAGCTTGCCTGCGAAAACAATTATCAATCATACCACAAGAACCTGTTCTATTTTCTGGCAATATTCGTCGAAATCTTGATCCATTCAATGAAAAATCTGATGAAGAAATTTGGAATGCTATTGAAAAAGTGGAACTTAAATCGAAAATTAGTTCCCTTGATTCATTAGTTTCAGAATGTGGTAATGATTTTTCTGTTGGTCAAAAACAACTGATCTGTATGGCTAGAGCCATATTACGTAAAAATCGTATACTAATTCTTGACGAAGCTACAGCCAATGTTGATCCAAGGTAAAATTGTTTTTTTGTTCTTATCTATACATTTTCTAAACCTTTTGTTTCCAATTTAGAACTGATTCATTCATTCAGGAAACAATACGTACCGAATTCAATGATTGTACAGTACTTACTATTGCACATCGTTTGAATACAATCATCGATTATGATCGTGTTATTGTACTGGACAAAGGTCGTCTAATGCAATTTAATACACCATATCAACTGATACAACAAGGCAATGGTATCTTCTATGAATTGTTTCAAAATCTAACTACCGAAATCAAAAACGAATTAAAACAAATGGCCAAAATGGCACATTATCGTCATATAAAAAATGATCGTACCGAACAATCATTGATCATTGGTAATAATTATGAATTAATTGATTGAAAGATTTGTACGATAATTAATATTTAAAAAAAACACTTGAATCATTGCACAATAAACGAAAAAAAAAATTATTATATAAATAATCACAAAAAAAAATATCTTTTCAATCTTGAAATTGTTAGCAATCCAATTCAATTATCATCCATTGAACTTATCAATTATTGCGACATTCAATGCAAAAAAATAATGTCAAAATTTCCGTTCTACTAATCTGGATTCGATGATGATGCTACACATATAATGCTACTGGGAAAAAAATTATCTACTGTCAATATGATGATGATGATGATGATGAGTGGTTTTTGGCTGTTTATCAAGGGTCTCAATTCACTAAATTGATCACAAGTTGTCGTCGTCGTCGTCGTCGTCGTCGTCGTATTACTTATTATTATTACTATTTGATTGATATGACAAATCTTTATTTTTTTTCCCAATAAAACATCCGTGATTTTTATCGGGGGCATATATTATTATGCTCGACATATGTTCTTAGTATTTTTTTCTCTGTCCACAATTGACCAAATTGTGTCATTCTTTCATTTGAATCGTTTACAATTATGTATTGGAAATTATTATTATTAGTATTGGCCATATTAATATTGGGATTCTTGCATGAAAATGTAGAATCATCGTCATCGTTATCAAAAAGTATGTAATCGAATGAATCTATTTATCGATTATTTAGTTTAAATTTTTTTTCTCATTCAATTTCAATTCAGAATATGAACATCTTCATAAGATTGAACCAATGGTGAATGATACATTGCAGCAAAAAACAGTAAATGATTTAATTAGAAGATTATTACCGAATCATTTTAAATGGTTTGATTTGATTGTTGATCGTCATATGATCGATGATGATGATGATGATGATAATCATTTAGATCGATTTATAATTGAAACCACTTTAAATCGAATGATTCGAATTAAAGGAACAACAGGTGTTGCCGTTGCTAATGGCATTTATTATTATTTAAAAAATATTGCCAATTGTTCATTTTCATGGTCTGGTGATCAAATGAATTATTTTCTTGTCAATGATAATGTTCCAATTCCATCAGAATCAATAACAATAATTATAAGAGATAAATTCCGTTATTATCAAAATACATGTACGGCATCATATTCAAATGTTTGGTGGCAATGGTCAAGATGGCAAAGAGAAATCGATTGGATGGCATTACATGGTATTAATCTTCCTTTGGCATTCAATGGCCAAGAAATTGTTTATCGTCGTACATTTCAACGTTTTAATATGAGTACCAAAGAAATTGATGATTATTTTACTGGACCTGCATTTCTTGCCTGGAATCGTATGGGTAATATTCAAACATGGTCTGGACCATTATCCGAACATTGGCATCAATATCAACATCAGTTACAATTACAAATACTTAAACGAATGAGAAATTTCGGTATGTATCCAGTGGTGCCTGGATTTGCTGGACATGTTTCTCGACATTTAAAATCTCATTTAAAAACTTTTGCCAATATAAGTCGTCTAACTGATTGGAATCAGTTTGGCCATCAATTTAGTTAGTATGTTTTATTGTTACTATCGATAGTTGTTTTTGATTATCAATTAATCGATTTTCATCCTGTTTCAGTACCTATTTTCTTGAACCAGAAGATCCAAATTTTATTAAAGTTGGAAAAGTTTTCGTTGAAGAGGTATGTGTTTATGAAATTTTGATTTGTTTTCTTTTTAAATTAAAAATGAATTTTTCCTAGCGTAGTACATCAAACTGTATGGTACGGATCATTTTTATAACATTGATCTATTCAATGAAGAGACACCAGGTTCTAATGATCCAGCTTATCTTCGTAAATGTAGTAAAAATGTTTACGAAAGTATTTCGGCCGCAGATCCACAAGCAATCTGGATAATGCAAGGATGGCTATTTTTATTTGAATCAAGTTTTTGGAAACAAAAACAAGTTGAAGCATTCGTTACATCGGTTCCAAGTGGACGGATGATCATTTTGGATCTATTCTCTGAGATTATTCCCGTTTATCAAACATTCAATGGTTATTATGATCAACCATTCATATGGTGTATGTTACATAATTTTGGTGGAACGCATGGCATGTATGGTGCATTGAATCGTATCAATGATGAATTGTATCGTGTTCGAAATTCATACAAAAATTTTCTTGGCATCGGTTTGACTATGGAAGGAATCGAACAAAATGATATTGTCTATGATTATATGACTGAAACTAGTTGGTATGATCGTGCACCAGATATGATTGAATGGTTTAGCCATTATGTACGAAGACGTTATGGTTTTATGGATAAATTCCTTGAAACAGAACTTTTAGATCAAGCATGGCAATTATTAAGAATATCTGTTTATACTGATCCTATTGGTATTCGAAATCATGGACGTTATGTCATAACAATGGTACCAAAACCTGGATTACATTCACAACTATCATATAATCCTCTTAATCTAACTGAAGCAGTAAAATTGATGGTGAAATTTGTTAATCTGAATAGTAAATCTGAAACCACTCGTGAACAATTACTATCATCGGAAACATTTGTTTATGATCTAGTCGATATGAATAGACAGGCATTACAGCTTATATTCGATTACCATTACAAACAATTAGATGTTGCTTGGATTGAACAAAATGAATCAAAATTAATGATGGCCATGGAAAAAATGAAAAATATACTTGAATTAATGGAACAAATATTACAATCTAGTCAACATTGGTTGCTCTATAATTGGATTAATAATGCCCGTTCAATTGCTAATAATAGTAAGGTCTGTATTTTTGTCACAAAAAAAATTTTTTTTTGTTCTGTTTCCATTATTATAATACAAAATTTTATTTTAAAAAAAAGGAACGTGATTACAATGAATGGCAAGCTCGAAATCAGATTACATCTTGGGGACCAAATGATAATGTTTGTATATATATATCAAAATTATTTACACAACACAACTAATTTGAAAATATATATTTTTCAATCATGTCAATTATATTAGATTGTTGATTATGCAGCAAAACAATGGTCAGGAATGTTTCAATATTATTACACGCCACGTTGGTTATTCTATTTTAATTATCTACAAACAATGATGGCCAAAAATCAAACAAATTTTGATCCAAAACAATTTCAATATGAATTATTACGACAAATTGAATTACCATTCACTAAAGCTACAGGACAAAATTTAATACAAAAAGCTAATGGTAAGTTATTTTTGATTATATTGATATGAATAATATCTTATATTTATAATAATAATCGGTCATATATATTATAGTTTCGAATTTGATTGCCAACGTTAATCTTGTGGTTAAAGAGATTGAACAATCAATCGATCATGACGATGATATGATTGAAATTAATGTACCGATTCCATATGAATATTATGATATTTTATCCAAATATCCATTTGTTCGTTATTATCGTGCCGATGTTGATCAGGTTTTCATTGATGATGAATGATAATTTTAAATCTTTTGAACTAGGATAACCAAAAAAAAAAAAAAATTTTTTTTTTGATAATTTTAAAAAGGTCATATATCTAATAAAATTGAAGGTAATAGGATCGTTTTTATTAAATGATTTCTTTACACGCTAGATGGTGACCACGGTCATCATTTGGTGGTCAATCGTGTGTTCTCTTTTATTTTTAGATTGAGGTTTGCTCGCTGTATAACGACGTTCAAAGGGGGGGTATGTGACTTGTTTATTTTTCTTCAAAATTTCGATTTTTTTTTTGATTGCATATCCAAGATATGTTTTTTTCCATCATGAGAGAGAGAGAGAAAGAAAGATGGGCAAAAGAGGGATATGTATGTGGTCTGGCTAGTTTGAACTAGCTGTTGTTGGTTTTTTTTTTTGCTGATCAATCGATCGAAAAAATTATTTACCAACTTTGAATCGTTTTCAATTTTTATTAATAACGAGAAAAAAACCCAAAACGATAATGATTATGAGAACTGCCGGTAATCGAATCATCAAGATATTTATTATTGAATGTCAATAACAACAAATCATCATCATCATCATCATCATAATAAATAAATAATCAACATTGTAATGGACAATGTACGATAAGCAAAACGATGATTAATATATTTATATATATTATGAGAACACAAAATTCCCGATAACAAAAAAAATTTATTGGAAAGAAGAGAAATTGAATTTTTTTTTTCTTTTTGATTTCATGTCAAAAAACTTGAGAAAAAAAAATTATGGATAAATAATATATTGTTGTCGCCAGTCAGACGAACATTTGTCAACTGTGAGATTCTGAGAGCGGGAAGAAAAAAAAGAACACAACAACAACAAAAAAAAAAATCTTAAATTCAAACAAACAAAAAAAAAGTTTCGTTATGGCAACAATGATGAATAACGGAACAATCATTTTAATCCTGTTTTCTATTGTTTTATTAAATCTATTATTTCCATTTACAAATCTTTTTTATACCGAGCTTAATGTTAATAATAATATACAGCCACAACGTTTATTATTACAAAATAATAATAATGATGATGATGATCATGGTTTTCATCATCATAGAAATATTATTATTCGTCATAATCGTTCGTCACAATTTTTTTATGATAGATTACGTTATAAAAAATTATTGAATATTCGACCACGAATAAGTGATCGAATACAAAGTGATAATATTGAAAATTTAGTCAAACGTTTATTACCTCAACATTATAAATATTTTATCATCATTGTTGATCATCATTTTATCGATGATAATGGTGGTGGTGGCTATCTCGATCGATTCAAGGTTTGTATGAAGAATTTTTTTTCCCCATTTTTAATAGTAATTAATTTTTTTTCTCTAACCAAAAACAGATTGAAAGTATTCATAAAAAACAAAAAATAAAAATTACAGCTACAACTGCTGTAGCTGCTGCCAATGGTCTTTATTATTATCTGAAATATGTGACAAATAGTTCGATATCATGGTCTGGTGATCAGATTAACATCAACATTGATGATATACCACCAATGATTGATCATACAATTGAAATGACAATACGTGAAAAGTAATTTTTTTTTTATTATTTTAAATGTTTTTTTAATTGCTTGTCTAATTACATAATAGATTCCGTTATTATCAAAATGCTTGTACAACATCATATTCAATGGTTTGGTGGCAATGGAATCGATGGCAACGTGAATTGGATTGGATGGCATTACATGGTATCAATTTGGCTTTAGCATTCAATGGCCAAGAAATTGTTTATCGTCGTACATTTCAACGATTTAATTTAACTATTGAAGAGATTGATGAATATTTTACTGGACCAGCATATTTAGCATGGAATCGTATGGGAAATATTCAAACATGGTCTGGACCATTATCTGAACATTGGCATCAACATCAAACAAAATTGCAGCGAAAAATTCTCAAACGAATGCGAGAATTAGGAATGTATCCAGTTGTACCAGGTTTTTCCGGACATGTACCACGTGCATTTCGACGAAAATTTCCTTTGACAAAAATGAATCGTTTAGCCAATTGGAATCATTTTGGAGCGAATTATAGCCAGTACGAGAATTTTGATTCGATTTTCGCTATTATTACCCTAATTTTTTATTTGTTTGTTTAGGACTTATTTTCTTGAACCTGAAGATCCTTATTTCATTGATATTGGAAAAACATTTATTGAAGAATATATTGAAATGTATGGAACTGATCATTTTTATAATATCGATATGTTTGTGGAAGAAACACCATCATCTAGGAATCTATTGTATCTTCGAAAATGTGGTAAAGGTGTTTATGAAAGTATCCGTCGAGCTGATCCAGAAGGAATTTGGTTACTGCAAGGATATCCATTCAATTCATTGTATGATAAATTTTGGGGTCCAAAACAAGTAAAAGCATTAGTTACAGCTGTACCATCGAATAAGATGATAATTTTGGACAATATTGCCGAAGTTATACCGATCTATCCACAAACCGATGGTTATTTCGGGCAACCATTTATCTGGTGTATACTACATAATTATGGCGGTGTTAATGGAATGTTTGGATCATTGAATCGAATTAATCAGCATGGAGTTTTCGATGCACGTAATCAATATCCAAATATGTTGGGTATAGGTGTTGCACCGGAAGGTATTGAACAAAATGATATCGTATATGATTATATGTTAGAAGTGCCATGGTATGATCAACCACCAAATCAATCTGAATGGTTTTCACGATATTCCCAACGTCGATATGGTATCGAAGATCAACATTTAGATCATGCATGGCAATTATTACGGAAATCGGTCTATTATGATCCAATTGGCATTAAAAATCATGGTCGATATAGTTTCATATCTAGACCTCGTCCACATTCACATTCGATGCTTTGGTATGATCCACGCAATGTTTCTAATGCTTTACGTTTATTCAGCAAATATATGGAGAAAAATCCTAAAATCATATATCGATCCGATACATTTGTTCATGATTTGGTCGATATATCTCGACAAACATTGCAGCTAATTTTTGATTATCACTATAAAATAATAGATAATGCATTCGAACAGCGGCAACAAATTGCAATTTTATATGAATCGATAAATCAACTTAAAAATGTTCTCGATTTGACCGAATCCATTCTTCAATCATGTCAACATTGTCTACTATATAATTGGATTCATGATGCACGATTATTAGGCAATGATACGGATGAAAAAGATTTTAATGAATGGCAAGCACGAACACAGATTTCCATATGGGGGCCACAATCTAATGTAAGTAAATTTTGTTTTTTAATGTTTTTTTTTCTATTAATCACATCTCTTGTAGATTGCAAATTATGCTGCCAAACAATGGTCTGGTATGTTTCATTACCTATTCAAACCACGATGGGAGTTATTCTTTACCGAAATCATCGATTGTTTAACTCATAATCGAACTTATAAGGGTAAAGAATTTCGTAGGAAATTATTCGAAACGATTGATTTACCATTTACGTATCAAAAAGCTGAACAACAAGAATTGGTGAAAAAAGCAAACGGTAAGTTTGCGTCATATTTTTAACGAATTGATTTTAATCAAAATGAATTTCACTTTTTTTCTTATTAAGTTTATAATCTTATCTCTAACGTTGATTCAGTGATCACTATGGCTGCCAAATCGATCGATTTACAATCAAATTTTAAATATTATTACAATGATACTGAAAGATGGTTAGAATGATGATTGATCATTGATAATAATCATTTTGTTTTCGGCTAATAATTTGGGAGTTTTCCATTTATTAATCAGTCATTTGCGATTCACAATGAAAGGGCGTTTTCAATCATTCGGATGCTTTAAAAACGATTTGCAATCGATCATTTTCTCATTCCAGTCATCATATTTATTTCCATTTTGAGATTTTTCATAAAATTCATCTTACTAAACGATAATGGCCAAATTTATTTCGATCACGACCATAACATTGCTGCTGTTAATGACCATAACCACGATTCGAACAATTGATTCGAAACCAAACGATGTGAATAAGAATAATAACAGCACTAAACCATCAAATGAAACAACATTCAAAACTACTATAGCTAACAATACAAAGACAAGTCCGTCATCATTATCAACAAAGAAATTCTCCAGTCAAAATCGTACGGCGCCCACCATGCTTCATTCAACAACAACTACGTTGAAACCGACTACTAAGAAAATGTCAACACCAAATCCGACGTCAACAACATCAGCATCAACTCATCGACCAAATGCTGCCCGATCAGAAAATTTGTCTAAATCAATTGGATTGGCAATAATCGTGTTGTTTTTGTTGTTTAAATTATAAATAAATGATAAAATCGATGATTTTCAATTGAACATAAAAAAAATTCAATTTTTTCACAGTTTATATAAACACAAGTCTATCCATTTATTCAAATTGATTTTATGAATCTAATCAAAATTTTATCAATCATTTTTCGACAATTTCACCTTTTTTTATCAATAATGATCTGGAGTAATTTTTATTTTGCAAAAAAATATAAATAAAATTTTTTCATTAATACAAATCGAACCATTTTGAATATAGTGTGTTGGCGCGGATATATAGAATGATGATGATTTCAATGAATGACCGTAATTAATGTTCTATTTTTTTTGTAGTTCATTTAAATCCTCAACGATTTCGTCGTATACAAACGAATAGTAAACCAATAACAATTAGCACGGCAATCACAATCAAAATAATAGCCCATATTGGAAATGGTTTAGAATCAGAATCAGATTTATCATCTAGGTATTGATCACATTCACGCGGATAATCGATTCCATTATATGATGTACAAGCAATTTTCATTATATTGGTTTCCGTTTCAACTTTCGTGCCAATCGTTATCGATGGAACTAGGAGATTTTTTTTGGAAAAAGGGATTAATCAATGTTTTTTTCAATCAATTCATATTTGCTCATCTTACAATGATCTAATTTTGGCTGGATCGATTCAGTTTGATGTTTCATTTCGCGAAATATATCCAAGTATGATGTTTCATTACTATCAGCGCAGATATTCAATGCTTTATATAAATCATACGAATAATAATACCAAGTTTGATAAGAACATTGTTGGGCAGCAAAGACGATATTGTTTGAATAATTTCCATGATTGAAAAAACATAATGTAAATTCAACCAAATGTGAATAGCCATCAAATTCTGAACTATGATAGTGATTTGCACAGGCTATATAACGATTAGCGAAACATTCTTCATCAGATGGACAACTAAACGAATCATTATTGTCAATGGTATTGCCATATGGCACCAAAGTAATCTTCAATAGTGATTTTAATTTCAACTGATTTTCAACTTCATCAAATAATGATGTTTCTTCTTTTTGATGTTTGTTCATAGATAAATACGAATAAAATGGCTTCAAATTATTAATAATAAAATCCCTTCCAGATTGATCACAGGAAAAATATATTCGCAAATCGGTAGCCATTGCATTTGATATTGATGAACATCGAGGATTTTTGATCAACTATGAACAATATATAATTGGTGATTGACAAAAAAAAACTTTAAGTTTGTTGACACTTACCCCATAATCATCGCAAATTGTAGCAAATAAATTTTTCACTGCTTTTTCGGAATATTGTTTATTCAAAGTGATCCATGGTAATAATTTATCGCCAAAATTTCCAGACTCAGTTTTAATGGCCAATTCATCATATAGTTCTTCGCCCCTAGATCCATTTGAACATTCAACAATATGGTTCCATGATTCACCCGAAAAATATTGATTAAAACATGATTGAATCAATGTTGAATTATCGGTCTCAACAGATTCATCAAGTGAACAGACCAAAAAATTGGCTGATTTAATACGCATCGTATCGAAAAATTTACTATTATTGTAATATTTATCCAAAATACAAGCCTGAAATCAAATAATCAATTTATTAAGATTAAGGAAGACGTTTATCAAACTTACATGAATCTTATTTTCGGAACATTGTTGATTGCCAGATGGACATTCGTATCCATCATTTTTTCTTACGGTTTTGCCGTATGGATAGAAATTAAATTCACCAAATTCATCCAAATATTCTGATTGATAAGAAAGTTGTTTTGTGGCAAATTTTTCTACAGATTTTTCGAGAGTTTGATAGAAAATTCCAATCGATTTTCGGTCTAATTGGCATTGTTTCGGTTTATCATCCTGAAAAAGTTTGTAAAATTACAATTTTGATATACAAACTATCATTATATACAAACCGAATAGTACATGGAACAAATATGCGTCATTAGATTTAGTTCATCTTCTTTGATTACGCCATCAATCTGAATAAACGGTAGACTGGCAACTGGTTTATAAATATTTATGAGTATTTTCATATTTTTCTTTAAAATTTCTTTCATATTATTAACACATTCTTCGATTATATTCCATGATGATTCATCAAATATTTCATTGAAACAAGTTTCAGTTGAATTTATTTCAGTGAATTTTTGTCCAAAATGACAGTTAAGAAAATCGATTAATTTTTCCATTTGATTTTGATGATAAAAAATGATGCACCCCTTTTATTGAAAGAAAAACGAAAAATTTAGCGCGCATCCATGGATAATTATTTTACTTACATGTTGAAATGTTTGTAGGCATTCAACATCATTAATGCATTCAGTTTTGTTATCAATGTCCAGATGATATATAGGAATTGGCAGAAGTGTAGAGATCGAAGTATCGATTTTTGTTCGATTACGATCAAATTGTGTTATGAAAACGTTTCTTGATCGTGGATTTTTCGCTTCATAAAATACTACAATCGAAGGTTTATCCGTGAACTTTTGATAACATTCACTGGGCTTCTCTAGTCCCTATTAAAAACAAATTAGAGATACTGTCGTGTGGAAAAAATTCAATTTTATAAGAAAAAAAAATGTAAACTTACATCATATGAATCACAAATAGTACGAATAAAATGATTTTCAGCATCATAGGAATGATGATTCTGTATTGTTATCCATGGAACATAAGCAATTTTTGGTAATAATTTGGAAACAAATTTATCGTTATATTCTTTCAATGAATCAATAGATTGATTTGATTTTGCACAATTCAGAATCGACGACCAACTATCTGTATGAAATATTGATTCAACACATCCTTCAGCTATTGATGCAAAATCTAAATTTGGAACAAATTTCGAAAAATAACAATCAATAAATTTGATAACTTGAAGTTGTCCATCGATTGCAGCATGTGTACTATTGTTGCTAAATGTATCCACAACACAGGCATGAATCCTAGTAGCTAGACATTCAACTTCACCGGGACAATTTAATTTATGATCATCAATGGATGATTTGCCATATGGAATTATTTGAATATCAGCAATTTCTTCTAAATGAAAATAATTTTCATAAAATTTATTAATTTTTATGAAATTTGCCACTTCAAAATCAAATGCTGAATAATGAAATTGTATTTGAACTTTTGATGGTTTATCACGATGACATGCCAATGGTTTTTCTCCCAATAATTCATTACAGATTGAAGTCTGTAAATTTGATTCTGCTAACGACATTTGTTCACCATTAACAATAACAGCAATATTATCTGTCATTGTTCCGACAACATCAATTGTTTTTTGACGTATATTTCTCAAATAGCCAAGACTTTCGGTTTCATTCATTACACAGCTATTTATTTGATCAGCGATAGGAAGAAATTCATTTTCACATTGTTGCATCAATTCCGTCAAAGTGATATCATTGCCAATTTTTTTAAAAAAACAATGAATAAACGATAATGTTTGATTTTTACTATCCCAAAGAGCAGTTTGACTGTCGACCAATTCTTCTTGGTTCCAATATCGATTCAAAACACATGCATGAATTTTATTTGCCTCACAACGTTCAGCATCATTTTCGCATTCATCTTCAACGGTTTTGTTTTTATCTGCCGGACCATATGGATAAAGATTCAATCGAATTCTTTCACGAATATGACGAAACGTAGGTATTAATTGTTCAATGAAAAATTTTCTTGAATCCGATGCATATGATGAATAATAAATATCGACTGTAGCTGTACTACATTCATCTGGTTTATGGCCATTATATTTTGTACAAACTGCCTGCAATAGATCTTCAATAGCTTCATGATTATTTTCTACATTATTATTCAATGTAATCCAAGGTATTGTTATTTCAGTTTTTGATAATTTTTTCTTCAATTCAGTTGTTTTTTCCAACGCTTTTTTCAATGATTCACCATTGATTTCGGGCAATTTGTCACCATTTAATTGACTTTTAGCACATTCATCACCAATTAATTGAACATTATTTGGCCATTGTGGATGTGAAACAAAACAGGCGATAAAATTCGTTATACGTAAACGTTCATCAATTATATCTAATTGATTTGGTGATTCATATTTATCAATTACGGATGCATGTATTGCGTTTGCCAAACAAATTGAACTATTTGAATCATGACAATTTCCATTGGTTGCATCCACTAAATTTTCTGTATTACCAATTGGATGAAGAAAAACATTGGCAATTTCTTCAATGAAAACATGAGTATGATTCAATTGTGTAATGAAAAAATGTTTAGCCAATTCATTATTTGAATCATAATAAACATCAACATTCACTGGATTTGATTCATCCATTGTACAATAATCTGGTTGATGATAATCATCCTACATTGTAAATTATAATCAAAAAAAAAATTATCATTTTTGTTATTTGAATTAAATTTGATAATTTTTAAACTTACAAAATGGTTACAGATTTCTTTTTTAACCTGTTCATTATCGAGTAGAATTTGTTGATTATTTGTGGCATGATTAAAAATTACAATCGGGACCAGAGAAATATTTTCAATTCCACTTGAATGTGTTTCGGCAATCCATTGCGTTAACAAAACTATTGATTCTTCAGATTTGGCACAGAGATCAATATTTAACCATTGTTCAAATCCATCAAGGTATTTATTAGCACATATTTCTCCAAGATCGTACGGTTTTTCTATTGAACGTATATTTTTCATCGTACACCAGATAAAATCAAACACATGTTGGCGATTATGATCGGTAAAATTGGCACCATCATTCCAATAATGATCAATGGCACATGCATGAATTTTCATCATTTCACATTGATCCGGGCCACCTGGACATGTTATTGAATTATTATTTGATTTAGCTCGTCCAGTTGGTTTGAAACTGAAATCAATCAAATTATATAGATTCTGAAATATTGGCCTTAAATGATCGAGAAAAAATCGACGTGATGGCTGATGTGATGCTTCATAGAATATGGTCATCGGAACTTTGGTACAGATTGCCGGTTTTTTGGGAGAATTCTAAAATTTAATAAATTTATTTAGTGTTTCAATAGCATGAGATATGTGATGATTATTTCACTTACAAATTTATCACAAACTTCCTGAACAAGATCATTGAATGCATTGACATTAATTTTATCATTATCATTCACTGTGATTAATGGAAGATTTTCCGAATTCGCAGTATTCATTATTTTTTTTGTACGTGTTGAAAAATCTCGAAAGATTTTCTGCATTTTTTCACCGTTCATTTTGATTTCTTCAAGAAATTCAATATATTCATTATTAAGTTTTACATTTGTACATTCTTCAAGATGATCATATTCATTGCCAATTTTTTTACCAATTAAACAATCAAGAAAATTCAATACACGATTTGGACCGCTAATCAAATCACCATTATGTTCATTGTTAATATATCTATCAACGACCAATGCCTATTTGTTTGATGAAATTTAAATCCAATGAATCGATATTGAATTTTGAAAAAATTTGATTACCTGAAATCGATTACTAAAATCTTGTCGTTTTTTTCCACTGGAACTATTGGTAATCATATTTGTGTCATCGATTATGATGGTATTACCAAATGGTATCAATTCTAATTCAATAATATCATCCAGAACATGATAGTATGGACATAACTGTTGATGGAAATAATTGTATGAAATTGGATTCAATGCTTCATAATATACAGTTACAGCCACTGGTATCGTTGTGGGTGGATTTTTACATTCATCAACATTCTTGTTTTTAACGAAACAAAAAAAAATTTATGCAACCATTTTTCAAAACTCTTCATACACTTACCGGTAGTAATGAGCAGATTTGTTTGATGAAATCTTTTCTTGCTTCTGGATCATGTTTATCATTAATGAAAATCGCCAAACCTTTCTCAAAATCTTTTTTGCTTTTTCTGTTTTATTGGCCATTATTTCATTGATTTTATCTTTACCGACACATTCTTTAATCGTCATCCAATCATCATCACTGTTTTTAATACAATTTTCCGCCAATTCTGCAGGTTTGGATAGAGATTTTCTATTTTTAAAAAAACAAGAAACAAATCTTGCCGTTTGAATATCCGTGATGATAAAAGTTCCATTGGTGTCTCTTTTCGATTACACAGGCCTTTTGAAAAATTTCAATTTTTGATTATAGTGAATAAATGAATCATAAAATTACCTGATATTTATTGGCTAAACATTGAATATCACCATATGGACATTCATATGTACCGTTTTGTTCAACAGTTTGTCCATATGGATAAAGTTCCAGATGGATATTTGTTAGATTTATATATTCAATCATTGGACGAAATTGTTGTGCCATAAATTTCTGTACATTATGATTGGCCGTTTCGTAGAATATTTCTACTTTTATCTTTGCATCTTGTTGACAATCAACTGTATTCTGTATTTTTTTAAATTTTATTTTACATTTAAACAACAAATTAAATTAGGATATATAAAATCATTTCCGTTTCGAAAAAAAAATCAGCACTCACCAATATTGATAATGATAATGATGATAAAAATACAATGAATAATAATACATGACGTATGGATCGGACAATCGATTCGAATCTTGGACCATCGATAGTCGTATTTGTTGATAAGAATTTTTTTATTTTTTTCATTTTCTATTTTTTTTTGTCGAATTAAAAAAACACAATAAACAAAAAACAAAAATCGAGAAAAAAAAAATTAGAAACTAGAAAAAAATGGTCAAAAAACAATGTCAAACAATGACTTAAATATATGGTCGTTTTTGTTTTATCATCATCATCATCAACATTTTATTAAAGTCAATAAAAAAAATAACAATGAAAAAAAAAAAAAATTTATCGTACACGCCAATTTATCTGATTTCAATTGAAAGAATATGGCTGATTGATTTATTATATCCACCGCAATAATTATTCAATTATCAAAGATCCGTTTTTTTTGGATTGTAATCTTTCCTGTTCGTATATCAATGTCAAATCTCTGTTCTAACAATAAATGATGACTGATGTCTCTAAAAAAAAAATATGACAGAATTGAATTTTTTTTAAAAAAATTTTTTTTGGGCACAATAATAGTGTGCGGAATTTTGTAAGTAATAAACTTTGGCTACTTTTACACAGTATCTGCAGATAAAAATTATTATTTTTTTTATTAGGTCAATTTGAAAATTGCAAAGATCAGTGTATTGGAATTGTGTTCCAGTTTTTATTTTTATTGTTTTCATCTCATTTGATTTGATAAAATTAAAATCACACACACACACACACACAGACAAAGAAAGAAAATTTTCAAATTTGAAAAAAATGAATGAAAAATCATCATTCATTCAGGATAAATGGAATTCATTGATTTTGATTTCATTCTCCTTGATAATTGGGTGGCCTTTTCTCTTGGAACGCTTGTAAACCTTCGATTCGATCTTTTGTTTGTACACATTGTTGATAGCAAGCGCCTTCAATAGCTAGTCCGGTATTAATATCCACTTCTGATCCACGATTAATAGCCATTTTAGCTGCTTTCAATGCAATAGGTCCTGTTTGTAACATTTCTTCAGCCAATGATACCGAACGTTGATAGGCAGCATCATGTGTTTGATTCTGTGGTACAACATAATTAACCATTCCATATTGAAATGCTTGCTGACCATCAATGATACGTCCAGTAAATATTAATTCTTTGGCTATATGTGCAGGAATCATACGTGGTAATCGTTGTGTACCACCTATATATTATATTATTATTGTGATAATAAACGATAAAATTCATTAATTGAAAGAAATTGAATTAAAAGCCATAAAGAATTTATTACCAGCACCAGGAATGATGGCCAATTTTGTTTCAACAAGACCCAATTTGGCATTCATTGATGCAACACGAAGATCGGCTGCAAGTGCATATTCGAGACCACCACCTAATGCTGCACCATCGATTGCGGCTATGGTTGGATGTGGAAAATCTGCTATAGCGCTTGAAATCGAACGTAATTTCGAAACAAATAATGGAACCTCTTTTATATGCATTGAAGCACGTTCTCTAAGATCGGCACCGGCACAAAATACACCAGGTACTACTGAACGAATGATCAATACACGAATCTCATCATCTTTTGCCAATTGATAGATACTATTGTTCAATGCTCGAACCAATGATTTACTCAATGAATTTGCCGCTTTTGGTCGATTCAACGATAGAACCTGAAAATGACAATAAATTTGTAATTATTAATGAATTTAACTAAAAAAGTAATAATTAATTAATTGATGAAATTGTCAACATACAACAATTCCATTATGTTCACCCGAAAGACGACTCATGAAAACTTCATCATCACGTTGTGATGTAAATGATGTAGCAATCACGGTACGAATCGATGACAATGATGTCGGTTTATTGGATAATGAAATCAATTTTCGTATCGATGATTGATTATTGAGCAAAAAATGTTTCATTATTTGTGTCATGATTGTTTTATATTCGATTAAAGAGAAAGAGAGAGAGAGAGAGCCAATAATGTTTGATTATCACATCGATCAGAATCTGAATTGTCCGAATAATTCAACAATGATCATGTACAAGAAAATCAAAATTTTCTTACGTTTCTAAGACACCAAAATATAATGTTCATTCAGTATATACAGTCAGAAACTCAATTATCAAACTTTTTCAATCATTCAACGCTGTATTAAAAAAAAAAAATACAGACGATGTTTGAAAAAAAATGATTCTATAAACATGCCAAGTTTTTACAATGCAAGTTCACATCATCATCATCATCATCATCGTATGAAAAAAAAAATTTTTCGAATAAATTCATGATTTTTCAATGTAAAACCGAAAAAAAATCAATCATGGACAATATCGAATCAATGTTGCCATCATTACAACCATATTTAATGAAACAAAAAAGATCAACATGATGACCACAATCGGTCAATACTATCGCAGATATTCTCAAATGAGTCATCATGTCGTGTTGTGATTGCTCAAAATTAAAAAAAAACCTGGCTTTTTTTCCATATATTCACTCTTTCATATACACATTTTGTTTTCTCAATCATCATTCATTCATTCATTCATTTGTAAAAAAAGAGAAGAAAAAAAAACAGAAAAACCTTGATTATTTAACTCGACAACAACAACAACAACAACAACAGAAAAACAGACAACAACAAACACAAGCTGTTTTGTCCATACATTTTAACTGTTTGATTCGATTCCAATGGAATGGAACGAATAAATTAAACGACATTTAAAAGTTCATCAAAACAGAAACAACAAAAATAATGGATAATAATCATCATCATCGTTGTCGTCGTTGACAATTTTTATGGGGTGTGTGTGTGTGTGTCTCAATTGTTGATATTTACTCACTATATATACATGCTTTTCCTGTTTTATTGTGATTTTGTTGATGATAATGATATTATTATCACCATTGACGATAGAATTGTTTGAGTATACAGATTTTTGATTTTGATGATTGATTGACATTCGTTTTTTTTTTTTTTTTGATGCAATCAAATGTGTTTGAAATAATAGTGGTGATGTGGTAACGTTGTCCACACAGTTTTTATTATAGTTAACAATTGTCATTTTGTTTTGAAGAATTTGTTAACGGTAAAAAAAAAAAAAAAAAACACACACACACACAAAGAATGCCTGCAATCTATCATTCTGGTTGTCAATCAAAACAAATGATTGGCAATATGTCAAAATTAACATTTCTTACTAGACATAATGGTCCAATTAAATCATTGGATCGTGAACATCGTAAGTGAATTTTTTGATTTTGGAAATTGATTAATTGATTATCGATTTTTTTTTGTAGTTCGTCGTGAAGATCCAACCGATTTGGATATTATTGATGAAAGTTTTTATTTCTTCAAATCGAATGTATTTTTTGCCAATTTTGAAATAACGGTATTTATCATCATTTCATATATGCATACGTTATTGAAATAGATTGAATTTTTTCGTTTTTTTCCCCCAATAACTATAGTGTGAATCAGATCGAAATCTAGTCTATTTGACTCTTTTTATAATTGAATGTTTGAAATTGATTTCAAAATCAACGAATCGTCGTCAAGCACAGCAAGATTTAATGAATTTATCGCAACAAAAATTTGCCATACCAGGTGATCCAAAATTTCCATTGAACAATATCTATACACGACCACGGAACAATGCTGAAGCTGATGAAATGCGCAGTTATATGATGCAAATGAGACAAGAATGTTCAACAAGATTAATCGATTTAGTATGGCCATTATCCAATGATGGTGGCAATGTACAACCATCAAAATGGTGGACATGTTTTGCTCGACGTAAATTTCTCAATATTCAACTAAATGAAGTTGATATTTATTGATTTTTTTTTTGAAACAAAACAAATGTGTGTGGGTGTGTTTGTTTGTTTTTTTTTTGAAAAGAATTTTATTCATTTATTATTACTATTCCATTTTTTTACTACATTAAACGAATTGAATGAATAAATTGGATTCAACTACATTGAATCGTACGAATTTTACGCAACAGCAATGATGATTTTGATTATCATTTTTTGCAGCATTGACACTTACATTGTTCGGATCGACAATTACAGCCACAATTACAATCTTTACAGCAATTACAGCCACAATTTTTACAGCAATCGCAATTACATTCGTTCGCGCAGCAATCGCAGCCACAATTGTTGCCATCTTTGCATTGCATTCGCATCTTTTCAGCGGCCAATGTTTGCATTTTTGAAAAATTTTGCTTAATAGTTTGATATTCAAAAGAAACGAAATGGATGTAGTGGATCGATTTTTTTTTTCGTAGTATCGTTGATTCGATTATTATGATGAATGAGAATGATTTCATCGAATTTTAACCACTCATTTATATATGAAAATTTGAATGAAAATCAATCAATATAAATAAAGAAATTTGATAAAAAATGCTTTTTGCCCCCATTTTTTTTGTTTATTATCAAAATATGAAAACTTTTTTGATTGGTCAACAACAACATCAACAATCGGGAACATTCGAGAGAAAAAAAAGTTCAATTTCTCATGTGATATTTTCGACGATAAAGTTTGATAAGTTTGATTGGACAAAACAAAAAAAGTTTTTTATTTTTACTTTTTATCAATTCATTTTTTTTATTGATTAAAATTTTTTTCTATTAATCAGGGGAATAAAGGGAATTGTTATTTTTTTGATCATCAAATACAAAAATCAAAAAAAAAAAAACAGGATGTTTTATTTACATCCTTTACATCCACTGCATTTACATTTTTCAGCACTACAATTACAGCCACAATTACAATCTTTGCATTGTAATCGAATTTGTTCGTTCAATTGTTTCATATTGTTGTTGTTGTTGATTGTCGAGATTGTCAGGATGGAAATCCAAATTCAGCCAAATTATTTAGTCGATAATGATTGGTCGTACAAAATGGTTCGATGGTGAATTTGATGATATTACGTATTGCTTCTCGAACTTTTTATATGATTTTTGATTTCAATCATGAAAAACTGGGCGTTACATAAAAATTTGTCGTTGTATACAACACATAGGAAAAAATGGACGAGTCGAAGAGAATGTCTTCTCTTGTGACATGATAATTTTTTCATGTCACAAGACTAATATTTATTCTATATTTGTGTTTGTGTATGTGGAAATGTAAAAATTTCACATACATTGCTATGAAAGTTTTCATTTTCATGAAACTTGTTGTTATTTGTTGTATATGGTGTGTGTTTGAACGATATATTTATTACATTCGTATCATCATATTTTGATACTAACCATCATGATAGCCGTATGTGTCGGATGAAATCGAAAAAAAAAATTATTGACAACAACATGACAACAATAAAAAAAAACATTGATATGATGGTATTGCATATGCGTCATGATTGATTTTTATAATTCGATCAAAGAGAAAGAAAGAACCAATAATTACCACATCGATAAGAATCTGAATTGTGCGAATAATTCAACAATAATGATGTCCGAGAAAATTAAAAAAAAAAATTTCACGTTTTTAAATGAAAAGATGTTTAATTGTATTATTTGGAAAAAAATGATTCAATAAAAATGTCAAGTTTCTACAATGCAAGTAACGTCATCATCGTATGAAAAAAAAATTCGAATTAATTAATGATTTTTTAATGTAACCAAGACAAAATTTATAGTGACAAGGATTTGATAAATTTTAAAATTTGACCATCAGTACAGCCATATTCAAGGAATGAAAAACAATAGTGGTGGCAACAACTATCAAAATGGTGGACATGTTTTGCTCGACGTAAATTTCTCAACATTCAACTAAATGAAGTTGATATTTATTGATTTTTTTTGAAACAAAACAAATGTGTGTGGGTGTGTTTGTTTGTTTTTTTGAAAAGAATTTTATTCATTTATTATTACTATTTCATTTTTTTACTACAATAAACAAATTGAATCATTCAGTCGGATTCAACTACATTGAATCGTACGAATTTTACGCAACAGCAATGATGATTTTGATTATCATTTTTTGCAGCATTGACAATTACATTGTTCGGATCGACAATTACAGCCACAATTACAATCTTTACAGCAATTACAGCTACAATTTTTACAGCAATCGCAATTACATTCGTTCGCGCAGCAACCGCAACCACAATTGCCACCTTTGCATTGCATTCGCATCTTTTCAGCGGCCAATGTTTGCATTTTTGTAAATTTTGCTTAATAGTTTGATATTCGTCCAAAGAAACGGAAATGATGTAGAGAATAGATGGATGTATCGATTTTTTTTCGTAGTATCGTTGATTCGATTATTATGATGATGAGAATGATTTCATCGAATTTTAACCACCCATTTATATATTAAAATTCGATTGAAAATCAATCAATATAATAAACAAATTTGATAAAAAATGCTTTTTGCCCCCATTTTTTTTTATTATCAAAATATGAAAACTTTTGATTGGTCAACAACAACATCAACAATCGGGAACATTCGAGAGAAAATGCAACTTTTCTGGTGATATTCGACAATAAAGTTTAATCGGATAAAAAAGTTTTTTATTTTTACTTTATCAATTCATTTTTTTAATGATTAGCCATATGTGCCGGATGAAATCGAATGATTTATCAACATAGCAACAAAAAAACATCGATGTGATATTTTTATATTTCTATTCCCATTGAGATTGTCACATATGTTGATTAAAAATATCAATGTGTTTGTTTGTGTGTGTGTATATGTGTTGTATCACTATCACATCAAGTTGTTGTTTATCTGAATTAATCATCGCCGTCAAGTTGATTAATTTTTTTTTTTTTTTTTGCAATAATGATAATATATTCGCACCATTGAATTTGAATTCAAATTATTTCAGGACATCAACATTAGTCATGAGATGGAAAACATGTCAATTGATTCACATTTTTATTATTTTTATTTTCTTTTCCAAATCGATTTGATTGATTGATTGATTTTGTTGTCGATGCAGCCTCATTTTTGTTGTTGTTGTTGTTGTTTATTTACGAAGATCAATACGTGAAATGGTTATTAGCCCGATTAGAATAAACGTTACAACAGCCATATTGACATAGGACATAATGTATTGATAATAAAAATTAATGATTACTGGTCGACCATTTTGTTGATCATAACAAATAATGCCATTATTATTGTTATTGTTATGGGAAATATTATTTCGATGATCAAATCGAATTGATGATTGCATTCGATCATCATCATTATTATTATTATTTATAGAATCACTTTGAATTATTGTATCCGGATTGAATTGTTCAATAATGGCAATAACAAAACTTGCTGCAACTTTTTCGAAAAAACTAACCGATCCATATACAAATGAAGTGCTTTTCTAAATTAATATACAAAAAAAGAATTTTTGTGTATGAAAAATTTTTCAAATTAAAAAATTAATTCACCTGATTGAAGCCAATCATTTCGGCTACAAGACTGATTGATGAAATTTTTATGATTGTAATCGAAACACCTATCTGTATGGCAATTAAATAGATTTGCCAATTTATAAATGATTTATCTTGACATGAACCAAATATGATCCAAATGGATGAAAACAATGCCAATAAAATGCCTAGACACATATGAATCTTGTTTCCGAAACGATTTTCAATATAATTCGAAAAAAATGACATGATCATACCACTGATATAGATCAATAATGGAACAAATGCTATAGATGTCTTCATGTGGATGGGTGGGTGAAAAAACGGGGGAAAAAAATTATTTCGATTTTTTGTTTGAGCACAATTTTTTCACTCACTTTCTCCAGGAATAGTGTCTGCTGTAAATAGAGTGGTGTATAGGCCATCGAAAGATTCATATAAAGTCTTGAACACATATAAATGAAGCCCTATACCGTTTGTGGGGGAAAAAAAATTAAAATCTGGCAAACGACTATACGAAAGACAGAAAAAATTTTACAATTTTAAAATAAACTGAATCTTTAAACCAATCCAATTTGCCATAATGATCCATTGGACGATTCGATTTGGATCGATCATTTTGTTCATCAGAATTTAAATTCTTATCCATTTTAATTTTTGATGAATTTGATGCTAATGTATTCTCATGAATTGTAAATAAGAATACACAACAATGTATTAGGCCAAATATTGTGATCAGAAATGCATTATTCTATTTCGAAATAAAGAAATGTAAACAAATCCATTCATTATGATTATATTCAATATAAAAAAAACTTACAGCAAAAACATTGATATCATTGATCGAAAGATGAGATTCATCCGTTTTAGCCAATGTAAACCAGAATAGAATATAAACTACCAATGAACTATATATACTTGCTGCTTGTCTATTTAATTATGAAATTCATTATGAAGAATAATTGATAATAATAAACTAAATATTACCGTAATGAAGTGAGCCAAATACGATCAGATGAATTGGCCGATAATTCATTAATCATTGAAAGATGTGTTAATTGTCCAATAGTCCAACCAACTTGGGCCACAAATATGGCAATAAATGTTAATATAAACAATAGAGGATGATTTTCATTATCATTATTATATAAAATGAATTTCATTTCAGATATTTCATATGGAAATGAAATGAATGATAATATTGTACCGATAATATAATAACCAGTATATGTGCCACCAACACGATCGAATAGAATGTTAACATATTTACAGCGTAAATCTAATACAAATCCAAGTATAACGGTAGCGAATGCATCGACTACCTGTCCAAATACAACGAATAAATAACCAATACGACCGAAACAGAGTTTATAGAATAATAGACCATATGAAAACCAGATTGATGCACAAAGATCATTGAATATATGACCAAATGCAAAACCGAAACGTGTTCGACAATTCAATGTACATTGTTCATTCATTATTCTGATCGATTGATTAGAATTTGTCGAAATGTCCAAATCTTTTGTAAGTATCTAAATTTGTTCAATTTATTAACCAATACAATACAATCTATTATAATTAGATTAACACAATTTAATTTAATTTAAATAATCAACAATGTTTATTCTTCGTTAGCCATTTCTTCGGATTCTGCCGTGGTTTCCGCCATTGGTTCATCGGTTTTCAATTCCGATTGATCACCACCATCATCATCATTAGGTTGTTCAACTTGTTTATCATCGTTTTCATCCATTGATGGATTATTATCAGCAAAAATATCCTCATAAATTCGACCATTCCAAGCAACATTATAAGCTGCTAAATCAATATAATTGATAAATACACGTTTACTGGAAATGTTTAATTCATTTTGTAAATGATCAAAAATTCTACGACATGATTCACGATTTTCATCAGCTGATATATTACCAATCGATTGTAGTGATACTAATGCACAAGGTTCATTGGTTCCACCAAATGTTATCAATTGATTTGGTAGTACAGATATCTTTGAATGAAAACAAAAAACAATGAAAAAAAATTTTGTTTCAAAAAAAAAAAAAATAATGCAAAAACAAACCAATGTCATCGATGATGGTTTATTCTGAATTTCGGCCAATAAATTTGTTGTTTTTTCATTAAAATCCACAGGAATTTGTGATAAATGAAGATTGGTTCGTATTTCAAGTTGTGGCATATTTTTTTTTTTTTTTTTTTTGGTATTCTTACCCCTCAAATTATTTTTGGTTGGAAGTAGAAAAAAAAACTGACACAGCAGCAATAATTTCGAGCACACAATTCAAATCACAGAACAAAAGAAAAATTATGCTTTAATTGCGGCAGGAAAACCAGAAACATTTTCTCGAAATTGCAATTAAATTGCATAAAAAGTGTTGCCATTAGAGATTCATTTTTTTTCACCATTCATTTAATCATCATCATCATCATCATCATCAATCAACAAAAAAAACATGACGTCATATCATCGTTGTACATTGACTATTGCATTTGAACGTCAAAATATTAAGTTTTTATTCATTTTCTCAATCAAACTTTTTGAAGATAAAGACGAAAAAAAAAGAAAAAATGTCTGATGGAAAATATCGATGTGTGTGTGTGTGTGTGTATAATTAACAAAATGGCAATGGTCTTTTTTTGTATGAAATTTGAAATGAAATGTGAAAAAAAAACAAATTTCGAATCGAAACTATCGATTCTTGTTTTGTTGTGGTCGATGATAAAGATCATATATTGAAAAAAATATGTAATCATTATTGAATTGATTTACGACGATTAGTACGAAAAGTTTGATGTTTGACATCATTATTAGTTCTGTTTTTGTTGTTGTTCTTTTTACCGTTGCTGTTGCTGGTACTGGTGATCGTAGTAGTATTATTATTATTATTAGTAAATTTATTTTCCAAATAGAATAAAAATCCATTGAATTTTTTCATATTTACCGAATCATCTGGATTTTGCAAGATTTGATAATTAAGAACCAATGACAGTATTTCATTTTTCAATTTAATTTCCGAATCAATTTGTCCATCATTAATACGGTTCATTATATTTTCCATATTGATTGGTTTTTTAATTGCATCCTTAACCAATGATGACAATGATGAATGTGATCGTTGAATATAATCAAAATAATCATGTTTTTCAATAGATTTTACAATACTTGTCAATTTTTTGGCCATTATAATGTCAAGTTTTTTCGTTACCAAAACCGGTGTTGTTGTGGTTGTTGTTGTTGTCGGTGATTTTTCTTTCGTTTTTTGTTCAATTGTCAAACATTTCGATTGATCATTTGATCTAGTTTGTATGATACTCCCAACTGATGGTGATTTGGCTTTTTCAGCAATTTTTTTACTAGCTGATCGAGTGATAATATTAAATTCTTCGACATCTTTGGATTGAGATTTTTCTTTCTTTGATTCTTTTGAAATTCCTTTTGGTTGCTGCTGTTTGTTATTATTATCATTATCATCATGTGACTTTGACGGCTGTTGTTTAGTTTGTTTTTCAATCACCGTTGTTGGTTTATCATTGCTAGTGGATGAATTATTTTGATCCTCAAAGCTTACAGATTCTGAGACATTTGAAATTTCAAGTTTCGAATCTTTTAAGATTTCTTTTGGTTGCTGCTGTTTGTTATCATCATCATCATCATCACCATGTGACTTTACCGGCTGTTGATTAATTTGTTTTTCAATCACCGTTGTTGATTTATCGTTGCTAGTGGATGAATTATTTTGATCTATAATGTTTACAGTTTTTGAGACATTTTGAGAAATTTCCGTTTTTAAATCCAAGTCTTCCATTTGAATCGATCGACGACAACGACTTATAGATCGTGTAATTCTTCTTGTTGATTCCGATGATTGTTGAACATTTCGTTCAAGTTTTACATTTTTATGTCTATTTGAATAAGTTATCGATTCTTTTCTCACCACTAGCGATGTAATATCATCGTTTAATTTTGCTACATCAGAAACTTTTTCGATTTTTTCAGCAATGATTGTTTCCGTTGACTTAATGTTATCATCATCATCATCTTCCAACATGGCTTTTTCAACTGGCGAATCTGTTGTATGTTGGATATCAGCATCGTCATTAGCTTCAGTATTTATGGCTTCCAATTCGACATCATCTGATTCAATATTTGTGCTTGATATTTGCTGTTCATCCATTTCGTCAACTGGTTCAAGATTTTCAACTTCAACAGATTGAATCTTTTCATCTTCATTTGGCAAGATTTCTTTATCACCGGATTGAATTTGTTGACTTTCAATCGATTCTATATTTTCATCTTCAACAGATTCTATCATTTCATCTTCATTCGAATCAATTTTTTCATCTTCATTGGACAGCATTTTTTGATCCTCAGTAGATTCAAGATTTTCAACATCAACAGATTGGATTCTTTCTTTCTCATCAGATTCCATCATGATTCTTTCTTGATCGGAATCATTCTTTTTATCATCATTGGAATCAATTTTTTCATCCACATTAACATCAACGTTAGATAATGATGATTGATTTTCATTTTGTTCCATATCCAGAACATTATCAATTTGTAATTTCGATTCAACTTCAATTGGTTTTTCATTTCGATTTTGAATTTCAGACACAACTGGAACAATTGTCGTAGTGAGCTTATTGTTTTCGAATTCTGGAGCAATCGGATCAATATTTGTAGCGTCTGTTTTATTCGTACAAGATTCATTATTTTTGTTTTGGCAATTTCTCTTTGCTTGATTATTTCTTTGTGTTTTCTAATTATCTGAAACCTTTTAGAAAGATTTACCATTGATATTCTCAATTCTTTCAAACGTTTTTGTTCGAGTTCTTCGATACATTTGTCGATATCATCACTAATTGATGGAATGTGACAAAAAAATAATTAAATTAAATCGAAATAGAGGAAAAAAAATTTACCTTCGCAATTCTTTAAATGTTTTTTCATACATTTCAATACAATTTTCTGTATTGAACCAATCATATGGACGATCCTTTCCAAAATCACGCAACCTCACTGCTAGTTCTGGATTTTTGCTATAATGAAAAAAAACAAAACAAAAAATTATAATTAAATTCGAAACATTTTTTTTTTTGTTTCTACATACAGAATTTTTGGACCATATTTTTTAACACCGGATAATAAGGCCAACTTTTCTTTTACAGTCCATTCTTTTTCGGACAGATTAACTGATGTTAAAGGTTGATTTTTATTCATTTTGGAATTTAGATTTTTTTTCACATTTATTTGAAACGAAAAAAACGAAAACAAATGCAAAATAGGAAATAGGAAAACATTTGTTTGAGTCGAAATGGTCGTTACGAAAATTTGCTGGCCAGTATGTCGAAATGGTCGTTCAAATTGTGACCAAAAAAACAGGCTAATTATGATGTGATTTTATTTTATTCGATCAACAATCAAGTTTATTTGTAGTCAAATTGGTAAGAATTTTTTTGCATGTTTTCAATTTTCAATAACATAAGCGAAAAAAAATGAATTTTTCGTTTATCATTTATTTTTGGCTTTTATTCTATTCATTTACCTGTTATTTTTGTCTAGATTTTTTATCAAATCAACAATTATCATCATCATCATCATCATCGTTGAATAGTAAACGAAAAACAAATAATGGCCGTTTTCGTGATGATTATAGATCGAATGAAGAATCAGAAGAAGACGAAGAAAATGTTGGTGGTGATCATCATGGATCGATGATTAAAAATAAACGAAATTATGATGATGATGATGATGGTGCAATACATGAACGAAATCGAAAAAAAAGATCATCTCATTCCAACAACAACAACAACGAAAATGAACAGCAAGCATTTAAATTGACACCAATTTCATTACCATCATTATTGATATTATTCGGTATAATGGGTCTTTCTATATCAATCGTTTATATTGAAAAACATTTAAATTTATTTCAAAATATTTTCAGTTTTTTGGACACTACTGATGATGAAGAATTATTATCAATCAATGCTAAAGTTGTTAATTCAAATGATGATAGTAGTGATAGTGATAAAAATGAAAATATTCATCATCATTCAAGAAAAAAGAATGAAAAACAAATGAAAAAAAGTCGTTCAACAAAGAAAAAAATGTCAAGCAAAAAAAACAAAAAGCTACATAATCATCATCATCATCATCATCATCATTCATCAAAAAGGCATAGAAAACATTCAAAACGTCATAGTAGAAATTATTATTATGATGATCATGATTATGAGATGGGCAATGATGATGATGATAACGATGAAGATGAAGATGATGTTATAACTCGAATCAATACAAGAATCAATTCATCAGTTTAATATATTCGACTATATATACTTATTATTATTATTTTATTATTGTCATCATTTTATTGAATTAGAACACTTTTATCATTATTTTAATTTTTATTGTTCAAAATTTTTTCTCTCTCAATCAACTTCTTCAATTTTTGGTCCATCATCACCACCACCACCACCACTACTACCACCACCATTTGTTCGATACAATTTCGACATGATCGGACGACAAACATTTTCCAATTCTTTATAACGATATTCAAATTCTTCTTTACTTGCCAATTGATTTGCATCCATCCATGAGATTGTATTTTTTACTTTATCCACAATTTTATCCCTATCTGATTGAGAAATTTTCGAACGAATTTGTTCATCATCTTCAATAATATTTCGTAAATGATAAGCATATGATTCTAATTTATTTTTGGATATAACACGTTCACGTTGTTGTTCATCTTCATCTTTGAAACGTTCAGCATCTTTAATCATTTTATCAATCTCTTGTTTTGATAATCGTCCTTTATCATTTGTAATGGTGATATTATTACGTTTACCAGTACTTTTATCCTGTGCCGATACATGTAGAATACCATTGGCATCAATATCGAATTGAACTTCAATCTGTGGCACACCACGTGGTGCCGGTGGTATACCATTCAAATCGAATCGTCCCAATAGATTATTATCTTTGGTCATTGCACGTTCACCTTCATATACCTGTACGGTAACACCGGATTGATTATCCGAATATGTTGTGAATGTTTGCTGTTGTTTAGCCGGTATTGTTGTATTACGTTTGATCAATATGGACATTACACCACCGGCCGTTTCAATGCCCAAAGATAATGGTGTTACATCCAACAAAAGTAAATCTTTAACTGTATCCGATTTATCACCAATCAGAATGGCTGCCTGTACTGCTGCTCCATATGCTACCGCTTCATCTGGATTAATCGATTTATTCAATTCTTTACCACCGAAAAATTCTGATAATAATTTCTGTATTTTTGGTATTCTTGTCGAACCACCAACCAGAACAATTTCTTCAATCTGATATTTATCCAATTTAGCATCAGTCAATGCTTTTTCTACTGGTCCAAGTGTTGATCGAAATAAATCATGACAAAGTTCTTCAAAACGTGCACGAGTTATATTGGAATAGAAATCTTGTCCATCAAATAATGAATCAATTTCAATCGTTGTTTGTGTTGATGATGATAATGTACGTTTTGCACGTTCACAAGCGGTACGTAAACGTCGAAGTGCACGTTTATTTGTTGTTAAATCTTTATGATTTTTTCTACGAAATTCTTCCACAAAATGATTAACCAAACGACTATCGAAATCTTCACCACCTAAATGTGTATCACCAGCAGTTGATTTTACCTGAAAAATTCAAATCAATTAATTATTCAAAAAAAAAAAATTATTTATTAAAAATACCTCAAATATACCACCATCAATGACAAGAATGGATACATCGAATGTTCCACCACCAAGATCAAATATGAGCACATTTCTTTCATGTTTATCAGTTTTCTTTTTATCCAATCCATATGCTATAGCAGCTGCTGTTGGTTCATTTATTATACGTAATACATTCAATCCGGCAATAGTACCAGCATCTTTAGTTGCTTGACGTTGTGAATCATTGAAATATGCTGGCACCGTTATGACTGCATCATTTACAGTTGTACCAAGATAAGCTTCAGCCACTTCTTTCATTTTTATCAATACCATTGAAGATATTTCTTCCGGAAAAAATCTTTTCATTTCATCTTTATATTCAACTTGAATTTTTGGTTTTCCTTTTTCATTCACCACTTTAAATGGCCAATGTTTCATATCCGATTGTACGGATTGATCATCAAAACGTCTACCAATCAAACGTTTTGCATCGAAAACAGTATTGGTTGGATTCATTGCAACCTGATTTTTTGCCGCATCACCAATCAATCTTTCAGTATCGGTAAATGCCACATAACTTGGTGTTGTACGATTTCCTTGTTCATTGGCAATGATTTCTACTTTTCCATGTTGAAATACACCAACACATGAATATGTAGTACCAAGATCAATACCGATTGCTTTTTTCGGTGCCATCGTGTTTGTTTTTTAACCGGGAAAAAAAACTACTAAAATCAAATCAAACGAAAGAAATTCAATAACAAACAAACAAAAAATGAATCAAAACATTCAACAGGTGTCTTTTTCGAATCACTTTAATCAAATGATTCGATTGGAAAAATTTTCCAAACGTTTTGTAAGAATCGAATGAATCATTGAGTAACTTGCAAAAAAAAAGCTTGATTGCAGACACGTTTGCAGGTGTTGGCGTTTATAAATGATTTGATTTGATAAATATCGTAGGCGATATTATTTACCCCCTTACATCATCATATGTACACATCAAATTGTAAATTGACCTTGAAAAGACGATGAAAATATTCAACCCTTGTTTGTATTTGTTTATTTGTATTGCATAAACAAGAAAAAAAAATTATGATCATCATCATCATTTTTAATCTCAAAATTATTGAAATATTTTTACCATTTTTGGATAAAATTAACAAACACCACTTTTAATCATCAACATGAATTTATTTTTCATGTGATTTTTTTTTGCAAAAAATGATATTCGATAATGACCACGCAATAGATTTTCAAGGTTTTTTCTATTTTTGGTTTCAAAATTTCAATTCTGCATCAAAACTTAGGCTTATATTATCCATTGTTGTTGTTGATGATGATTGAATGGAAAAATTCAATGGTGAATCTTCACTGTTGTTATTTGATGATGGTATAGGAATAATTGGCGATATTTTTACTGTAGGTGGTGTTGCATTCAATTCTTTAACAAATCGAATATCTTTAATCAATTGTTTGATACGTTCGATTTTAGCTGAATCCATTGATTCGATATGAGATTTCTTTTGCCGTAGTATGTTGATCTGTTTTTGACATAATTGATTTTCAATCGTTATTTTACGATATTGTTCATGTAGATTGATTGCTGTTGATGAACCAACAATATCATCATCACGATTATTACTAATGCCAATTGTTAATAATCGTTTTAATCTTTCGATTTCTTTATGTTTTTCAGATTTCTTTTTCAACATTTCTAATTGTTTCACTTTTTCTTGCAATATTATCCATACATTATTCCGTACACGATTATTACCAAAACAATCGAGATAGATTTGTTCAATTTTATTTATTTTCTATATCGAAACAAAAAAAAATCAAAAATCAATTAAAACATTCAATGATTGAACTTACCTGGATATTTTTCATTCGTAATGAAATCATCTTTTTTTCCAACATTAGATGATCACTATATTTTCTATGTAACCATGATACAATGTTATCGAATTTTGTTCCATTAAAACATTCATTTGTGCCAATTAAACTTGGATAAAGATTTTGACGAAATCTATACAACAATAATAGATCATTTTTATTGTTTAAAAATATTGATCGTATATGTAGAAAACATGTTTCTATTTCATCATTTCGATATTTTCCAATAATCGAACAATAATCATTGGATAATAACCATAATGACATGTGTGATAATAAATGATGATTTATATTTGAATTTTTCTCATTCAAATTCGTCCTTACAATCGATATCAATATTGAGATTAGATTTCTAAAGGTTTTATCATTGATAGAATCAATATTTGACATTTTGATTGAAATTAAAAAAGGAAAAAATAAATAAACTTTTTTCGCTCTTTCTTGCCGAATAAAAACAATGAAATAAAAAACGCGGTAAATCAAACGGTTCGATTGCCAAGTGATGAACAACTCAGATATCGATTGTTTTAATGAAATTCGATTTTTTCAATTTTATTTTACACAAAAAAGTAAATGAAATGAAATGACATAAAAAAAAAAAAAAAAAATGAAAATACAATAATGAATCAATCCCAAAGTTTAATTAGATTATCCCAACCAGCTGTAATTACTTTGGATGTTTCATGTGGTTGCCATAATGTAGAGATACAAACATTTTCATGTGCTTGAAATGATGTTAATAATTTTGTTGTTTTCCAATCCCAGAAAAATAATTTACCATCAGCATCACCAGATACTAGATAGCTCATATCAGGAGAAAAATCTGGTGAACAAGCATAACCGGCAACCATATGACCGGTGAATATTTTCTTTTGATTCAATTTGAAACGATTCATACATGCAAATGCTTGAATTTTATTGTCCATAAATTGACATGCTAACCATTTATTATTCGGTGCTGCTGTTACAGCCGGTATAGCATGCATTGATGGATCAGCAATATATTTAACATCGACAGGTATATCCCATTCCCATACACGTAATGATTTATCATCAGATGTTGAAACAAATCTACGGCCACCATCGACTAATGTTACCGTATTGACTGCACCTAGATGACGATCATATTCCTGTACAATAGAACCAGATCGACAATCCCAACAAAGAATTTTCTTATCCGACATTCCCGAAAGGAAATAATGTGAATGTGACTCATCCGATGTATTGAATCGTATACAATAGGCAAATTTACGATTAGAAAATTTTCGTATACATTGTCCAGTTTCTGTATCCCATAATTTAATGGCACGATCATAACCTGATGAAATGAAACGATCACCATGACGATTGAAACAAATGTCACGTACTGCTTGACGATGACCATGATAAGTCATTATTGAACGTCGTTCATTATATAATTCCCAAAGTTTAATCTTTGAATCAGCCGAACATGAAAGTAATAGATGACCAGTTTGTGGAAATAATCGTATGGCATTGATTGGTTTTGAATGACCAACATATGTATGGAGTAGTTTTTTCGGTAGAAAACATCGATTTGGAATATGATCTGGTTTATGTAATGGTACACCATCAATATCATGTGGTGGATGTAAAAATGATCGTCCTTGATAATCATATGGATCTTTTATATGCAAGGTAGCACGATCTTTAAATTCTTCTTCAATTTTATTAACTGTTCCACCAGCATGAACATTTTTACGTTTAGCTAGAATTTCAATCAATTCTTGTTGTTCTTCTTCAGTTGGTCGAGCAATCTTTTGTTCATCTTCATATTCAGCCCAAGGACCTTTATAGCCTTCAATATCGGCTGGATCATCATTAACTAATCGTTTTCGTTTTTTCTTTTCGCCCGATAATTTAACATCATCAATTGTTTTTGATGAACCAGGCTTCGAAACTGTTTGATCGGTTTTAGCACCTGTACTAGGATCACTTGCAATACCATAAGCATGAAAATTTTTTCGTTGATATTCAAACAATGCTTCTGACATGTATGCAGGTTCTAGTGATCCGGTAAGAAAATTCTTACCAATTGTTTGTCCATGAGGATTAGATGGACCGAATTCTGGACGATAAAGTTCATTGAATTTTGGATTATATTGAAGTTCTTTACAATTTTTAACATCAATAAATCGCTCTGAATTTTTGAATGTTGACGAACCACGTACCATTGTGGCATCAACCTGAGGAGCCGATACGATTTGTAACATTGATTCTGGTAACTTCATTTCAACTTCGGGGTCATGATCATCGGAATCACTTCCACTATCATCATATGATACTAATGCTGAAGACATGGTTAGAGATTAACGAGAATTAAAACCGAAATTATCACAAATCGAATGATGAAAACAATAGAAATAAATATTGACATGAAACAAAAAAAAAATCGATTGTTTACAATCGATTGTTTATTGAGCACACGTGTAGCTACATCTACCAGTGTGAGAATTGTTTAGAATATTTACATTTGTGATTTTGAAATAAAATTTTTTTCTCCAATAAAAAAAAATGTCTGATTCTTCAGCCGATGAAGATATTATTGATAATAATGATGAAAAAGAAATAGAACAAGAACATAATGAAAATTCCGAAAATTTTCTTCTTAATCCTGAAACAAAAGATTCATTACGAGAAGAAACGGCAACATTTCAATCATTAGGTGTTTGTGATGTATTATGTGAAGCTTGTGAATCATTGAAATGGACCAAACCATCAAAAATACAGATTGAAGCCATACCATTAGCACTAGAAGGACGTGATGTTATTGGCTTAGCTGAAACTGGATCCGGTAAAACTGGAGCATTTGTTTTGCCCATACTACAAGCATTATTGGATAATCCATTACGATTATTTGCATTGATTCTTACACCTACACGTGAACTTGCATTTCAAATCAATGATCAAATCAAAGCATTGGGAACTAGTTTCGGTGTTACAACAGCCACAATTGTCGGTGGAATGGATATGATGACACAATCATTAGCATTGGCTAAACGTCCACATATTATCGTTGCTACACCTGGTCGTTTAGTTGATCATCTAGAAAATACTAAAGGATTTCATCTTCGTACATTGAAATTCTTGGTACTTGATGAAGCTGATCGTATATTGAATATGGATTTTGAAAAAGAAGTTGATACCATATTGAAAGTGATACCACGTGAACGACGTACATTTATGTTTTCGGCTACAATGACATCTAAAGTGCAAAAATTACAACGTGCATCACTAAAAGATCCTGTTCGTGTGGAAGTATCAAGTAAATATAAAACCGTCGATAATCTTCAACAATATTATCTATTTGTTCCCGTTAAATATAAAGATTGTTATTTAGTCTATATATTGAATAGTTTGCAAGGTAATTCATTCATTATATTCTGTAATACATGCAATCAAACACAACGTATAGCATTAATGTTACGTAATCTTGGTTTCAACGCTATACCATTACATGGACAAATGTCACAGGCAAAACGTTTAGGATCATTGAATAAATTTCGTTCGAAAGCACGAAGTATATTATTGGCAACAGATGTTGCTAGCCGTGGTCTTGATATACCTCATGTTGATTTTGTCATCAATTATGATATACCAACACATAGCAAAGATTATATACATCGTGTTGGTCGTACAGCACGTGCTGGTAGATATGGTAAAGCCATTACTATTGTATCACAATATGATGTTGAATTATATCAACGTATTGAACATTTATTGGGCAAACAAATGCCAAAATATTCACCAATCGATGATGATGAAGTAATGTTATTCCAGGAACGTGTATTACAAGCACAAAGATTTGCTAAAAATGAAATGAACGATGCTGGTGTTGGTAAAAATCGAAAACGTAAAAATAATGATAATAATGATGCTGGAAATGATGATGATGATGATGATAACGATGGCGATTCATTGAAAAATACAGCAAGAGGGAAACGGAAAATGTTTATTAATAAAAATCGTCGTCAAAATAATAATAATTTGAATGGAAAAAAATTTATGAAAAAAAGATGATGATAAATAATAAATAAATTGAATAATATTATCCAAGTGTTTGTAATTAATCAATCAATCAATTAATTACATGATCCATCCACTTGAAATATTTTCTTTGTACAATTTTTTTTTATCTTAATAAAATGATGATGATTTTGTTTTATTTTCTCACGGATCTCTTTAAAATTTAAAAAAAATTTTTTTTTTCGTGCATATAAATTTGATGATTATGTTTGCAAAAAAAATCATTCATTGTTTTGTTTTAATTTTCATCTTTAATTGAATTCAAAAATGCGACCACCATTATTATTGTTGATTTCAGTACAATTTTTTTATTGTGCATGATCCATCCACTTGAAATATTTTCTTTGTACAATTTTTTTTTTATCTTAATAAAATGATGATGATTTTGTTTTATTTTCTCACGGATCTCTTTAAAATTTTAAAATTTTTTTTTTCGTGCATATAAATTTGATGATTATGTTTGCAAAAAAAATCATTCATTGTTTTGTTTTGATTTTCATCTTTAATTGAATTCAAAAAAAAATGCCACCATTATTATTGTTGATTTCAGTACAATTTTTATTGTGCCAAACATCATTATCATTATCAATTGAAAATGATTGGATCGAATTCAAGGTAATTATTTTTTGTTTGTTTCAATCCAATATTATTTAATCATTTTTTTTCCTATGAAAACAAAAATCAATTAGAAAACTTTCAATCGATCATATGGTTCATTGAAAGAAGAACAAATTCGAATGGAAAATTTTCAACGAAATTTAGAAACTATTCGAAAACATAATGCTCTTTATGATCAAGGATTATCATCATATCAATTGGGTATCAATCAATTTGCCGATTGGACACATGATGAATATCTTCGATTAATTGGGCCAAAAAAACATTGGAAAAGTATTCGAAATTTTCATAAATCATCATCACAAATCTATACAGATAATAATGTTGATGATCTACCTGATGAAATTGATTGGACAAAAAAAGGTGTTGTAACACCGGTACGAAGTATGGGCGATTGTGGTTCTGGCTATGCATTCGGTCCAGTTCAAGCATTAGAAAGTCAGCATGCATTGAAACCGGTAATCTAGTTGAATTATCTGTACAACAAGTGGTCGATTGTTCAATAGATGTATGGAATAATGGATGTGAAGGAGGTTTAATTGATAATAGTTTTGAGTATATACTTAAAAATCATCACGAAATTGATACAGAAAAATCCTATCCATATGTTGGTCCAAAAAGTCCTGGTTGTCGTGCTAAAAATAAAACGATTGGTTCAACAATGAAAAACTATGTTGATCTGAGACGTTTCGATGAATTGACAATGCAGAATGCTGTTGCAAAAGTTGGTCCAGTCGCTATACAAATTGATGCTGATTCGAAACATTTTATGCTCTATAAATCTGGCGTTTATGATTATGAGGATTGTAATATGCTCTTTCTTGATCATGGTATGACCGTTGTTGGATATGGTACATTGAATGGTCAACAATATTGGAAAGTTAAGAATTCAATGGGTACTACCTGGGGTGTGGATGGTTACCTATTGATTGCGCGTAATAAAGATAATCTTTGTGGTGTTGCCAGTACGCCAAGTTATCCGGTTGTTTAAAAAACAACGTCAATGAAACGGATCCAAATTTATCATCAATAAATGTTTTTTCTTCTTTTGCATATTTTATCGATGTTGTCATAGTTTTCTATTGATGATTAATTAAAATTTTTGAAAAAAAAATTTCAAGGTAATCTTTTTTTGGTATTTAAATTGAACGATCATCAAAATGGTAGTTATTGATTGGTGCTTGTCGATGATTTTCAAAACAAACAAACCAAAACCAAAAATGAAATCTTACTGTTTGTCGATATTATTGATATTATCGAGTTTGGTAAATTTTTCCATTACATCTCCATTATTGGATGATCGATGGATTCATTTCAAGGTATGATTGATTGATTGTTTGTCTGATTTAATCATTATTTGTTTTTTCATCTATCAAAACAATAGGAAACATACAATCGACAATATGCAAATGAACAGGAAGAACAATATCGTCGAAATATTTTCATGAAAAATGCAGAATTAATTGAACAACATAATCGTGATAAATATTCGAAAGGTCTTTCAACATTTGAATTAGGATTGAACAAATTTGCCGATATGACTTTGGATGAATTTCGTTCAAAACATAATGGTTATCGTGATGATCATCAGAAATCATCTAATAACGAAAATTATAATGATAATGACATTTCATCATTACCAGATGAAATTGATTGGACTAAACGTGGTGTTGTAACACCAGTCAAAGATCAAGGTAGATGTGGTTCATGTTGGGCATTCAGTGCAGTAGCATCGATCGAAAGTCAACATGCATTAAAAACTGGCAAATTGATTGAATTGTCGGAACAAAATTTAGTGGATTGTTCCCGTCCCGAAGGTAATCATGGTTGTGAAGGTGGCTACATGGATAATGGATTTAAAATGGTTATTAAAAATCATGGTATCGATACGGAAAAATCATACCCATATAAAGGAATGGATGAAAAATGTCGACAACAAGAAAAGAATAAAACGATCGGTGCAACAATTCATAGCTATGTTGATGTTAAATATGGTGATGAACATGCATTACAATCAGCTGTAGCTAAAATTGGACCAATATCCGTTGCAATCGATGCCGATTCCTTGTTTTTTATGTTCTATACATCAGGCATTTATAATAATGAAAATTGTTCATCCGATTTTAAACATCTTGATCATGGTGTAGCGGTCGTTGGTTATGGTGAATTGAACGGAATAAAATATTGGAAAGTGAAAAATTCTTGGGGAACTAATTGGGGAATTGATGGTTATGTATTGATGTCACGTGATAAAAATAATCAATGTGGTATTGCTACCAGACCAAGTTATCCAGTGGTTTAAACGTAGCATAGACGACCTATTCCAAAAGGCGAGAAAAAATTCAATTAAAAAAAATGTTCTTTTTTGTTTAATGAATTTTCGAATTTTCAAAAAAAAAAAATTTCACCAATAAATTCAGATTAAAATTTACTGCTATTCGAATCGTTCGAATTTTAGTTTAATTTTGTTTCGTTTTTTTTTACTTACGTCGTATGTTTGTAAATTTAAAATAGCAAAAATGAATGACGAAGTTTCAGAAAAAGCATGTAATGATCATGATTCATCATCATCATCATCATCGTTATTATCAAAACCATTTACAGTGACTATAACAAAATTACGAAATATCATTACATCTGTTGATAGTGATCGTTGTTGTCATCATAATAATAATAATGAAGAAAATAATGTTGATGATGAATTGAAGCAAGCGATAAAATTGATTCATAAAAAATTAACCAGTGATGACAATCATAATAATAAAAGATATATTTATGATATTAATAAACATCATTTTTACAATGATTTTGTCATCAAGTAAGTATAAATTTTTTTTCACTAAAATGAAGAAAATCATTGAAAATTTGAACAATTCAAATAATGTGAATAGATTCGATATTGATTTTTATCTTTGTGATCCGATGGAAAATTTTTTATCAATTTTCATGGATTTTAATCGACAACAATACGATGGTGGTGGTGGTGGTGGTGGTGAAAATCAAGATGATAATTCAAAAATTTTCTTTGAATTTTCATTGAATTCATTGAATCGTCTTTGGCAAGATGTTGTACAATTGCAACAACAACAACAACAACAAATGGAAGTTGGTCGAATGATGGCGGATAAACATTTTGAATGTCGATTAAAATCCATTTCAATTGGATCATTAATAAATGTTAATGCATTTGTTAATCGTTTACAAATGTCAATGGTGACCAACAACACTAATAATAATATTGTAACGTCAACCACGAACAAATTATTGGATGGCCAAAAAATGAATCATCAAACCATTAATTGTCCACAAATGGAAATGGATTTTTATAAAAAAATTCTAATTCTATATTTTCATGTAAACAAAAAGAATATCCTGTAATTATTATATTTTTTTTGTATTTAATATTCGATTTTTACCTTACCATTTTTTTTGTTCCTTTCAATAATAGATATCGTTTAGAAATTAGTTTTTCATCAATAAAATTGATCATGATTGAATCGATAATGGATCGATTCTATTTGGAATTGAATGCATCACCATTTTTGTTTCTAACTAGATCATCCACCATGATCAATAATAATAATAATTTGATGAGAAATCAATCACAAACACCAACAACATCGACAATGACGATGACGAAAATTCGATACAATTGGGAACGAATCAAGAATCTTCAAGCTAGTTTCATTAATTATAAAGATGCTCGTAAAATTGAAAATTATGATCCAGATCTAATCGGTTATGCTATTTCATATCGTATCCAGTTGTTGAAAGAATCATTAATGACGACCAATATTATAAATGAATTAATTCGTCTGGGTTATATTTGTAAAGATTTGAATCGAAATTTTACATTTTTAATAATCGCTGGTGGTGGTTGTAGTGGTGCTAGTAATGGTATTGTACAGCAGCAGCAGCAGCAGCAAAAACAACAACAACAACAAATCATCAAATCCATTCATATTGATTCAATTAATTCTCGATATTCAATGAATACATTGACCAAAATGATTGATGAACGTTTTGCCAATAAGAATTATGCAATACTTTATGCATGTCGTGTACTATTTTCAAAATCCTATAAAATTATTGATTCATTATTATCGAAAAATGAAACAATGATTATATTCGATACGATAGAAAGATTACTTACCGAAGATGTTGATCCAACAATAATTGAAGAATGTTTATATTCATTGGATGCTAAATATAAGATGAATATGATCATTGATTTGAAATGGGAATTTGAAAAAATTGTTCAATTATGTCAACAAAGATATACGATGATTAGAAAAATTGATCGTGGTGGATGTAAATCACCATCAATGCCATCTAATGATGATCATGTTATGATGAGATCGGCCACAATGACACCAACACGATTAGAATTTAGTAGACCAATGCCATTGTTGCGATCACGTTTTAGTAATATTGCTAATCTTGATTATGCATTACGATTAACATTGGCTGAAGATAATAATCGTAAATTGAATGGAACATTTAGTGATACAAATTTCATTAAAGCATCGATTAAACCACGATTATTGGCTGGTATTCGTGTTGGTGATCGTTTCTATCAATTCCTTGGATCATCATCATCACAGATGCGTGAAAATGGTATCGTTTTCTATGCCTGTGATGATCAACAACGTACAGCTCAATCGATTCGTGCATTGGTTGGAAATCTATCGAATTTTAAACGTAAAGTGGCCAAATATATTGCCCGTTTTGGTCTGGTATTTTCACAGGCAATCGCTTATTATCATTATGGTGAAACGGCTAAAGTGTGTAAAATGGATGATCTAAAAACGGCAAACAATGAATTTTGTTTCTCCGATGGTATCGGTATCATGTCGAATAATATTGCGGCGAAAATAAATCCATTATTACGATTACCACGCGGTTATTTGCCATCAGCATATCAGATACGTCATGGTGGTTGTAAAGGAATGTTAGTATGCTATCCAACGGCTAATCGTGAAGGTAAAGATGTTATTTTATTTCGTGATTCAATGATCAAATATGAATCCGATGATGATTGTTTGGGTATATTGAAATTTTCGGCACCACGTTCAGTATGGTTAAATCGCCCATTGATTAATATATTGGATCAACAATGGGTACCGGCACCGGTTTTCTATGAAATATTCACTGCCAGCACTGGATTTATAATGAAAGCATTATTGTTTGATCGGGATGCATTCCGTCTAGTCAGTGTTTATCGTAATTCAAATCTACCATATCAACGATTATTTCAGGCTGGATTTTCATTTCTTCGTGAACCATTTTTAAGGCGAATACTTAAATATCTTTTATTTTATCGATTAAATGAATTAAAATGTAAAGCACGTATTGCCGTACCTGAATCGAATGGTCGAATGGCATTCGGTGTGATCGATGAAACACATCGATTGAATTGTGGTGAAATATTTTTCCAATATTCCGTATTGGATTTCAATGGTAATCCAATTCCAGGCCGTACAATTATTCTGGAAAATCAAGAAGTTATGGTAACAAAATTTCCTTGTTTATCATTGGGTGATGTGAGAAAATTTCGTGCCGTTAATGTACCATCATTGACACATATCAAAGATTGTCTAGTGTTTCCAGCCAAAGGTCCAAGGCCACATACCGATGAAATGGGCGGTTCTGATTTGGATGGTGATGAATATGCAATATTCTGGCAAACAGAACTTATATTTCCAGGAGGAAATTATCGCCCAATGGATTTTGTGAATCATACACCAGATGAATTGAATCATGATATTAATCTTGATGATATTGTAACATTTTATTGTGATTATTTACTCGAGAACAATATTGGCCAGGTAGCAAATTGTCATTTAATGTATTCAGATTTCCATCCAAAAGGTTTACGTTCAAACGAATGTGATGAATTGGCACGTAAATATAGTATTTCATTGGATTTTCAAAAAAATGGTATCAATTCTCAGCTGCAAAGGTATGTAAAAAACAAACACACTCACCTTAATAAAATGAAAACCAAAATTTTCTCTATAGAAAATATCAACCAGATTCCCGATGGATACGTCCAGATTTTATGGAAAAACGTATACATTGTAAAAGTTATCTTTCAGAAAAAATATTGGGACAATTTTATCGCCATTGTTCATTGATTGAAACAATGATACGTGTATGGGATGATAATCAACAACAATATAAAAATCATAATGAATCACCAGATAAAAGATTAATATTAACAGGATGGAAACAATATGAATCGGAAGCAAATGAAGCATATCTTGAATATCATCATAAATTAATTGAAACAATGGAAATGATGTTGATTGAATCAGAATCAGCATTAATGAGTAATGTTTATGATGATAAAAATGATGTATCACCATATATTTTTGATCAATTATTTCGTTATTTTCAAAACAAATTTGAATCACAATATCAAATGTTGATTAATCGTCACCGGGTGAATGATGAAGATCAAGCTGACCAAATAAGATTATTATTAATTTCAGCATGGTATACTATTTGTTATGAAAATTGTCATAAAATTCAATATCAATATCGTGGAAAATCATTATTGGGATTACCATTTATGGTTCCAAATGAAATGATACGTTTGGCCAATAATGTTGAACATTTAATGTTGATACCAAAATCATCAAAACCACCACCACCACCAATGTTGAGAAATCATCTTGAACATTCATCATCAATCATAATGATGAAGAATGTTCAAATATTAATCATCAAATGGATTGAACGAATGAATCGAATAATATTTAATCAAACATCTTCTATGGAAAGACCGTCATTGTCATCACAAATGTTACGATTATATAATAATGAATTAAATTGTTGGGAAGAAAAAATATCCGAAGATATGATCATATCGAATTTGATACGTGAAAAACTTGAAAAAATAATCATTCAACATGATAGTAATAAATTGTACACAGATCAAAAATCACGACATCATCATCATCAATGGACAATGTTTACATTGTTTCAAGAATTTATGCTTCATCTTTATGAACAATGTAATCAAATTGAATGGATTGTACATCGTAAACAATTTAAAGAATTATTATTAATACGTTATGGATTATTTTCATTGAATTTCTTTATGGATTCTGGTGATATGATGATAATTGATGATGGTGATGGTAATTTAATAATTCCCAAGAATTCAACTGCAAATGATGATTCAATTCCAAATAGTGGTGACGGTGATGATGATCTGGATGATTCGTGGAAAATGAATGAAATTTTTGATGAATATTTGAATCGATTATTTAGGGATTAGAAAATCAAACTCATACTGGTGCTACTGCTGATGATGACGACGACGACGATGATGATGACGATGATGATGATGATGATACAAACAATTGTCATCAATTTTGTATATTGGAAAATTCGAATAATAATAATAATAAGACGACGAAAAATGGTATTCTTCAAGAAATGGATGAAAAATTTTTTCTTAAACTTAAATTTTTAACCGGTGGTATGTTGAAAAATATGAAAATTTATGACCAAAATGATCATTGTTTGTATGCAACCGATTCGTTGGGTATGATGAAAAAACGAACAGCCAAAATGCCAACAATGAACAATAATCATCGTTCAAATGTCAATCGAAATATCGATAATAATCATCTGACGATGACGAATACAAAAACATTTTTTGGTTATAATTTAAAACGATTCAATATTTCATATTTAACCATTGAAATTGTTACACAATCATCAACAAAATTGGATGAATTTCAAACTGCACAAATTATCATTACATTTCTACGATTATTACTTGGTCATCCGAAATTTTTTCCAAATATTTACAATCAATTTGATTTGATTATTGATGATTGTCAACAACCACAAACAACAACAACAACAACAACAACAACAACAAACAGCAACAAAACAGCAGCAGCAGCAATCAAAATTTATTCGTCCGAAAATTTTTCGTAATAATCGCAATAAACAACAACAACAACAGCCATAGTTGTTGATGAAGAAATTGAAAATTTTTTTTCAAAAATTTTTTTTGCTGACACTTGTTGATATCGAAAGATGGCGCTTTATCATCATCAAAAAAAAATTTATCAATAATTGAGCGCAACCGTAGTTTGTGTTAACAAATCAGACAGAGTCCGCGTTTTTTTTTATCATCACAATATTTTGGCGGTATTGAAACCAAAAGTGAGAGAAAAAAGAGTATTCAATGAGCCAAAAATAATAGACAATAACTAAAATCTTGATAGTCACAAAGTAATTGATCGACAAGAAAAAAATCATGTATCTCGGTCGGTGTGTGTTGTTTATGAGAATTTCGAATGTGTAAAAATAACGTTCGAAACGTGAATATTTTGTAAAAAATTGCATCATCATCATCATTATATCATTTGGTGTTGATTTTTTTCACCTAGAAAAAAATCTAAAATTCTGTGTGTGTGTGTGTGTTGAAACCAATTAGAATACCGATGCGCATTTCTGAATCTTGTTTTTTTTTTTTGGTATTCAGAAAATTTTTTGGATCTCTCAAATATACACATGTATTGGATTCATATTTGGGTGTATACAACAATATAGAAGCCGCTGTCACCACCACTTCTCCAATTCCATTCTAAATTTTGGTATTTATAAACCGAACTTTTTTTTTCTTTTTTTGCTCTCATTCTCTAACTTTTTCTGTCTGTTTATTGTTGTAGGAAAAAAAATAAATGTCAAGAGTCGTCGTAGTATTTTTTTTTTTTACTATGTTCATTGTTCATCATTGTCGTCGGTCTTTGTTCAAGTCATCGATGGCAACAAAAATTGAATAAAAACGAAGAATATTCCCGAAGTGACAAGTGAAAGAGAATCCTTTGAAAAGAATGTAAATTTTTTTTTTTTTTTGATTGAATTTTATTCTTATAGAATTTTTTTTCAGATTTTTCCAGTTTTATTTTTTGTTTTTGTAAAAAATTGCTACCATCATCGAATATAATTGAAAATGAAACATTGATCATGATAAAATGATGGAAATGATGAATACATCATCGTCGTCATCATTATCATCATCACAATCAACGACAACAACAACAAATATCATGACCCGAAAACAGGCATCAAAATTGAAACAATCATTGAAAATTTTTTCATCGTTAAATTCAAATAATAGTGATTCATTTGTATGTGAAAACAATGAAATGATTTTTAAGAAAAATTCCACACAACAAGATGACAACAGCCAAAATAATGATGCAGATGATGAATTGAATACAGGAGTATCGAATAATGAAAAAAATTCTTCAAAACAGACGACGATAATAACGAATACATTGAATGTAATCAACAGCAACAATAACAACATTCGACAACAAGAAAATTTTTTTCGAACTACACAGCTGATCTTGCAACCATCAACATCATCATCATCATCATCATCGATGAGATTTTCGGTAACTCCTTTATGTAATGATGATGATGAATCAAATAAAGAAACCGGCTTTGTTAATAATAATAATGATGATGAAGATAATGTTGAACAACAACAACAACAAATAAATTGTCGTCGTCGGCGATCTCTTAACTCTTTTTCAGTGGTGGCGTTGTCGTCACCATCTTCGCATACAACAATAACAACAACTTCAACAGCAACAGTAACAGTAACAACTTCGGCTTCATCATCATCATTCTCTCATTCTTTGTCTACCGAATTGTTGACCAACAATGATAACAATAGCTGTGACAATAATGACCAAATGTCAATGACCAGTAAAATTTTAAACAACAACAATGATAATGATGAAAATCATTCAACTCAAATTATGAAAATAAATGGTGATGATGATCATATGGTTGATAGTGATTTAAATAATATTCTGAATAAAACTACTGGCAATCATCAGAATATGAATGAAGAGAATAAAACATTGAAAAATATTGATGATTTAATCACCAGTCCAATATTGAATAAGTAAGTATTTTATATATTGGTAATCTTATGTGTGTTTCATTGTCTGAATGAATTTTCTAATAATCTAGATTATCATCATCACGTTTGAATAATGATGAAATGTTAAAGTCAAAATCTGTACAATCATCTTCATCGAATTTGGCTGGTTTAAATTTCGAAGATGATGAAAATGATGATTATAATTGTGTCGATACTGATGATGATAAGAAATCTGAATCCATTTCAAATGAAAATGAATCTAAAAATTCTTCAATGGATCCTACAGCTAATGTTGAAGTTGTTGATGATGATGATGATAATAATAAAAATGGTTGTACACAAAAATATTCTGTGATAACTTCCGAATTATCATCACCGAAAATAAAAATAATAATAATAATAATGATCAATTACAATCAAATTCAACATCATCATCATCATCATCATCGTCTTATTGGCTTGGTGGATCGGCACGTGCATTAGCTATGTTGAAAGCTGCCTCACAAAAAGATTCAACAACAACAACGACAACATTAAGTTTATCTGAAGAATCATCATCATCATCATCGTCGGATAATTCAAATCAAAATCTTGGTTCATTTGGTATACGTATGACGAAAAAAATGCCACCACAACCATTATTGGAACGTTCACATTCATTACAATCATCACCATCTTATAGTCGTGGATCAGCATTATTGAAAGCGTTACAAAATCAATTAAAAACTACATTGAATACAACAAGTCCTACATTAAAATCTGTGGATAGTGTTTTTCCATCTTGTAGTAATAGTAATAATAATTCAATAATGGAACAAATAACTCCAACAAAATCAGTATCATCAAAATCAATACTTAAATCACCGAATGGTTCATCTGCAACTAAAAAGAAAAAAATGGTTCTATTCACTGAACCAGTTGTCTCAAATAAATGTTATTTTGATATTTCATCATCAACATTATCATCTTCATCAAATAATAATATGATAAACACAATCAATAAATCGAATGTTTCATCAAAACGTAAAAAATTGGATCTATTACCATTAGTGGTGAATGATAATAACGATAAAGATGGTGATAACAAAACAATATCTAAAATGGAAAAATCAGAAGAATCAATTTGTAAAAAACTTCGAACCGATTGTGATGAAAATAAAGTGGATGATCATTTCCATATAAGATCACGTAAAATTAACAATCCTACGAAACAAAATCAATCCAGTCCACAACAACAAACCAAAGATTCGGATGTTGTTATTATTGATGATGATGAAACCTCTAGCACCGTAATTGAAGAAGATTCATCCAATTCATCAACATCGAATGAATCGATTGAATTAGTATACTCATACATGAAAGATACTAATTCGATGGCAAAAGAATCCAACAATGAAATATTAATCAATGATGATCATGGTGAACATTCAGCAACAAATATTGATGAATCGAATAAGAATGATGGCTGGATACAATATGTTAATTCACCAACGACAAATTCAATCATGGATGATGATGGTAAAATTTCATCATTAAAATCAAATGTTTTAATTGAAGATGTATCCAATGAACCATCGAATAATAGTTCAGATGTAGAAGTTGTACCATTAATTATTGCACCAGAAATTTCTAATAACGAAAAATCATCATCATCATTAACACAGATTCAAACCGAATTGATTGAATTGGCAGAGATTTCTATCGATGATGATAATGATGATCAAGATGATGGTAAAGTTTCAATTTCAACATTGGTCAAACCTGAACAATTAAAATCCAATGTTGAATCGATTCCAATTGACGATGATAATAATCAACAACAAAAATATGATCAAATAATTGAAACAATATCATTAGATGATGATAATATGGACAATTCAAAACAAGAATCTTCAAACTCAACAACGACAACAGTGTTGGATACCGATGAAAAGTCTTTCATTCAACAACAACAACAATCCAAACCGGTAGAATCTAATTCTGGACAGTTAGAAGAGAAAATGGATGAAGAAATTGTTATCATTTCAGATTCGCCATTGGAAAAATCCGACAATGTTTCAGTTGCCGAGAAAACAGCATCACCCGATAAACAACAACAACAACCATCAGATGAATCATTATCGAATATGATAGTGGATGAATCTTCACAAGAATCTTCGACAACTTCAAAACAATATGAACCAATTGATTATTCCATTTCATCATCACCATCGAAAAAATCATCGATAACTTTTCTATCAAGATCGATGGCAATGTTACGTGCTGTTTCAAATTCCTTCCAAACAATAGGAACATCTCCTTCATCAATGGATAAAAGAGAGTCACCAAAAACTGCTTCTAGTGGTGGTGGCGGTGGTACACAACGTGCATCAGTAATGTTAAGTGCAGCTAAAGAGAATTTTACGAAATCATTAGGATCTAAAAATGTAATGGAAATATCACCAACTAAAGCCGATAATAATAATGATTCATCAAATGATGATAATAATGTTGATAATTTGGTTGTTCAGCCGAAAAAATCTATATTACGTACACCAAGTAATGGTAAGTTTATCATTGTTCAATATCATTAGAAAAATGTTTGATTTTGATTATTGATGGTTGTCTGGGAAATTTTTCTTTTTTTTCTATTGATCAAATAGACAATTCAACTTTGTCAACCAAAAAGAAACGTGTAATATTTTCCGAACCAGTTGTAAGCGATGAATTAGTATTTGATTGTTCATCACCTTTTCTTTTATCATTGGTTTCAAATGCTGGAAAACAACCACCAACGATTAGTGGTGTTAAACGATCTAGATCTAATCTGACATCATTTTCAATTGGATCCATTATTGATGATAATCAACCATCACCATCGATTATAACGACGGCATATCAGGAAGTAGATATGGATAAAACATCTAACAATGATTTGAACAATGATATTGAAAACGTTGATACGGCATCCAATGAACAAAATATCAATGAAGATAATGGTAGTAACAGCAGCAAGAGTAACAGTGGAAATTCGAAACGACGAAAACTACAACATCAAAAAGCAACATTAGAAGATAATGATGATGGTAGTGAATATTCATTGCGACAACAATCACATGATGATTATTTTCAAACAATGTTCAATTCTTCATCAAATTCAGCACTTAAAAATGGTAGCCATCCATGTTCAACAAGTGAATCGAATTTCGATTCAAAACCTGATTGGATCACACATGGTTATGATGATTATGATGATGATGATGACAATGATTATGATGATTTCTATTTTTCAGCATCTAAATGTATAACAGAATACCAAGATCAACGACAAAGTTTTGAGGTAGTTATTATTTTGACATTTAATCAATGGGAATTATGATTTAGCCTTAATATATTGTTTTTTAACCTTTACTGTTTTTTTTGTTCTAAAGGATAAAGATTCCAATTCTTCCAATAGTAATGATAGTAATGAGAAGATTTCTTCAACAACAAAAACAACGATAACATTATCCGGGGATAATGATGATTCGGAAAAATTGACTCCCACAACAGCAACAGCAACGACATCAATATCGCCGAATGAATCAAATTCAGATGCTAATAGTAATGAAATAATTGATTCAAATGAATTGGTTTTACTTGAAGCATGTGCACAGAATGAATTTCAACCAATACATCAACAAACAACAAGTTCACAAGATGATCTTGAAGATATGAGAAAATATATCGATAGTTTATCGAATATATCACCAATTAAAAATACCAGCAATGAATCATCAAATAACGATGTAATAATGATTGCGGATAACTGTTGTCAAGATGATGTAAATGTGATGATTGATAAAAATGAATCAAAAATCAATAATCAAGAGAATGACGATGACGATGACGATGAGGATGATGAAATGGTCAACATAAAAATACCATTGAAATTGGCAAGAAAATTTTCCAATTATCTTATCACCTATATCAAGATGCATGATGATGAAAAGAAAAAGACTAAATTATCATCTGATGATCAATCAAAACCACAACAACAACAATGATGATGATGATGATAATTAAAAAAATCAAATGTGCCTATATAGGAAACAGACATAACTTTTTTTCAATATATAACAGATTTTATATACAACAACAACAAGTGTATCAACCATTTTAGTAATTACCAATTGTTTAATCATTTTTTTTCGTTTCGTTTCTTAATAATTTTTCATCATACAAATTTCTTTTGTCATTTATAAATTTCGATAATAAAAACACAAACACACACACACATACAGAGCTTATTGTCAGAAGCTATAGCGAAATTGAAAAATTTGCATGAATAAAAAAAGGGGAAAGTTTCTCATAGTTCGAAAAAAAAATTTTTTTTTTTGATTTGAATCAAAATTTTTTTTTTGTTTGAAAGTAAAAAAAACGTGCGAAAATTGTCTATGGGATATCGTTTTTTTTTTTTGGTTCCTGGGTAAAAAAAAGGTTTAGTTCGAATTTCGTACAAATTCGATTAAAAATTCGATTTCCAATGCTAGAGGGTTGTATCTTTCGTTTTTTCTCTCTCTCTCCCTTCAATTGAATGTGGAATAAAAGATTCGTTATACGTTTGGCTCCTCCCAACACACAAACAAATCATCATAGTGGTTTCTGCAGTTATTATTTGTTGTAAAGAAAAAAAATGATCATTCTTTAATTTTCAATCATTGGAAATTTTTTTTTTTCATTAAATTAATTTTGGAACAAAAAAAAATATGGCAAATCATCATCGTGGTCGAAGTCGTGGCCGTTGTTCTCGTGGCCGTGGTTCCATTGTATTGATGGATAATAAACAATCGACGAATGATGATGATCGTAATTGATTCTCTAATTTGAATGATTTATTAAACTAATTTTTTATATTAATATCCCTTATGATTTTAGATTATGAAATTGAAAAAATTGCTGATTATCGTATTATTAATGGCCAACAGGTTGTATTCCAGGTGAAATGGGTTGGCTACCCAGGCATGACCTGGGAGCCATTCCATAATCTGGATAATTGTTGGCCAATTTTAGCCGATTTCTTTTTTTCTTTATATCAAAAATCAAAAATCGATTATTATTGTTTGATGAAATTAATAAATTTTAAAAAATGAAATTTTTATTGATTATGTGTGTGTGTGTGAGTGTGGGTGTTTTAACACTTTGATGACCATTAAGGGTTTTGGGTTCGCAAACCAGAAAAAAACGCGAAACCAGCCCTCTTTTCGTGGATGAATATATGCTACCTTCATATCGAAAACATACACACGGTGTGTGTGTGTGTGTGTGCGTGCGTGTCTGTCTCTCATATTTCGTCGTCTTTGTTGTGTTCACACTACTTATCATTTTGGCTGTGTGAAAATAGTGCTGGTGAATAGAGTCGATAGTTTTGAACCCTGAAATTTCGAATAATAATTGTGCACTTGATTTAACAAAAAAAAAACGAAAAAAAATTTTCCGTAAAAAGGAAATGAAATTTTTTTTCTTCTTCGGTAAGAAAAAAACCTAACACTTTTTTTTGCATCCATACAAAAAAAACCCGCCTCAATTCGTTTTTCTTGACTTTTTTTAGTGGTTCTGGTGGCATGATGCAATTGTTGAACGATGTTATTTACACAATTTTCAATACTACTACAACAACAACATTATCTTGTGGCATAATCGAATTTTTTTTTCGAATTTTGTATCCATCATGGTTTGTGTATATATATTAAATATAAATTAACATGTAAAACTGATCGGATTCAATCATTTTATTTGATTGTTTGTAGAGCAGTACTCTTTGATTTTGATCAATGGAACGAACAATGGAATCAATGAAAACATTGAAAAAATCAACAATTTCTGTATCGCAAAATTGTCGACAACCACAACAACAACAACAACGACGACGACGTGGACGTGGACGTCGTCATCATTTTACAACGAGAAAATCATCAAAATTCTATGATGAAAATCGTAAGTATAAAATTAATAAATCGGAAAAAATTAATCATCTTTTTTTTTTTTTTTCTTAATTTTTTATATTCATACATGTCCTTGTTATTGTTATTCACAACACTGGCGAAAAATACCATTCACAAATGAATAGGATATGAAGTTTCCAGAATCATTAAACATCGACAAAATTTTACCGGAAAGATTGAATTTTTAATCGAATGGACTGGTTATCATACTAAAACATGGGAACCATTTGAAAATCTTGATCGATGTAAACAATTGTTGAGAGAATATCTGGATTATTTTCGATTGAATAACCAATTAGATGATGAAAGTTTTTCACAATTTGTATATCGTATTTTGGGCAGACAGACAAAATATTTAAATTTTTTTCTCCATTTCTCAACAACAACAAGATCAAAAATACAAACACCAACACCAACAAAAACATTATTTGGTTGATGATTTTAAAAAATCAAATTTTCAAAAATTTTAATGAAAAATGAACCCTTTTCACATTCAATGTTTCAAAATTTGAGATTTTAAATTTCGAAATAAAATAAAAAAATTGATTACATGACCTAAATTCAAATTTCATTTTGCATTCAAACACTTGTTGTTTTCATTTGAATGAAGCTCATCTTACACATTCACGTAATGCGCATATTCCATGATTGTTGGTTTTTTTATAGGACCTGGTTGCAACACCACCACCCGATTATTAAACTTGTTTCCACAACATTCGAATCCATTTAATAGTTCAACAGGTTCGATTTTTGATTCTGTTTTGTTTGAAAATGTTCCTAGATTCCAGAAATAAAAAAAATGATGTAATCATCTACTGTATGGATCATTACAATCGAAAGAAATTAAAACAAAAAAATCCATCATCATCATCATCATTTTCAATGTCATTTTTATTTAATTGGTTTTGTTATGACCAGAAAAAAACTTGGATATTCAGTTTTAGACCACCACCATTAACCATAATAATAATAATCATGGTTTTTTTATGGCTATAAATTGATTTTTTTTTTTTTTTTTTTTTTTTTTTTTGTCTTTTAGATGGAAAAAAACTTCACGCCAAATTACAAATGTTATATTATGTTTTATTAATAACCAAAACGTTAATACGATGATGATGATGATGATGATGATATCAATCACAAATGACAGCCATTAACGAAATAGAAAAAAAAACAAACAAATAACGATTATGGACATCCATATGGGCATGATGATCATTTTTACCAAAAACCCATTTGGTTTATCTCGAAACACGAAAACAGAAAAAAAAACTTGAATCGAGGGTTTTATTTTTCCAGTTTTTTGGTTTTTTTTTTTCACTGTCGTTTAAAAATGATGACGAAAATCAATGGATGAAAAAAAATGGCTTGGTTGACCTGAAATTCATGCGCCGTTCAAATAAATTCATTTTCATAATACCTTGATGATTTATGATGAAATGAATGGTTGGATGTCCATCATTTCATTGCATAATAATGTTTTTTGGGTAAGTGAAATTTCTTCTCTGGACTGTTTCTGATTTTTTCATTCATTACATATGATGATGACCTTAAACGACCACAACGAATATAATTATTTCACGACCTCTGTGTGATTATTATCATGAACATTATTATATGATGAATATAATATAATAACAAAATTCAAGACAATTGTCGTTTTCGAACACAATTTCCATGGAATCCATTTGGCCGACATTGCCTGATGATTCACATTCAACAACAACAACAACAACATAATATTTTCATTTGAATTTCAAAATGTTTTGTTTATTTTTATTATTCATTTTCATCATCTAAACACACAAACACACATGCATACACATTAGATTCCATAATTTCAACAATCTAATTGTGATAATTAGGCTAGATTTTTACAAATTTTTCATTTCATTTCTTCGTCATTCAAATATTATAAAAGCTCCAATAAAAGGCATTGAAAATCATATAGGAAACAGGAAATATAATACGTGAATAGCGATCAATTTTATTTACATCTCGTACTTTTTTCGGGCCATTCATCATTGCTGTTGATGATGAGCAATGTTGTTGTTGTTGTTGTTGTATTTGTTGATGTTGTTGTTGTTGTTGCATTGATGATTGTTTATTGGCCATTCCAAATCGATGTGATTGTTGTTGTTGTTTTGAATATCGATAACGTAATGATGTACAGCCATTGTTATTTCGTATATAATGACCATAATTATTATAATCCTGCTGTTGTTGTTCTGGTATCGATGACGATTTATTCATTGAATCCGTATTTATCATTCCATAATCATCACCATCATTTGGATTTATTATTTGTGACTGTTGTTGTTGTTGTTGTTGCGGTTGTTGATCATCAACATCAACATTATAAGAATATGATAATGGTGGTGGTGGTGGTGGTGATGATGATATGAATCCATAATCACCTAATGGTGATATTTGATACGATGATTGTTGTTGTTGTGGTGGTTGTTGTTCAATATTATGTTGCTGATAAAATAATGGTAAATTATCTGAAAAAATTTTTGATTTTGAAAATCCTAATATCGAATTATTAATATTTTGCCATTCTTGATTCGATGATTGTAAATTCAATGGATCAAAAATGATTGATGATGAATGTTGTTGTTGTTGTTGTTGTTGAGCATTTTGTTGTATTCGTTGTCTTCTGTTCACTAATAATGATGATGATTGAATATTCCGTAATGAAGCTATTGGTGATATGGCAACATCTTTATATACAGGTTTTTCTTTTGTTTGTTGTTGTTGTTGTTGTATAGGCATTATTTGAGACTATTCGGATTGGAAAAAATATGGAATATGAATGATTTTCATGAAACACTATCAACTAAATCACACTTACCTGTATAGAATAAGGTTGTACAAGAATTTTATGATTAGTAGTTGTTTCAGTAGCCATTTGACGTGGCACTAGTGTTGTTGTATCTTGTTTGATAAAAATTCGTGAATTTTTTCTCAATGCTGAACGACGATCCAATGATGACGGTGTTATTGAACATGATGATGATCCAATATGATGATGTTGATGTTGTGGATTTGGTTTCATTTTTTTCTTGGCACGTGCACCCCAATACGTATAATTAACGGCAGCATATTCCAACAAGGCAGCAAATACAAATACAAAACACATTACCAGATAAATATCTATAGCTTTTACATAAGAAATTCTTGGTAATGAACTACGAACACCAGTACTAATTGTTGTCATTGTTAATACGGTAGTAATACCCAATGCAACACGTGCTGATGTTGCCTCATGATTGATCCAGAATGAAACCCATGAAAGCATTACAATCAATATTGATGGTAAATATGTTTGAAAAATAAAATAACCAATATTACGTTTCAATGAAAATAATAATGATAAACGTTGATAAGTTCCTAAGTGGACAAACAAAAAAAAAATATTAAAACCAAAGGGAAAACATTCATCAACCACACAAATACCAGTGGCTAACGATTCTTTACGATCCGTTGTTTCATAACCAACAATTGTAAATTGATGAAGTTTAGCATCTTCAACACCATTTACCGGTGTATCTGTCCAATACATGACTACATCGGACACGGTATATCCATCTATCATATAAAATAAAATACATTAATTATCGCTCTCTCTCTCTCTCACTCTTTGTATTAATTAAAATACATACAGCTTTCAATTTCAACTGTACAATTTTGTGAATCCAATGGATAATAATGTAGATCCATCATACAGGCTAATGTGGTTGTGAATCTATAATTAAAACAATGTTATGTCGAGAATTATCATCATTTTAAAAAAAACTAACCTCATTCCATAAGAAACTGAACCATCGGATTTTAATCGTACCATTTTATTTTTTTCCGTAACTTCATGTAAAAATGAATTTTTATCATTTGCAAAACTTTTGTTTTTTTTTATTGTTGTTGTTGAAATAAAAAAAAAACAAGAATTTTTTTTTTGTTGTCAAAAACAAAAATATAAAAAATTCAACTATTTTAACTTACAATGTATCGGGCACCCAAATACGTTCACTAAAATCACCGGACAATGTTAGCTCAACATTATCATTAGGTCCAAATACAAGACGTTCGTCGCGCCAATATTGATGTAAATATAATGTTAACGTATAATCCTGCGTGTTTCAATGATTTTTTTTTGGAGAGAAAAAAGAAATTAGAATTCTGAAGAAAAATAATTCAATTTAGTGGCTTTATAAATTCATTGAATCAATTAATCATATTCAGCGACAAATCATTCAATTCATTATGGAACAAAAATGTTCGATTCTTAGTGGTTGTGAATCAATATGTCCACGAAAATTGTTACAAATGAAACGAAAAAATCTTAAATGTCTTATTCATTCTGGACGAATGGAACAAGTTTTATTTGATTCAGAAATTGAAATTCCAATGAATCCAGCTACAAATATCATTATCGATAAACGTGTTGAATTCAAACGTAGCCTTTATCATGGCCATTATTCGGATGTATATCTGATTCAAAGTAAAATTCAATTCAATAGAAAATTATTACGAAAAAATTTTGTTGCCAAAATTGTCAATGTTGATTGGTGTCCAAAATATTCAAATTATGAGAATGAAATACAAATTTGTAATTTTATCAAGGTTTTTATCATTTTTTTTTCCTAAATAATTTCATCGTTTATAAACAAAAAAAAAATTTGTTTTTTTTTCTTCCAAGGATAATCCACATCCAAATATAATCGAAATAGTCAATGTTTTACAATTTGAACGATTCACAGCTATATTAATGCCATATGGTGGTCAACAAAATTTATTGGAATTTCTTAAATGCCGTAGTAATAGTACTGATGATTGTCGAATTTCATTATCGGTGGCTAAATCCGTATTTTTTAAACAATTAACGGCTGCACTTGGTTATTTACACACAAATCATATTGTACATCGTGATATAAAGCCAGAAAATATACTAATCGAACGTCGTCATCATCATCGACATTCGGATGAAATTTATTGCCGATTAATTGATTTTGGTTTTGCCAAATTAATCCAACAACCGGTCATTGATTTATGGAACATTAATAATAATAATAATGAACAAGCCCTGTGTTCAAGTCATAAAGGTGTATTGGAATATATGGCACCTGAATTACTAGCTAATTGTCTATATTATGATGCATATAAAACCGATATCTATTCATTGGGTGTTATATTCTATCTACTTATCTATGGTCATTGTCCATTTGAACTTGATGATAATTTAAAATCGACACAATCTTTTGAACAAAATCTTCATTATTTTCGTCAAATGAAACAACAACCTATTCAATTATCATCATTAGAAAATAATGATCAAGATTTACAAGATTTACTCAAACAAATGTTGAATATAGATCCAAAACAACGGCCATCAATTGGAGAGATTATTTCCACTTACCATGTTTACTTCGGAAATTGAATCAAACGATGCTATTGTTAGATCCATTCCAATATATAATGGATCGCCTGAAGATAGAAGAAAAAATGTTTGAAAGAAAGAAAATTAATTAATGAATGATTTTTGTTTTCGAATTAATGGAAATATATATAGTAGTACTAATTCTATTTTAATTAAAATTTTCATCTATTCAATCGTATACGATCCGACTTACCACCAAAATTCGGTCTTAAACGTATATCATAACCTTTAAGTATTTCTTGTAAAATTTCTGTAACATTATCAGTATATTTTCCATCAAGCAATGTCATCATTGGTGGTGGTGATTGATAATGGCCATTTTTATATTTATGATGATCATATTTACGTTGATTCATTTTTTTTGTTGTCATTATAATTGTTGATTTTAATGCCGATGTTTCAATATTATTCATGTTCATATCACCACTATGATTAAATATGGCTAATTGTTGTTTGTTACGATTTGGTTGATAATGATGAAATGCTTCTGCATGAATATCATCATCATCATCATTATTATTATTATTATCGCCAATTATTGTCGAATTCATTATCGTTTGACCAATGGTCAAAGAAGATAATTCGGATATCGTTGCTGTTGATTCATTCAAGAATTTTATTTGCTGTGCACTGGTAAGAAATTGTAAATTTTCAAAAAATTAAAAATTTTTCATTTTCTCATTTCTATGTTTTTGTCATAGGAAATAATCACTTACCAAACATGATTTGGTATAAATAAAAACAATGGATATGATAATGATGAAATGATTATAAACGAAATAATAGTAGTAAAAACTATCACATTTAAAAGCCATTTTATCATGGCTATGATATTATCAAACAATGGTGGTAACGATGACTTTGGTAATGTTTGACCAAAATTTCGTTTTGGCCATTGTCTACATTTTATTCGAACATCATCATCATCATCACCATCATTAGCATCACCATTATGATTATTCGAATGATTATTTGAAACATTCGAAATCGAATCCACCATTTTTGTGTTGTTTTAATAATCATAATATAATAACAACAACACCATGATGAAAGAAAAAAAAATTTGAAACGAAGAAATTCAATTCAAAATCACATTGAATTTAATTGTAAAAAAAACCGATCGATCGATCGATCATCGAAAAAACAACAACAAACAAGTAAGTCTTTAGAAATCACTTGATCAAAAAAAAAAATTTTTTTTTTTATTAATCGAATTGATGTTTCTTTAGAATACAGTTGTGGTTTAGACAAATTCTCGATTCATATAATGGGAAAAGTAGAAGAAGAATTTCTTTTTTTGAAAATAAAGATCCAGAGAAAAAAAGTTCACCACCATCACATCAATCACTTGAATGTCTGTCTGTGTGTGTGTGTGTGTGTGTTTGTCTAAACTTTTTTTCTTTTTCCATTCACATCTATATTAGTCATCATGGATTTTGTTTCTCTATTTCTGTCGTTTCAAACGATATGATGATGATGATGATGGCCCCAGAAAAAAAAATATAACCGTTTTTTATGGTCGTGTGTGTGGTGGTGATGATGCAGTTTGATCATGTGTATATGTTTTCACCATACTATAACTCTATCATCATCATCATCATCAGATATAATATTCAATGTGAAATGTGAAAACGAAAAAGCAAAAAAAAATTATTTCGCTTGAATAGATGCCATTTGCTGCAATGTTGATGATGATGATGATGATGACCGTTAAAGATGATGATGATGATGACGATGTTCAATCTTCGTTATATCTACTGTTCTTCTTCTTCTTCTTCTTCTTTTTTCGCGAATATTCCACTTCAAAATGAAATGAATCTTGACTCAAAATGATAATATGTGTGTGTGTGTGTTGTGAATGTGAATGTGTTCATGTTCCATTCACATCCATCCGTGTGTGTGTGTGTGTGTGTGTATATTATATATTCTACACAACGATAATATGATGATATACTGCTAGAATCATCGTCGTCATGAAACAAGAAAAAAAAATTCTATGCCATACTCTCACGATTCTCTGGGTTCCATATTTCTTTTCTTTTTTTTTTTTTTTGAGGCTACTGAGACACATACATACAATGATGCTCTAGATTCGTTTTTTTTTTTTTTTTTTTTCTCTCCATCTCTCTTTAGTTTTGGTTTTGTTCCAAATTATTTTTTTCACTCCCTCCTTTCATTTTCATTTTTTGTCCCCAATTCCATTACATACATATTTAAACAGAATAATATCATCATCATCATCATCATCATTGTTTAAGTAACAACATCTATGAATTATTGTATTTTTGCAACTTGATTCAAAGCAAAATTTTCATGATTATTTTTAACAATATTATTACCATTATTATTTGAACAACTATTAGTCGATTCAATTGTCTCTAGTCTTGAAGTCAACTGCTCCAATACCCGAACAATATTTTCCGTAAATTTATTATCACCCATGATAGACCGTCGTGAACCACGAAGCTCAGCTACCAAGATGTTGAGGATGAATGACAAATAAATTACGTTTTCAATAAATGGTTTTATTTTTAATAAATCATGAAAAATTAATAATACTATTAAATTAATAATACTATTAAATTAATAATACTATTATTAATTTTTCATGATTTATTAAAAATAAAACCATTTATTGAAAACGTAATTTATTTGTCATTCATCCTCAACACATCATCATTAGATTCTTTACTTTTTATACATTAGAATTTTGCAATTTAGAGAAAAAAAAAAGAATTTTTCATTTGAATTTTTTTTTCTGTGTTTCCATTTCCATGGAATTCTATTCGATCGATGAATTTTTTTTTGATTGATTTTTACGTAGACAAAAAAAATCAATCAAAGAAAGTATATATACATTATATACATTATAATTATAGAATGATGATTAATGATGATCATTTTATATTACCAACAATACAATAATGTATCGAAGACAAAAAAAATTTTTCCAATCATTCAGTAGTAGTTGTATTTGATGTATAGTGGATGATGATGATGGTTTTGTATATTCCTGACATCTATTTACTTTGTTGTTGCCACTGTTATTTATTTGTTCGATGATGATGATGATGATGATGATTTCATTCATTTTGACACATTCCAAATGTATACTCGATCGTTTTCAATGAGAATTTTTTTTTTGCAAGTTTTTCCTAATGATAATGGTGATTTTCATTTTTTTTTTTTTTTGAAATTTTCAAATTTTCTAAATTCATTTAATGTATCCGTTTTTTTTTCTTTCTTTCTCTCAATCGAATTTTAATTTGTGTCGAACTGGAAACCAATTTCAGTTTGTTTTGTTTAGTTTCTTCTTCTTGTTGTTGTTCTATTGTCATTCATTCTAAGAGCTATATATATCTCACACGCTCACTTTCTCTATCATTTTTTTTCTTGTCAAAGAAAAAAAAAATGATACCGGCTGTCGTTATCATTCTTTGGTTCTGGCTGGTTTTTTTCTTTTTCTTCTTCTTTTCTAATCATTTTCTCTTCGCCATCCATTTCTCTCTCTCTCATTCTCGGATTCTGTCACTATTAAAAAAAAAATTGATTATGTGATGGACAAGTTAATAAAATGGATGGTGAGTACTACTACTGGTGGTAATAGACAACTGAAAAAAAAAAAATTTCATTCCTACAAATGAAATGAATTCTTCATATATATAATAATAGTTCCCTGATTAAAGAGCCAAAAAAGGAAAAATTCAATCAATAACATGATCATGTCATATTCCAGTAGTAGTAGTAGTAGTAGTAGCTTAATGGATGATAATTTTTTTTATGAATGAATTAAAGTGAATGTTTTTGCAGAATAAAATGACATTTTTTTTTTTTATCTTTTGGCATTGTTATTATGTATGATTATGATCGATTGTTTTTATCTAAAACGAAACGGAAACGGATGGCTGCTAATTTTATTTATTAATTTTTTTTCTTCTTTTTTTAATTATTATTCATCTCTATGTTTTGTTGTTTTGTTGTTGGTTGTTGATTATTACGATGTAAAACATAGACCAGAATTGAATCATAAACTAATGATAACATTGATACATAAAGTACACGATATTTAGTTGGTAGATAATAGAAATTAAAAAATTGTAACGGTATATAAAAACACCAATCGGCCATTAATAGATATTTAAAATTTTCTTTAGCATCATTTATGATTTGTTCCATAGATTTATTGTGCAAGTTTTCCAACAACAATAAATAATGATGCTGCAAATGGTGGTCCAATAATAGCTTCAGATAATAATTTTTTTATTATCATTTTCCGATTTGTACCGGGAAAAATACGATCCAAAAATCCATACCAAAAATGACTTATAGATCCCATATAAATGCCGGCAATACATGAATTCACTTGGAAAAATGAATTGGACAGTTTTAATTTAAATAAAAAAAATTTCAATTCAACAATCTCGAATACTAACCATTTCGATTTGTATCAATTTTCGAACGTTTATCAATAAATTTCTGTACCATTAAATCACCTGTACCGAAAAATAGCACGCCGGTTGCTGTATTGGTCCAGAAAAGATATTTTGGTGAATAAAGAACACGGGATATGTTTCGTAATAACATTTTTTTTTAGGTTTTTTGTGATTTTTTTCACATTTTAAATTATAAAAATCACATGCAATATTTTTGCAATAATTTTTTTCTTCACTATTTGAACACATGTGTGGGCCAAACACGAGGTGAATTTTTAAAAATGACCAAAATTAGTTTAAATAGTTGCTTTAACCATGGTTAATTTTTTCGAATTTTTAAATTCACAGAAAAAAAAGTTACTATTTGTACTAACCAAATTGGGTTTCAAAATTCTCATCATCATCATCGTCGTCGTCGTCGATAATTAGCAAATCGATTAGTGTAATTTTAATTATCACTGAACAAATATGTCTCATGTAATCCAAATGAAAACAATTCATTTCATTTATTGATTACGATTCCGAATCATAGATGACAGACCAATCGAAATAATAAGCAAATTACATTACATGAATTTCATTTCATTCATTCGTTTTATTTCTGTTTACATTCGCTGTTGATCATGTCTTCCATGCGATAATGATGATAAAATCAAATTTTTATTCGATCAATTTCAATTCGAAAAAAAATCAGCAATGTCATTCACTTTGAATGGTCATATTTATCTTCCATTGGCTGTAGCATCCTTAAATTGTATTCTATTTTTCATTGCCATTATATCATTATTTTTACGAGGTAAATATCATTTTGTGGTTTGATTCCGAAATTCATAAATTTTCAATATAACAATAGATGCTAATCATCAACCCGATTGGTTACGATGTGTATTGGCAATTTTGATTCCCGGTTTAATGGCATATCGTGGTCTAAAGCGGAAAACAATCGATTATAGTGGAGCTGTAGCCGGTTGGTTAACATTATTTTTGAGATTTTTTTTTGTAATAATAATTTCCTACAATTTTCAGGCATCATTATTGGCATGTCAATGATATTGTCAAGTTATATCGGTATGGTTGCATTGATAACCTGTTATTTAGCTGCATCAAAAGCAACCAGATTTGGTGAAGATATCAAAAGACAATTTGAACCAAATTTTAAGAATGGTGGCCAAAGAAATTGGATACAAGTGATCAGCAATTTAGGTGCTGCAAATATTGCCTTATTATTACGTTTAATTTGGTTTGGTGTTGGTGAAATTCGTTTGGATTTTTTACATAGTGAAAATTATTGGAATTCATGGTTGCTACTTTCATCATTGATTTCAATATCAGCTGCATTGGGTGATACATTTAGTTCAGAATTGGGTCCAGTGTTTTCTGGACCGAACACTGAACCATTATTGATAACAACATTACGTCGTGTACCACGTGGAACAAATGGTGGTGTGACTATCGATGGATTTGTAGCCGCATGTATCGGTGGATTCATTATCGGTCTTTGTAGTTATCTATCAATCATACTATTCATACCGACTACTGGCCATTGGGCACACACCACTTCACATCAAATAACATGGTCAACACCACAATGGCCATTATTACATTTTTGTCTTTACAGTGGATTATTGGGTTCAGCATTAGATTCATTAATGGGTGCCACATTACAATATACCGGCTATGATCATCGTCGTCGTCGTATTGTCGAATGTGAACAACAAATTGATCCATTTGGATCAACATTATCATCATCATCTTGTGATCAATCTGGATCGAATCTGGAACATATTACCGGTAAAGATATATTGGATAATCATGAAGTAAATCTATTAATGACAATCATAATGGCTACTATTGTTCCATTGATTATAATGCCATTATGGCCATTTGGTTTTGGTGATTCATATTGAGCAACCTTTGACCTTTTTTTTAATTTATATCAATTTTTATACAATTGTATGTCCTAGTTGTTATTCTGTTATTATGAATGAGATTAATAAAATAAAATTTGGCATGTCACAGGTTATTTATTGTTTTGTACTTTTTTTTTTTGCAAGCTTATCCATTGAATTGAAATTCTGTCTGTGATGTTGATTTGTTTCATATTGAAATGGAAAAAAAATAAAACCTGTATTTCAATGGACAACATTGCCACAGTGAAAACGTTGAGAAATGAACGAAAGAAAAAAAAAGAGAACGACAACAGCGAGCAACAAGTTCGACATGGTTGAATGTTTTTTTTTGTTTGTGTGTGTATGCGTGTTTTTTTTTAATTGACCATCCCGAATCATACAACAAATAAGTTCGACATGGTTGAATGTTTTTTTTTGTGTGTGTATGCGTTTTTTTTTAATTGACCATCCCGAATCATACAACAAATAATAATGAAAAACGACCAACGGCAACATCAAGTAGTGGCATCAATTCAACATTTTTTTTTTTCAACGATCATCACATCAGTGATGATCATTGATGATGATGGTCGTCATCGATGATGGTTATATCATCAAGAATTGTATTTTTTTTTTCTAAATAATTTTTATTGTAAAAAAAATCGTATGAATCAAAAACAATCCAACAATAGTATTCAAAAAGTGTAACCAAGACAACCGAATAAAATATGTGTGTGTGTGTGTATGCTGATGAAAAATAAACTGAATTGAATCCATATTTTTTCGATGAATATTTGTTGTCGAATGTTGGTGTGTGTGTGTGTGTGCGTGGTGTATGTGTCCCATTTCTTGATTCATTTCGACAACAACAACAACAACAACGACAATTTTGATTTTGATTTTTTTTTTTTTTGATCGATACTGATTTCGTCCACTGTGAATGTGAATAAGAGATTTTATTTTATTTTTTTTTGCTATTCACTATTTTGAACATTTATGAATGATCATTGCTAATTGAATTTAATCATCATCATAATTTATCATTGTTAAATAAAACAGCCATATGGTGGTGGTGGTGGTGGTGGCCAATTTAATTCGATTCAATGACAACAAGTTTCATCCGGCCACACTAGCCATCCACATTTATGCAAATATGTAAGTTTGTTTTTTTTTTTTTTTTGATGAGAACAAAAAAATCAATTTCATTTCCCATTAATAATAAACCTTGAAATTTGTCTTTAATTTTGATTAAAAATCCATCATTCATCGTCAATCAAACATCGATATAATAATAATCCATATATATGAAGAAGAAGAAAAAAAATGACGCATTTGATTCACTTTCAAATTAGTAGCAATTAAAAAAAACGAATGAACGAACGAACGAAAAAACGTGTTGCTATAGTTTTTTCTTGTACTTTTTTTAGTTGATTGAAGATTTTGAACATCAAATTCATTGATCATCATCATCATCATCATCATCATCATCATCTAAATCATCGAATGAAAACCTTGAAAACCTATATATACCTCTTATATAATAAATTTTTGGCCATTGACACACATCAACATATTAAATTGAAAAATGTCCGATTATTATGATGCTTCAATCAATTCGGTATGTTTTTAATTGATTTTTTTTTACCATTATTCTCTTTGGTTTGTCATTGAAAATAATTTACATCATCATATCATCGATAAAGACCGGTTTATTTTCTTGGTTCACGAGAAGCAAAAAAAAAACTAAATCCACGCCAAATGAAATAATTGTAACCAGTCTTTGGTCATTTTTCATGATGAATTTTTTTTTTTTTTTTTTGTTTTGGATTTGCACCACCAAGTTCGTTTAACCCTTTGCCTATTGCCTTGAAAACTGTGTGAAATCTATAATTTTTCTTCTTGATCAAATCTAATTTATGCATGTGTGGTATACATTCTTTCATCATTTCTCTTTTGAAGAAAAAAAAAATTTGATAATCATTCACATTACCACAAAGATTTATTCCATTCATTCAATTCACTGTCGCCTGATCGTGAAATGTTCTTTTTTTTCTTTAACATTTTTTTTTATTTGATGTGGATGATGATGTTATTTTTTTTCGGTTTTTCCGAATCATATATTTATTTATTTTATCTACAAATCTAATTCAAATCATCATTATTATTATTTTCATAATGATGATCATCAAAAGTTTTTGTCGAATGACGTGTGTGATGGATTTTTTTTTGTGTGTGTGTGTGTGTGTGTGTTTTTGATTTCCAATCAAAACGAAATTCATAACTAGGACACACACACACACACACACACATTTGTATTTGTATTTGATTGAATAAACATTCGATTTTTTTTTTCTTTCTGAATCATTATATCAATAAATCGATTATCAAATTTTGATTTTTGGTGGTGGTGGTGGTGGTGGTGGTGGCGGTGATGGTTGTGGTTTTTTTCTCTCCCACTCCTACTCATTTGGCTTGGCATTATCTTCCGTTTAGCGAAAAAATAAAGATATTTTAATCATTTTTAGATATGAATAAATGTAAAGATTTATTTCTTTGCCTTGGCTATGCCAATAGTTTGTTGTAGTATTTGTTTCATTTCATTTGTCGTGATTGACGAAATCGGATTCGATTCATTTGAATTTGTTTTCTCGTGTTTTCATATAAAGCCGATCTCGGTTATTATTCGACATTTGATGTTTTTTTTTTTTGTGAAAACAACAAATCATCATAATCATAGATAATCATAAATTTTTTTTTTGTTTTGTTTTCAAAATTTTCAATCTTTAATTTTTTTTGTTGTTGTTGTTGTTGCTGTGCCATAAATCAATATATAGTATAATCGTGCCGGTGACGATTCCGGTAGCTATCATATGGCAGTCAGTCCAGATCTACCCGATGATGGCCTAACATTGGATGGTAAACCACGATTCATACGTTATCAAAAACGGCCACAAAATGAAACGAAAAAAGGTAAAATGGATATTGAAAATCTGAAAAAAGAAGTGGAAATTGAAGAACATCGTATACCATTGCCGGCATTATGTGCTCGGCTTGGTACCGATCCAGATTTGGTAAGTGAATGATTGTTTTGGATTTTTAAAACGAAAAAATAAATCTTTCAAGCCAATCGCCAATTTGAAGCAGACACAAAGTCGATTTTCGTCCTTAATTTTTTTTTCTATCATCATTTTTTTTGGTCGATATAAATTGCCCAACATAACGATAAGATGGCTGTGTGTAATCAATGTTGAAATGTTAAACTCATAAATTAGTCTTCATCAATCAATCAATCAATCAATCAATCAAACGAATCAAATCGAATCAGCCCAACTAATAGAGTAGATAACTAACTAACTAACTAGGAGCCATGCTAATCTAAATTAGAAGCAAAAAAAATAAGATCTTTATCATTGAATGATGCGGATGCTGTTTTAGCCACATTTTATTAATTTTTTTTTTTAATTTAAAAACAGGGCCTAACCAAACAACAAGCAGCCGAAATTTTAGCCCGTGATGGCCCGAATGCATTGACACCACCAAAACAGACACCAGAATGGGTGAAATTTTCGAAAAATTTATTCGGTGGTTTCGCCATGCTACTATGGATCGGTGCATTATTATGTTTTTTAGCCTATTCAATACAAGCATCTTCATTTGATGATGCTATCGATGATAATGTAAGTGATGTTTGAATCAATTTTCGTTTAAATTTTGAATTTGTTAATTTTCCAGTTATATTTGGGCATCGTATTGGCCACTGTTGTAATCGTAACGGGAATATTTTCCTATTATCAAGAAGCAAAAAGTTCACGTATAATGGATTCATTTAAAAATATGATACCACAATATGCAACTGTCATACGTAATGGTGTTAAAATAACAGCACCGGTTGAAGATGTTGTTGTTGGTGATCTTGTCGAAGTAAAAGGTGGTGATCGTATACCGGCCGATTTACGTGTTATATATGCTGCTGGTTTTAAAGTGGATAATTCATCATTAACAGGAGAATCGGAACCACAATCACGTTCACCCGAATGTACGAATGTTAATCCATTGGAAACGAAGAATATTGCATTCTTTTCAACCAATTGTGTTGAAGGCACTGGCAAAGGTATTGTTATCAATACTGGTGATCGTACCGTTATGGGAAGAATCGCCAATCTGGCTAGTGGTTTGGAAATGGGTGATACACCGATTGCCAAAGAAATTGCACATTTTATTCATATTATTACCGGTGTTGCTGTATTTTTGGGCGTATCATTTTTTATTATTGCATTTATTCTTGGTTATCATTGGCTTGATGCTGTTATATTTTTAATTGGTATTATTGTTGCCAATGTTCCTGAAGGTCTTTTAGCTACGGTAACCGTGTGTTTAACATTAACGGCAAAACGTATGGCTAAGAAAAATTGTTTGGTAAAAAATCTTGAAGCCGTTGAAACATTAGGTTCAACAACAACAATTTGTTCGGATAAAACTGGTACATTAACACAGAATCGTATGACAGTATCGCATTTATGGTTTGATAATCAAATATTTGATGCCGATACCACCGAAGAACAGACACGTTCATCATTTAATCGTACATCGAGAACATTTAGACCATTATCATTGGTTGCATCATTATGTTCTAGAGCGGAATTTTTACCCGGACAAGATCATATACCGGTCATGAAACGTGAATGTACAGGCGATGCTTCCGAATCGGCTATATTGAAATGTATGGAATTGATTGAAGGACAAGTGTTGGCATTCCGTGAACGTAATCCAAAAGCCTGTGAAATACCATTTAATTCAACGAATAAATATCATGTTACAGTCAATCAAATAATGCCAAGTATCAATGATTATGGTGATTGTAAATATGTTTTATGTATGAAAGGTGCACCGGAACGTATCCTGGAACGTTGTTCAGCTATCATGATCAATGGTGAACGTTTACAATTGAGTGATGAATATCAGAAAGCATTCAATAAAGCTTATATGCAATTGGGTGGTCTTGGTGAACGTGTTATTGGATTCTGTTTTCTTCCATTGTCAACAAAAGAATTTCCACCTGGATTTAATTTCAATAGTGAAGATATAAATTTCCCGCTAAAAGATCTTTGCTTTTTGGGATTGATTTCAATGATTGATCCACCAAGAGCAGCTGTACCGGATGCTGTTGCTAAATGTCGTTCTGCTGGTATTAAAGTTATTATGGTCACTGGTGATCATCCAATCACAGCCAAAGCTATTGCCAAATCTGTTGGCATCATTTCCGAAGGAAATGGAACACTTGAAGATATTGCCGAAAAACGTAATGTATCCGTATCGGAAGTTGATCCACGTGAAGCCAAAGCTATTGTTGTACATGGTTCACAATTAAAGGTATGTAAATGAGAATTTCAATTCAATGAATGAAACGGATTTTTTTTTCTTCATCAACATTATTCAGGAATTCGATCAAGAACAATTGGACGATGTACTGCACAATCATACGGAAATTGTATTTGCCCGTACTTCACCACAACAAAAATTAATCATTGTCGAAGGTTGTCAACGTTTAGGCGCAATTGTAGCCGTAACCGGTGACGGTGTAAATGATTCACCAGCATTGAAAAAAGCTGATATCGGTATTGCTATGGGTATCGCTGGATCGGATGTATCGAAACAAGCTGCCGATATGATTCTATTGGATGATAATTTTGCATCAATTGTAACCGGTGTTGAAGAAGGTCGTCTTATTTTTGATAATCTCAAAAAATCCATTGCTTATACATTGACATCGAATATACCGGAAATTTCTCCATTCTTGATGTTCATTTTAGCCAATATACCATTACCATTGGGAACGGTAACCATATTGTGTATTGATCTAGGTACCGATATGGTACCGGCTATTTCATTAGCATATGAAAAAGCTGAATCAGATATTATGCGACGAAAACCACGTGATGCAAAAAAAGATAAACTTGTTAATGAACGTTTAATTTCCATTTCATATGGCCAAATTGGTATGATGCAAGCTAGTGCCGGTTTTTTCGCCTATTTTGTTATTATGGCCGAATGTGGTTTCCTTCCATTCGATTTATTCGGCATACGACGACAATGGGATTCAAAAGCAGTGAATGATTTGACCGATTCATATGGTCAAGAATGGGTATGTAAAAGATTTATAATTTGATTCAATCGTGTTAATTATTGTTAAACCGTATTGTTAAATTGATTTTAAATACACTACAGACATATGCATCACGAAAAACACTGGAATTTACCTGTCATACAGCGTTTTTTGTTTCGGTAATTTTTGTTTTTTTTTGCACTTTGAAATTTTTCTAAAAAAAAATCACATTCTCTTTAGATTGTAATCGTACAATGGGCCGATTTGATTATATGTAAAACACGTCGTAATTCATTACTTCACCAGGGAATGGAGTATGTTCATCATTTTTGTGCTTTTAACTTGTTACTAATTAATTTTCATTCAATTAATCAGTAATCATGCATTGAATTTTGGCCTCATATTTGAAACATGTTTGGCTGCTTCATTATCGTATGGACCCGGTATGGATAAAGCGCTTCGAATGTATCCATTAAAGTATGTGTAATAATCATAATCATTATCAATGGAATATATAATTATTCATTATTCTCATTTAAAATTATTAGATTCTCGTGGTGGCTAATTGCAATACCGTTTTCGATACTAATCTTCATTTATGATGAAGTTCGCCGATATATTCTTCGCCGTAATCCAGGTGGTTGGGTCGAAAGAGAAACATATTATTGATTTTATTGAATTCATTAGGAAAAGACCTCCCCCCCCAAAAAAAAATCTACCGTCAATTCATTCAATTTACCATCATATCAGTAATCATCGTCGTCAGAATGGAATCAACAATATCCTATGAATCACTTTTTCGATTTTATTCTGTTGCAATAGTGTTTTCTCCTATTATCAGCTTAACACCACCACAAACAAACACATTATGATGTTGAAAAACCGATTTTTGTTTGAAAATAAAAGTTTTATATTCTTTTTTAAATTTTTTATAAAAATGCTTTTGTAACAGAGAGCACACTAAAGTGTGTACAACACAACACACCTGTAGATTCATCGGGATTCTAGTTCTATTATTCAAAAAATAAAAATTATTCCTGATCATTCATTGATTTTGAATCAAAGTAAATCATCATCAATATATTGTTCTTGTTCATTGATAGGCGCCACTGTATACCGACCACCTGTTGAATGATCAGGTTTGTAGTTTTTTTTATTGCCTCAACAGATGGTGCCACTAAATCCAAAAATAATTTAAATTCATCAATTGAATGTGAAAATGTAAACAAAACGTGGAATTTTTGCAATATTCGCAATTTTTTTTTATTTAAATAAAAATAATACAATAATAATAATAATAAATACACATGGATGAATGTAATTGGTATTATGAATCAAAGATAATAGTAATTTTCATCAATCAACAAATTTTTTCAATTGCAATTTTACGATCTGGCTAATAATAATATTACAATAACGAGTGTTAAACAATTATGGATGATGATGATGATGAATAATAATTATGATGACTATATTATTCCATTGTTTTAGTTTTTATTGTTGTTGTTGTTGTTGTTGCGAGATGAGATCAGTGAATTATTTTAGTGAAGGAAAAACTGGTTGATATGATGTCGATGATGATGATGATGATGATTGTGATGATTGAGAAGAAATTGTCTGCCGTGGTGCAGATGCGGATGATGATGATGATGATTTCAACGTTGATGGCGATGATGATGATGATGACGATGGATGGCCAACAAATAAATTGCTACTGCTACCATTACGATTTGCCAACGAATTCGAATTCGTTGATGATGATGATGATGATGATGACATTTTCATCATCATTAAATTTGATGCATTAAATTTATTAAAATTCAAATTTTGTTGCTCACGTTCACGTTGTCGATCCATTAGTTTTTTCAGATTATTTGCACTACTATTATTTGGAATATTTGTTCCACTACCATTAGTTAATATTGTACCCACTGATGATGATGATGATGATGATGATGGCTGCATAGATGATGATCCAAAACGATTATTTAATGTAGTTCGACCTGATGATGATGTTTTCGTTGGTGAAGATTTTTGTGTTTGTGGCTGCTGTTGTTGTTGTTGTTGTTGTTGATTCATCATCATAGCAGCCAAAGCAAAATTACGACTATTCCAAAATGCACCAAATGCTGCATTAAATGCTCCTGGCGTTGTTGTTGGATTCCATCCATGATGATGATTTCCAAATGTTGGTGGTGGTGGATATGATGGAATCAATGTCGATGGTGATGATTGTTGCGTTCCAAATATTGAACCATTATTGTTGTTGTTGTTGTTATTGTTATTCACCCTTACAGCGGCAGAAGACAATGACAAAGATCCACTTGATGTTTTCGATGATGATGATGATGACCGGGTAGACTTAGATGAACCAGATGTTGACTGCTGTTTACTACTACTACTGCTGGTTATATATGGTTTCAATGGTGGTACAATTTTCGATGCCAATGATTTAGGTCTCATTGCCATTGGTAATAGATTGATTGTTGATAATAATTCGTTCGATTTATTCGATGACGTATCTGATGATGATTTTGTTGATATTTTTGACGATACGGATGATGAAATGGAACCTGAATTAATACCAGTTAATGAATTGCGATTATTAGCTGATAATAATCTCGGTGATGGCGGTGATGATGATGATGATGATGATGAAATAGTTTTTTGATGGAAAAATTGTTGTTGTTGTTGTTGTTGTTGTTGCTGCTGCTGCTGTTTTGGTGATGATAAATCTAATGGTGCTAAAAATCCTTTTGTTTTTGTCATTGTCGATGATGATGATGATGGACTATTATCATTTGGATTATTAAATGTAGAATTTGTTATTGAAATTGACAATTTATTCATTGAATTTTTATCAGCATTATTGTTATTATTATCGGATATTGAAAGTCGTCGTGTTGTTGTTGTAATAGTTGATGATGTTGGTGTCAATATGGCCGATACTGATAATGGTGATGATTTCATTGGCATGGATTTAGGCGACGATTGTTGCTGTTTATTACCAAATGATGAACAATCATCAGATTTAGATATTAATCTTTGTGGTGATTGTGAGGATTCTGATGGCAAATTCTTCTTTTTGATCATGGAAGATTCATCATCTTTTTGTTTATCATCATTAATGTCCATAACTAATGAATTTTCTTCACCATCATCATCATCTGAATCATCCATTGAACGATCCATATCGACAATTAATTTCGGTTCAATAGAATTATCATCTTCTTCATCAACCATTAATTGTGGTGGTGAACATGATGATGATAATGGTGAATCGTTTGATTTATGAATACGATTATTCGATGGTGATGAACGTGCCAATTCAGGAACTTTTGTTATTGTTGATGATGATGGTGATTTCGATGTACCATTTTCATCTTGACTTTTTACATTATTATTATCTTGACTACTTGTTGGCACAATAATTGCTTTTGTTTCAAGTGATTTTGTCGAAATTCTCAATACAAGATTACCACTTGATTTTGTTTGCTGTTCTTGTTGTTGTTGTTGTTGTTGTTGTTTATTTTCCATTACGTTTTCCTGCTGATGCTCTTGTTGTTGTTGTTGTTGTTGTTGATCATTGTGAATATTGCTGCTATTTTTTGCATTAATCAATTCTTCAAGTGAAGATGATGATGATGAACCGGAAACAATAGTATTTTGTGATTGTTGACCACCATTACCAACACCACCGCCACCATTATTGGATGATGTACCACCGAATGATGATGATTTTAAACATGAAGACATAAAATTTGATTTCGATGACATTTTATTGATTATATCATTGATAACTTTACCACGTTGTTTATTCGAATTTGAATTTGTATTTGTTACCGAATCAGTCATCGATTTTGATTGATTAATAGATTGATGGCCGATATTCATCGTCGTTGTTTCTTTTTTCCCTGTTGTTGATTCTTGTTGATGTAATGGTGATGAACTTTTTATATGTTTCGTACTACTGCTACCACTACCACCACTACTACTCGAATCTTGAATTGATGAATTTGATTTCGAAAGTTCCGATTGAACCTCCGGAGGTATAGGTGATATTATCTGACCAATAAGCTGTGGTGATGAATTTTGTGATGTCGTCAATTTTATACGTATGGCTGGCGGTGATAATGCATGTGTTATTGGTTTGTTTGAATTATCTTTGCCACCATTTGAATTTGGTGTATTATTATTATTGCCGTTAGATATGGAATTTGTTTGTTTTTGTTTTGATTGATTATCATTTGAAATTTTCGTTTGCATTTTATCATTATTATTATTATTATTATTATGATGAGGATGGTGATGATGATGATGATGATGACGTTGACCATTTTCATTTTTCATTGATGATGAATCTGTTTGACCATCCATTGATTTTGATTTTGAAATTAATTTTATTATCGTTGGTTTTGTTGTCGATGTTTTCATTGTTGTTGCTGTTGCTGATTTTTCATCACCATCAATTGATCGTTTCAATGTTGTCGATGATGATGATGATGATGATGATGATGGTGTTGTAGTTGATTTTGCAAACAAATCACCATTCTTATTTCGACTAAAAGTTATCGATGACGATACAGATGTTTTTGCCATTGTTGAACGAACATTATAACCAGTACTAGTAGTGGCTGTTGTATTTGTAATTCGAACCGTTGTTGTTGTAGTTGTTGGCATAATATGATGCTGATGATTATTATTATTATTATTTGTTGTCGATAATGTTTGCGTTCCGGTATGAGTAAATTCTGCATTATCATTCATTAATTTTGGCCGTTTTTTAGCCATTTCTCCTGGATGATAATTATCATATTCACGTTGTATTATTATACGTGAATTATGATGATTTGATTTTGTCATCTGATGATTTGTTGCCGATGTCGATGTTGATGTTGATATTTGTTTTTGAATTGGATTCGTGATAGCAATACGTTTTGTATTACAGCTACTACTACTACTACTACTGGTGGTAGTAGTACCAACATTTGCATCACAACGATTATTATTCGTTGATAAATTATCTATTGATGATGTTATGGTGGTTAAATTACCACGAATTGATGTATTAGTAGTAGAATTTGTTGATTGTGATCGTGTTGAAGACGTGGTGGTGGTCATTTGATGATTTGTTGTTGATGATGATGATGAAGAAGCTGTTTGCCTTTGATTTTTCGACGACGACGATGATGATGATGGTTCTTCACAAATTGAATTTTCAATTGCTTTCAATTGTGTATTGATTCGTTTACGTACAAAACAATAGGAAAATCTCATTGGATCATTCTACAGAAAAATGGAGAAAAAAAAATTTAGAAACAAACAAACAAACAAACAAACAAGAAATGAACATTTACCGCTCCCCATGTATAGATATAGGCAATCTCCATCAATGTATAATCATCTTTCAATAATTGACCGGAATAATAAATTTCCACTTTAAATTCATGAAACCAATCAAATGATGAATATTTGTTGGCAATCAATTTTTTCAATTGCAATATTGTCAATGCAGCTGGACAAAGTAGATAACGGCGAACAGGTTTATCCTTTTTTTTGTTGTTGTATGAAGAATGAAAAATGAATTTTTAGAAAATTTATTAATAGAAAAAAAACAACAAACCTCTGGACGTATATACAGTATGTCGTCGATATTTTCATTACAATCATTATTCTTTTTATTGGCTGCCACTGTTGTTTGCAATGAATTTTGATCATTTTGTTGATTGTTTGATTTTGATGAACGTGTCTTTTTCGTTACAGTACCACTAGAATGATGATGATGATGATGATTTATAATGGAAATTTTTGCCGTCGAATTCACTGGTCTGATATAGAATGATTGAAAATTGATTAGATTTTTATTAAATGATTTTCAATTAGAAATAAATCTAAACTAAACTAAACTAAACTAAAAAAAAAAATCTGATCATACACACTAAAATACTATATTTCAATCTATATTTGGTCAAACACGTGACCACCATCACCACTACCACCATCTAAATAAATTATTCATAAAAAAAAAAAATGGTCACGTGCTGACCAAATCAAAAACTATTGCTGACATTCATATAGAATGTGTGTGTATTAAAAATACTTACTCATCTAAATATTCAATAGACATTGAGATCTTATCATTTGGACGAAAATAACATGAATGTAATGGAATTTGACCAGCATCTTCTTTACTAAATGGCTGTTGATCTTCTTGTTGTTGTAAATTATTATTATCATTGTTATTATAGAATTGTCTTCGACGATACATTTCATCAATAAATATTTGTGGTACTAATTTATATACAAGCCTTTGTTTTAATTTATCCTGTCTTAATGATTGATGTGGTTTTATTTTACTCAACGGTACATCACATATTGGACATGATTTTGATGTTTCCAAATAATTAACAATACAAGATTTACAAAATGTATCCAAACATTCAACAATGGTTGTTGCATCAATAAAATAACCACTACAAATAGCACAGGTAATCATTTCATTTATATTGCTTAATAATGGATGTTTTCTTTTTCTTGAAATTCCATTACTAACGATTGGCAGTTGATTATTATTATTATTAGATTCTATTATTGTCATTGAATCATTATTATTGATATTAATTGTTGTTTGTTGACCAGATGAAATCATTGTTTTTTGTGCCATTTGTTGTGGATATGTTGTTGTTGTTGTTGTTGTTGTACGATCATTATAATTTTGATTCATCATTTTGTTTGTCAACGACGACGACGACGACGACAACGGCAACGATGACGATGATGATGATCCATGAATTCCATTATAAATCATCATAGAATTATTCATTCCTTGATGATCCATTGATGATATGAATCTATTATTCATTTGCTGCTGCTGTTGTTGTTGTTGCTGTTGTCGTTGATTATTGCCAATACTTTTTGTTGCCGTTATTCGTACACCACTACTAGTGGTCATTTTTTCTTGATTATGATGATGATAATTATAACGATGATGACTATTATTATTATTATTATTATTATTAGTAGCAGAGCTGAGCAACATTATTTTTTCTTCTTAATTCTTTGTTGATTGATGATTGCTGTTGTTTTTTTTCAAAATTAAAAAAAATTCCCTATAGAACAGGAGAGAGAGAAAGAGAAAAACCCATTAAACACACAATAAATCAAGACTTTTCTTCAAATAAAAACTACCACATTAAATTCGAAAAAGAAAAACGTGTTCTGTTTCTAAAATTCTAAAATTCGAATTTCTTTTTGTTCAGCAACACGTGTACACGTTTTAAAATCAATATATAATCATTTTAAACTACATATAAATGTGATATATGACAATTTAAAACGAAAAATTTTCTTGAAGCCATTCCAATGGCCATTGATTCATTCATTCACCAATGACTGAATGGATGGCGCTCATAAACACACATGAAAAATATATATCATCATCATCATCATCATTGATGGTGAAAGAAAAAAAAAGCGCGGTTACAACACTGAAAAAAAAAAATAGTAGTGGCCTGGTATGACCAGAAAATAACGCATACACACACACACACACATTGAAAACAATCAGATGATCATTTGAAAAAAAAGGAAACCAGAAAAACTTTGTATGATCACACACACACAATTCAAGTTATGTTTTTGAACGAAAAAAAAAAAAAAAAAAACGGATACGTTAACTCACAGCCAGCCAGACAGCCACCATCATCATCATCATCATCATCGGCAGCTGCCTTTGACCCGCGAACACACACACACACACACACACACACATATTTATCCTCATGACACATACCGCCAAACTGACAAAAACATGTATATATATAAATATCCTGCTTATAAAATACACACACACACACACACACACACATACCCTACACGGTTTATCATCATCATAGTCCATTCAACTTTTATCAAAAACCAAAATCATGAATTGTGAAACAAAACAAAAAAAAATGATACAAGAATGTGACATTTAAAAATTCATTATTAAATAATGGATGGATTGATGGATTGATGATGATTGTGTAATTGATTTAAATTGAATTTTTTTTTTTTTTTGAAATTAATCGAATAGTTGCGTGTATTTTTTGCATACAATCAAAATAAAATGATGATGATGAGTAAATTAAATCAAAATCCAATAGAAAAAAAATTGATGAGATCAAAAAAAAGGTTTTCATATCTCGTGAATTATAGAATCATCTCAATCACAATTCCTATTGTGTGTGAATCATCATCATCATTTTGCAGAATTTCAATTGTAAATTTTATTAAATAAATGGATTCGATGTTAATGATGATGATGAAAAATCTGGAAAAAAAAAATGGGCGTTATTTCAAAATAAGTAAAAAATGGCAAAGAGAGAGAGAGAGATTGACCGTAAATGTACATTTTTTTTTTTTGGAGAATGACCGTAACCCAAAAAAATGAATGAATCAATTCATATAATTGTGTTATGCTGTTGTCCCCATCATACACTAAACACTATAGTAGACTATAATTAAATTTACAAAAAAAAAACACAAAGACACGGACTTAACAAAATCCATGAAATCACCATTATCACGTAGAATTTATATTCATTCATTCATAATTCAATTCAGAGACTTTTTTTTTGTCTTTGATCATTGATCAACCAGTCATATTAAGGTTTAACCAATTGTTTTCTTGATTGATTGATTGATTTGAATCTTAAAATTTTAAATCGAACAAAAATGACAGATATATGGCCAAATTCAAGAGAAAAAAGATTTGTGGCATATAAAAAACGATATATATCAATCAAAAAAAAAGTTTCGTATTTCTACTACACACACACACACACACACATACATACCCAAAACTAAAGGAGAGACCAGCTGTGACCAGATCCCATTATTATTTTCCCCAACAAACAAAATCGACAACAAGTTCTCTCTCTCTCTCTCTCTATTTCATTTTGTTGTCCATCGAAATGAAACGTGCACACACGGTATATATATAACAACGCCATACCAATCATCATAAGATATTTCATATACACACACGTGCACGTACACTAACGATAAGTGTAAAACAAACAAACAGACAAACAGAAAAAAAACAATAAACAAACACGTATCATTCCAAAGTGAGAATGAGAAAGAGAGAGAGAGAGAGAGAGAGAAATGAAAATTATCAAATTCCATTATTAATGATTGAAATGATGATGATGTAAACACACAGAATGTGTTTTTAACATACACTAAAAAGATTAAAACTCAACACATCCGTATCCGGTGCCAAAAAAATGGTGGCAGATATATAGGAATTGTCCATCCATTCCATTTCATTCAATCTCTATCCCATAATCATAATAATAGTCATCATCATCATCATCAATGGAACCTTCATTTCGATGATGATGATGATGGAAACCCCGGGTGAGGCCAAACTTATCATTTCTGTGCATATATGTGTGGTGTTTGTGTGTGTGTGTGTGTGACCGATGAACGATGAACGATGAACGACGAACCGACCGACCAAATGTTGGCCAATATAATTTATAATACGTTGCACATTTCAATATGTGTGTGTGTGTGTGTTGTGTTGTATATGTTTGACGTGTTTTTGTATGTGTGTATATAAGTAAGTAGATCCCTGCCTATATAATCTAACAACCAAAAAAAAAAAAAAATAAAAGATAAGTGTGTGTGATTACCATTTTGACAGCGTGGTGTGTGTATCTATCGGGCATTTTTTTGGAATTTTTTTTTGTTCTCCTCTTCTCACTGGTTTAGTTTCAATACGAAAATCAATTATCTATAAATCGGATATATATGCAAAACCAAAGGGCTAGAAAAAGAATTCTCGAACATTTACCTTGAACGTGATTTTTTTTTTTTTTTTGAAAAAAAAATGACCGTTTTTCATATTTTAAATATTCATGACATGCCTACAAAACAAACAAATGTACAAACAGACAAAAAAAAAATCAAACTAATCAAACTAAATAGATGCAAAAATCAATATATCTTTCTGGCTATTTAATAAATAAAAAAGAATAACAATGGAAACAACAAAAATAATTCAGATGATGATGATGCAAATGATAATCATCCGCATCATCATCTGAATTATAACCGGTACATTAGAATAATAATAAAAGAAGATAAGGGTGCCCATCTCTGTAAGAAAATTCATATTTTTCTATCTCTTTTCATTTCATGAAAATAGAAGAATAGAAAGAAAACAATCAACAAAAGTAGACAATCATCATCTATTCTCTCGACAGAATGAATTGAATGAAAAAAAAAATGAAAACCGAACAAAAAAAAACTTGATGGACTGGCAACAACAACAACAACAACCACTTGTTGTTCTCATCATTTAGTTTAGTTTCTTAAAAAAAAAAAATGATGATGATGATGATTATTATTACACAATCAACTTATGGCAACCCTCAAAAAACTTGGCTCTTAGGATTGATGATCTGCTTCGATGCTTTATCATTATCATCATCATCGTTTTTATGCGAAAGATAAAATGAGAGCAAAATCTTAATATCTTGGTCGGATGGATATTGATGTTGTTGTTGTTTTTTTTGTTTTCATTATTCTGATCGATTCATTCAATTCTCACCAACACTAACAAACATTCTGTGGCATAACTGATTGTGTGAATGTACAAATTTTTCTTTTTTTTTACCTTGAATTTCAACCAACCAGCCAATCATCAATCATCAAATCAAATTGAATTGGGCGAAAGAATGATAAAACAAAACCGGCAATTTTTTTCCTCTGAAAAAAAAATCCACCACCACCACTACACATTCAACATGATGATTGATCTGACATTTTGTTTTGTCAGTGAGAGCTAGAGAAAGGTATAGGTTCAATGAACAAAAAAAAATTCGATTCGAATTCGATTCGATTCGATTTGATTTCATCAATCAAATCAATCACATAAAATACATTTATAAAGATTCGATAATCATCAACAAATCGATTGGATGCTGATTGAATCATCATCATCATCATCATATTTGAGAAAAAAAAAACCAAATGATAGAGCCATCATCATCATCATCATTAATCATTAATCAAACAAATTAATCGTCAACAAATTGGTAATTTTCATTTGAAAAAATCAAACAAAAAAAAAAAAAACTATAAACCAAATCAAATGATGATTCAACAAGAAAAATCAAATCATCATCATCATCAACATTTGAAAATGAAAGCAAAAAAAAAAATTTATCAAAATGAAATATCTAATGTCAACATCTCTATGACTCTTTCACACACACACACAAAGACACTATCACATGTCATAATTCAATATATCACAAATCAAGATCATATCGATCTGTAGAAGTAGATTTTATTTTTTCTTTTTCCAAACCAAACAAAACAAAACAAAACAAAACAACGAATCTCTTTACACACACACACACACAGACAAAAAAAAAACCGAAAATCAGCCAGACTAAACAAGAACAGAGACAGAGAATAGATTAAAATATATATACACACACACTGGTATTATATACATAAACCAGAAAATCAAACCAATCAACCAACCAACCAGAATACAAACATGCAAAATTAGACACACACTTGAACTCTCTCTAG